TGTGCGTCTGCCTCGAGTTTCCGAGAGTACCGCTGGCATTAGGAATGAGGATAAGTATCGGATAACCGTGGAGGTTACAACGCCGCGCACAAGTGCTCTTGGCCAGAGCCGAACACAGGGCAGCGAGCCCTCCTCCACCACTTCGACGGAAGGTGACCAAATGCCGCCGAGGGGCCTTCACGACCGGCCTGATGACCAACTGCCATCTCGAAGCAAGAAACCTTCTGTCTCGTTGGAAGAAGTCGAAGATGAGGAAGCTCACCTACAGTCCGACATACCGATTACCAAGCCCAAGGGGAAGTCTCTTGTGACCCCCGAACCAACGTCCGAGGTCCAGAAAGCAGTCCTCGACATGTACTACGAACCTTTCGGGACCCACTGGACTCGTCGAGCCCTACGCCTCGCTCGGGACGAATCCGCAGCATTCGCCACCTTGAAGCGGTGGGTACACCCTCGAAGGACGGGAGAAGTAACCATCGACTTATGGGACTCGCTCAGGGAACAACCGGAAATGGCTGTAGAGTCGCGAGAAAGGTGGAAGTGGATGGAAGACTTAAAGAAGCCCCCCATGTACATACGGGGATGGAAGGGGCGTAACGTGTCAATAAACGTGCAATTGGAAATGTTGGATACCCAAGAAAAACATACCGTAAAAGCTCTCGTGGACAGCGGAGCCACCGGCAGTTCCATAGACCGTGCCTGGGCCCAAGGGCACACCCTGAATCTCAAAAAGGCGGCCCGACCCGTTCCGGTTTATAATGCCGATGGCACCAGGAACAAGGGGGGTGACATTACCGAGTACGCCGAAGTACGATTACGAATCAGAGATCACGTGGAAAGAATCGAACTAGCCATGGTCGATTTAGGTACCACGCCCCTTTTCCTTGGGCATGATTGGTTACAGAGACACAACCCGCTCATCGACTGGGATACCGGAGCCGTTACCCTAGCCCGGTGCGCTTGTCGAAAAATCCCCTTTTCCCTACCAGATACAGATCCCTCATCCCGATGGGACGAGTACGAAGAAGGGGATACCATCTTGGTGATAGACTTCGAAGAAGCCTTTCACGTACGGGCAATGGGAACTAAGGCCAACGAGTTAGCCGCTCAAGCTAACGCCAAAAAGGTAGCCCAGTCCTTCGAAGAGATCGTACCGGAGGAGTATCGAGACTTTAAAGACGTATTCGATAAAGAAAATTTCGATGAATTACCCCCGCGAAAGCCATGGGACCACACCATTGAACTCATCCCCAATGCTAATGCCAACCTAGACTGTAAAGTCTACCCTCTCAATCCCACAGAACAGGAGGAGCTGGATAAGTTCCTAGACGAAAATCTATCCATGGGACGCATCCAAGCATCGAAATCCCCCATGGCTTTGCCATTCTTCTTCGTCAAAAAGAAGGACGGAAAGCTTCGCCCAGTCCAGGACTACAGGAAGCTCAACGAGATGACCATCAAGAACAGGTATCCACTGCCGCTCATCGGGGAGCTCATGGACCGGTTGAAGAAGGCAAAATACTTCACCAAGTTGGACGTGCGGTGGGGATACAATAACATCAGGATTAAGCAAGGAGACGAGTGGAAAGCCGCGTTTCGAACAAACCGAGGACTCTACGAGCCCCTGGTAATGTTCTTTGGACTTACCAACTCCCTGGCCACTTTCCAGTGGATGATGAATGACATTTTCAAAGATCTCATCTCCACCGGGGAAGTATCGGTCTACCTGGACGACATTCTCATCGCCTCCAGGACTAAGGAGCACCACAGACAAATTGTGTGAAAGGTGTTAAAGATCCTTCGAGACAACAAGCTGTTCCTCAAAGCCGAGAAGTGCGAGTTCGAAGTGGAGGAAACCGAGTACTTAGGAGTACTCATCAGTGAGGGAAAAATTTGCATGGACCCTGTGAAAATTGCGGGCCTGTTAGACTGGCCAGTTCCATCCAAGAAACAAGAACTGCAGTCGTTCCTAGGGTTCTGCAATTTCTATCGACGGTTCATTCGTGACTACAGCAAACACGTCAGACCCCTGACCGTGTTGACGGGAAAGGTGGAATGGAAGTGGGGGGAAGCCCAACACAAGGCATTTGACAAGCTGAAAGAACTCTTCCGTGAGGATGTGGTCTTGGCTATACCGTTGGATGAGGGGAGGTTCCGGGTGGAAGCGGATTCCAGCGAAGGGGCGATCGGAGCGGTCCTGTCCCAATGGCAAGAAGAAAAATGGCGACCCGTGGCCTTTCTCTCTAAGGCCCTGTCCATCACGGAACGTAACTACGAAATTTACGACAAAGAACTCCTTGCCATTATGATTGCGCTGGAGGAGTGGCGCCAGTACCTCATGGGCGCACGAGAGGACTTCGAGATTTGGATGGACCACTCGAACCTCCAATACTTCTGAAAACCTCAGAAGCTCAACCGGCGGCAGGCCCGATGGGTAACAGAGCTGGCGGAATATCAATTCACGCTACACCACAAACCGGGGGCCCAAAATCGGAAAGCGGACTTACTGTCCAGGAGGGTGGACCACGATCAAGGGAAGGAAGACAACAAGGATGTGACGGTATTAAAACCGGCTCACTTCCGAGCCCTGATCATGCCGACCAAGGAAGAATTGCACGAAAAGGTCAGACTAGCTACTCATGACCCCCATAAATGGGACCGAGGCATCTCCGACTCCCTCAATCATGAAAAGGGGGTCTCAAAGGATCAAGAGCTACTGTGGTATGAGGGACGTATCTATGTCCCCATGGATCGAAGGCTACGGGGAGAAATCATCGCCCTACGGCACGATCACGTTACCGCAGGGCATCCCGGGATAGAAAAAACGAAAGAGCTTGTCCTACGGGATTACTGGTGGCCCCGCATGCATCGGGAAATAGAGGCATACGTCAAGGGGTGTGAGGTCTGTCAATGCACTAAAGCAGACCGCCGACCGAAGAAGACCCCCCTTCATCCAAACGAAGTACCTACTAGGCCTTGGACACACATTTCGGTCGATATGATCACCAAGCTACCCAACTCCAGAGGGTTCGATTCCATCTTGGTTATAGTTGACAGGTTCTCGAAAACCATCATCCCGATTGCATGCACGGAGGAGCTTACGTCTCTTGGCTTTGCCAAAATCCTACGGGACCACATTTACGTGCCGTATGGAGTAATGCCAGAGAAGGTTATTTCGGACCGAGGCGCAATTTTTGTATCCAAATTCATGAAGGAGTTTTACCGCCTCATTCAAGTCACGGGCAACCCTTCCACTGCATATCATCCCCAGACTGATGGGCAAACGGAACGGGTTAATCAAGAGATTGAAAAATATCTCAAGATGTTCGTGAACTACCGTCAAGATGACTGGAGCAAGTGGCTGCCGTTAGCGGCCTTCACGCATAACAACCGGAGTCATTCAGCGACGGGCTTCTCCCCGTACAAAGTAGTCTTCGGAAGAGACGGAGAAGTTATTAAAACCGCGCAGCGACCTGACACCGTTCCCGCCGCATCGAAACTGGTCGAAGGTATCAAGGAGATACAGGAGAAAACGAAAGCATCACTAGAACGTGCCGCGGAGTCGATGAAGAGGGCCTATGACAAACACAAAGGCGAGGCCATAGCATACCAGGAAGGCGATAAGGTTTGGCTGGATTCCACCAATCTGCACCTCCCGCGTCCAACCAAAAAACTTGGAGATCGACGCATCGGACCCTTCACCATTGTGGCCAAAAAGGGGGCCTCCTCCTACGAACTCAAACTCCCGGTAGGATGGAAGATCCATAATTGATTCAATGAGTCCCTCTTAACGCCGTACCATGCCCCAGAATTTCCCAATCAGCCGCACCCGGAGAGACCACCTCCAGAGTTGATCGATGAGGAGGAGGAATACGAAATTGAAGAGATTGTGGGAGAAAGAGATAAGGTCATCAGTCGGGGATGAACCCGTCGAACCATCACCGAATACTTAGTCAAGTGGAAAGGCTACCTGACAGAAGAAAATTCCTGGGTGAAACGTTCGGATATGGCCAATGCCGAGGAACTCGTGAATGACTACGAGACCCACATTCAAAAGATCGTCTGGACGGTAGACAACAAGGGAAAAACGGTCGGGATCGACGATAAAATACCCCGCAACTTACCGATCAAGTATCATGATCCTGACACCCCGTGTATGACCAACATAATCACAGTACCCTCCTCACAGTGTTCGGCAGTAGCACATTCAGAGGAGATTGATCGAATCGTCGACAAACTCCCCAGTCCCTCTGAAGCTGCGGAATACTGGCAACGAACATTCAAACCGGAGTTGGAAAAGGGATTTATCGAAGCCAAATGGCCAAAAGTCACCACAGACGAAGCAGACGGGATACCAGTCATCGACGAGGAGAACGATAACGAAGAGGAGGTAAACCTTCAAAATCTCCAACGCATCCATGAGAACTGGAACGTGGACGATGAAAAAGAGGACGAAGACGATGACGACGAACCATCGTCCTTTTACTCTGAATCACGACGCTCAACCTCAAACAGTGATGAGTGGGAGTCTGATGACTCATTCGGGACGAACGAGTCTTAGGGAGGGGGTAATGTTACGGTTTATTCATTTTTCTTCGTTTTACTCAGCCTTATTACTCATATGCGATCACAACGGACGTGTTCCCACAGTACTATTATTAGTTTACCAACGTGTATTTAAGTAGAGCCTCAGCTGGACTAAACCCCAGCTTCGGCTAAGGTTTAATCTACCTAACATCGAACTCCGTCCTTCGTGACTATCTGTACCATCGACTTTCGTCGCCTTTGACTTGCTAGAGTATCTTTCACCGAAGTGCAAGTGAAGATCCTAGTACGATCTAAGTCGATTAGAGTTAGTGGCTAACACCCGCTTCGGTTTTATCTGGAGTTAACTCGCAGCGCCAGCAGGTAACGTCGAGCATTGAGAATATTTTGTGTACTCATATTCTAACAGGAATTCTTCTGTACACTTCATAGTGTGCATGTCATAATTAATGCTAATGATTTCATATGTTGAGGTTGATTCATTGTTCTTTTCTGTTGTGGGAGCATCTGTTAACGTCCTAGAGGCAGTATCCACTGCTCGGCATCGGCACGAAGGCCAACTTGGCAACACGCCACCAGAACGAAAGGAGCATCGAGAACTATGCAGGCGAGGTCTCCGAATGCGCAACAAAACGGCTTCGTTTGCAGCAAGGGTCTGTTAGTTATTCTCTGACTACAACCTTGCTTGGAAAGCCGCCTCTGGAGAACGGAAGTCTGTGGAGGGTAAAATGCCAGGTGCATCGTTGATATCCTTCTCGGATTCGTGTGCTCATGTCATGTCTAGAGAGGTTGTGAAGATCAGATAGTTGTGTGGCTGACGAGCGCCAACGCGTTGAAGGATATCCTGCTCTCCGCCTTCGCCATTTCCACGGCTCGGACCTGGGTTTATATCCAGATTCAACCGCCAGGTTTATCGACGATCAAAGCATTCCTAGCCTCTTCGGCCGCTATTATTCAGTCTTATGATGCCCCACTTCTAGAAGAAATGCCTTTCGAAGAACAAGCGCGAACCTTGGAAATGCGAGACGATAAGGCTCTTCAGGTATATGACTGGGTCGTCGTCACAGAAGGTATCTATGCGGGGGATCTAGGATGTCTAGTAGCTTCGTATGAATGGGGATGGGATGTCCTGGTGATACCATGGCTCCTTCCACACGAGTCGCAAGACGTTCGCCAGAGAGGAATGGTGACCGTACCAAATTTGCTTACTCCTGACCTCAATTCGAAGCTTGAGGTAGACCGAGGACTTATAGTACTGGAATGTCCGCATCAAGGGGTCTTGCGTGCCACTGCTGCCCCATTGGAAATTCTCGCTCTTTTTCAGCAAAGTGAACACCCATCTGTTATTGCTGCGCAGCCCCAGGCACCGTGTCCCACCGAATGGTGCTTTGAAGTTGGCGAATTAGTCGCAATCAGCGACGCTGCAATGCACCCGTGTATCGGACATATTTTTCAGATCAATAATAATGACTTGGACATTAACCTGGACAATGACTCTGGTATACATCACTGCCCTTACATTTTTGTTTGCAAAATCTTTGTCGTTGGGGACTACGTCCGTTGGGTTGATACCGGTCGAGAAGGAGTTGTTCAACATGCTGATCAATTTCATATCACGGTCGTCCAGCTCTATGAGGACGGCCACCATGAGGTATGTCCTTCCTTTTCCTTCTAGAATGCTTTTGAACGAACTGGTCTAGGAGTTTGAATGCGCTAAAAATTCCGTTATTAAGGCACTTCCACCTAAACTCGATCCTTTAGTATCTACGATAGGTGCACCATTCTTACCACCCCCGTCGCTTCCGCTGCCACCTTCACAAAGCTATGAGCATTTCGAACACTGGACACATGATCATCGTCTTGTGGGCCGTGAATTTCGCGTACGCATTGGAGGAAAGGCAAAGGTTGTCATGTTGCAGAAGGGCACGAATGACCACGGAGCTCAGGCATACATTAGAAGAGGGAAGCGAAAGCTTGAACTGCTAGCCGACCACAAACTAATTGAAGCGATGCATCCAGCCAACCCTCGAAACTATGAGCGCTGGATTGTTATTAGAGGCGAGCACACGGGAAAGTATGTTCAGGCCATTCGGTATGACAGGGCTGACAAAACGAAGGGATCGCTTCAATGGACTGTTGCCATCATTGAACCAATACTAGGGGAGTTGGACAAGCTGACTGGAGAAAACCTAGAATTGGACTCTGCATCCCTCTGTTTGGAAGCTGAGAGCGATGCGTCAAAATGGAGGAATATGAAATTTAGTCGGAATCTTCGGGAGGAGGCTCGTTGTTAGTCAAGAAACATCCTTGAACTAGTTGTCACCTTGAGGTCGGAGGAAACTTTACTACCAGTGTCTCTCCGTTCAGTTTGTCTTCGTTTTCCGACGCGGATATTGATGCCTTATACATGCATTAGATCTAAGTATACCTCAGACCTCTTGTTATAATAGATGTAGTAGGCAGTTGAAATTTCGACATTTCTTCGCGAACCTCGGAATTAATATATTACAGGTCTGCTCAGTGCTAGTACGAATAAGTGATACTACAGTTTAGACCGTAAAATTTAGAATACGATGTCAAAGTGAAGGAATTAGGACAAGCTCAGATGTCCGTAAGAGAATCTGAAACAGTACAGTAAGCCACCCTCCCGATGCGTGTATTGACACCGCCACGTAGAACTTTCTTGTCACGTGTTCTTCCAACAACAATGACAAGTAGATAATCAGGAAAGACGGAAGTATGGATGGCAAGGAGTATTTGGTCCAAGGCATTCTTCTCTAGCCCGTACATCTGCAGAGTCAGAGTATGGCCCTTGATGAAAGGTACACATGACGATAGGGCATCCTGAAGAACAATCACAATCAGTACATGGCGGGATATTATTGACTGTGACCCACCAGAATGTCTTTGACGGTTTTGAAGGCCTCAAGTTCGAGATACAACTGCTTTATAAACGCAACCTGAGGGGGAGTTGTCTCATACAAAGCCTGGTAATCAAATTTCTGCGGGAGAGGCAAGGCCAGATGTACAGCGGTCTCGGGAGGGAAAGAGGCCGGAAACATCGACTGGAGAAAGACACTTGGCGATAATGATGTCTCGACACTCAGAACCAGTTGTACATAACGGATATCGGTGAAAGTCAACACCTTCAACATAGAAACTAGGTCTGGACAGGTAGGAAGGTGCTGTATGCCGGACTTGTGGCCCTGCAAACTGTACCTGGAATCACCATCATCATGAACGATAGTAGCTCTGATCGTATTTAGGTGTCTGAGCGAAGCGTGATGCTTGATTATCGCTCTGACAACGTGGGCGGGAATGGCAATCTCAAGCCAAACCTGCGATAGATTATCGAGACGCAAGTCCGTCAAGAATTCCCATTCTTCTGGACGACGAGAGGATAAGCACAGGCGTAGGGAGCGTAGGTTAGAAGACGAAATGATCATTGCGTCGCACAAAAATGATCCGCAATCTAGAACCTCTAAATCATGGACAAGTGGAAGAGATGGGACCGCGAAGAGAGGCAATGAAGGTCGATGATCCGGTCGCATCATAGAATAGATATGAATGGTGGGTGAGGCCAGCTGATGGATGAGTGAGAAAAAGAGCTCGAGGGATGATCTATCAAGTTCGGATACGCGGCATGGGAAGAAATTAAGGAACAAGGTGGTGAAAAGGCATGGAGTGTGACCGGCGGTTATGCAGGATAAGAACTGGATAGAAGACTTGAGATCTTCCTGATGGCGAACTGTGAAGGCCAACCGGACAATGAATGTCAAGTCACGCCCCTGATTCGACGAAAGCCAGAGCTTGGCAGCACGATAGGTTTCGACATTGATGTCGAGACAGCCAGGTAGATACCACATGCTTCCACACTGGGTGAGGATGCAGGCGATAATTTCCAAAAACTGTTTAGACGTGGTAACGATTGCCAATAAATCACGGCTCGGGAGGTATGAGAGTATCTCTAGTTGAAGCTCATTGGGAATACCAATGAGTCGTGCTGATTTAGACGCGAGTGACCACCGTCGACCCATGTACATAGTGTATATGTGTCAAAGCATATGCATGAGTGCTGGCGTTAGGAATGGGAAGGGAGTGGATGAGGTTGGGAGAAGAATGCGTGTTTTTATAGCATGTGTGAACAAAGGAGGATGATCCATTTGCAAGTACAAAGGGGATTCCTGTTGGCACGGTCTGACCCTCCGGCAGGCATGACTTCGGCATGCAAGGATGCCCAGTTTTCTGCCGTGAACCTCCACACTCTGACCATGACCTTGCACGCACGCTGGGGGTGCACTTTTTTCAGTTTCGCCATTTGCATTTGACGACACGTTACGGGCTGCCAGAGAGTCGTATCATTGGCGCCATGACGTATACCGTATTGTTGGAGAGTGAAATAAGGACGTTGGTGCAGGCTGAAACCCAGTCAGAACAACCTGGGTTTTGAAGTAGAAGTTGAATAGTTCACCGAGGTGAGAGCCAACATACCCCAAATGTCGCTGCAACTGTTCTGCTAGTGACTTCCATATGACAATACAATTTTCGATGTTGAAGTCCTAAGTTAATTGGCCTAGATGCGTTGTAAGGATAGTATTGAATACGAAGTCGGAAACACCGCCCACTGGGACCGAAAATGACAGAATTCCAAGACAACCGTCGACCGATTCAACCAGCGTCACTTCTCCCATACTACTATGTCCCCCGGAGCGTCTTGTACAGCATCCGATTTTTCCAAGAGGCTTGGTCTGCCGACCAGCAGAGACTGAGTACCAAGGACCGTATTCGCGTGCTTGCCCCGGGCCATGATAAGTTTCCCTTGCAGACAGACCTATGTAAGTGGGTTTGCAACGAAGAAAAATGTGACAATACAGTAGCATATGCACTGGCGATGTCGTTGGACGCCCTAAATATCTGCTACACAACCATCAGCAACGGTTCGGAGCAGGCTGAGGTGGTAGGTGGGAGTTTACCGGACAAATCCCGATGGGGCACTCTGCCGAGCGACCCAGGTGCTGACAAAGCCCTGCTTGCACAATGAAATCAAATTGCCGACTGCCACGTCGGCATAGTACGTCACCCGCTGCAGTGCACGCTGTGGAAAGCGATATCGGATATCCCTATAGTATGGCTCAAAATCGGTACCCAAGCTGGTCATTTCTGGCACCTACTCAGCAGAATTCTAGAGATCTGTGTCGTGCAGTAAAAGAGGGTAAAAGGCATGATTATCATACTTAGGATTTACTATAGCACTTTTATAAAAGCGTTCATGCACCGCTATAGTACGTGCACGCAGAGGCGCATGACAAAGCTAATCACTTACTTACCAAGTTTTCCCATTCCATTCCAAATGCCCTCATGCCTTGAGTAGTGTTTCCAACTCCCTATTCAGTATTATCCTTACCGGAGCATCTAGGCCGATTTACTGAAGACTTCGAGGTCGAAAATTGTACTGCCTTACAGAATCCACTAGCAGAGTAACACCTGACCGTTGTTGCCGGCTCTAACCACAGTGAGTCATTCAACTTCAACTTCTTCAGCTGCTCACTGGCTCTACTGGCAGGCGCCAAGTCAACATTACAGCCCATACCACTCTCTCAAGGCCTGTGTCACCATAATACACAGGGACCAGGTACTTTTGATCCAAAATCAACTTCTGCTACTCAATGCTCATAAACAGGATCCATTTCGACGGAATGTATTGCAGTGACAAATATACGACATTCACTTAGGCGAGGAAGCGAGCTAGACCACTCAACCATCCAAGATAGGGAGAAATGGCTTATGATATGTTCAAAGCCTACGTAGCTCTCATGCACTGAAGTGAAGATGCCTTTATACAGCGAATAGTTCACGACTCTGCTGAGAATACCCCAATATTCAAAGCGGACCTGATCCTGATCTTCAAGGGGCAACAGTGCATCTCCGGAGCTCATTATTTTAATTGCAGACGTACGATAACGATGTCCATGGAATGGCAAATTTTTCATCCCCCATCGAATGTGACCTTCTGCAACTGCTATAGGAATGGTGCCGATTATAACTCAAGGGCATAGTCGACACGGGTCCGGATCAAAAGTTTAGATGATAAGATACATGCAATCGCGGTAAAGAGCTACGTTAGTCCCACGTCCGGGGCTTCTTTCCTAACGCTCCCATAAAAGTTTCAAAAGTAAGAATACCGCCCAAGGTCTCCTGATCAAGCGGCTGTATCCTATCCTTTCGTTTTTCCAGCTGCGTGTCATAAGCATCAGAAAACAGCACTCTCAGAGGGAAGATCCACTCATCCCATAAGGGGATGAAATCCTTAGTGAAGCGAGACTTGATATGATTCAGTCATTCATCATTACGCCATAACTGTGCCTTGTAGTCATGCGCATGGGTTAAATCTGCTTCGGATCTAATGTCCCAATCTGCAAACAATCCATCGGTTGGTTTTTCTTTGTGAGTTTGAATGTCGAAATATACCCCAGCCCACAAGAGAACGTAGAAAAATGATTCGAGGTCATGACGGTAGCGACAAGGTGTTTTAACGGAAGCGTCCAACAAGTCCACGGCCATAAATAGATCCTTCCAAGGGCGATGCGAGGCCCCAGATAAGATCTCTTCGCCCACGTCATCTACGCGGGAAGACTCATCAAAGCTGTGGAGGGTGCCTACAACGCCAAAGTCTTTGTGGCGATAAAACATGACATTTTTTGAACTGATGTCACCGTGAAGTACCCTGCCTTGGACAAACACTCTATGATGGCCTTTGCAAAAAAATAAATTAGCTTATCATGACGAAATTTCAAAAAGGCATCGAACTCACACTCGAAGATATCCAGGAATGCTGTTTTAAATTCTTCAAGAGAATCAACCATCCACAGCTCAAAGCAGCGTTCAGCGACGGTGACCGTCAGATTGCGCATCTCTACTATCTTCTTGTCCAACTGGATACCCATCTTGAAGCGAGGAAGGTGAAGATCTCTTTCAGAGTCGTAGACTCGATGAAAGGAAAGGCGGGGCAGATGATTCCGCAGCTCTGGAGCGGCACGAAGGATTTCATTGATCAAATCGATTTCGAGGCTTTGGTCAGGGTCCGGCCATTGGAATTTCAGCACCATCTCTCTTCGGCGCACTCCATGGCATGAAGGACGAACGGGAAGGGTATATGTGCGTCTCCCCTGCATTTGTCGAGCAACGAACAAGGGATTACCGGTTACAATGAAGTTGCACGGTACACCGTTGTTATCCGTAAATCCGAGCCGCTGTCCCTCCCATACCCAAGCACGTCCACTTCGTGGTGCCGGCCCTGCCGTAAATGGGTTGAAACCCATCTGCACCGAATTGCATCTATTTATGGAGTGCATTACGAGAATAAGGCATGACGGATCCTCTAGAAAGTTAAAAGGAATGGAGCGTAATGCACCCATGGAATCGTAGTACCACAAGGTGATGTCGTAGTTGTTCACCGAAAGAGCGGTCACAAACATACGATAGTTAGCTAGAAAGCATTCGAGCACATATGTACCGAGTTGGGCGTCTTTCATCGTGTAGTGGTTACATGTTGACCTCTCGCAGGATACCGCCTTTTTTCCTTCCGAAGGCGGTTTGGTTTTCGCCATCTCCACAGGGAACAGTGTAACACCCCAGAGTTTGTGTCGTTTTATGCGATCATTTTCTGACTTTGCGGTATGACCAAGGGATCGTACATACGCCAACTTTGGGTTTGAACTTGAGTGTAGTTGATTCAGAAAGACGCTGAAGGATGTCCTCGCAGATGATTTGGAACTGAGCGTACAGTTCGGGTTCCGTATGATCACCAAGAAGGATGTCGTCATATTTTTCCAAAGCCGATTCATTCAACTTCCAGTTCCGCGTGTGGTGTAGAACCTTAGCGACTTCATCCTCTTTTAATCCCCAAATGTGCTGAACCCATTGGCTGACATCCAGACTTTGGTCCGAGAACGTGCATGGGCCTAAGGAGACCTGGAGCTGATGCTGGCATTCGGAGGCGGACGGTGTTACGCGGGTATGTCCTCTCAGAGTGGCATCCATGTCTGTAGGTCTGTGTATTAGCCGATGCTGCCTGGAGTCACAAAGACTAAGAACTCATACACACTAGACAATTGAAAGTTCTCGTTACGGTGAGGACTAGAGTGAGGGTATCTGTAGATGTTCTGATAGAGCCTTTCACTCTATGAAGGGGTGTCTAACAGTATTTCAGGAATTCACAAAATCACGCAGCTTCGAAAATGATGACGATGCGTCGAAGCTTACAGTATTGCCAATTTGTGGACACAATCAAACTTTTATATCCGATTTGGCTGTATAGCAGGCGAATTCTGCTGCTGGAAGGTAGCCCTCTCTTCATACTCCCATGGAATAGTATAGAAAATATCCTGTAAACGTCGATATCGGTCACCATCTTCGTGCTTGCCAATGGGAAATGGACCTGACACATGTACTTATGTCACTGTTGATTGACTAACAATTTACATACCCGGTCCGGAACGCCCCAGAGTCAAATTTGATTGGATCTCGATTTGTCTCCGTCTCATGCATCAGCAGTAAAGATGCCAGCAACGACCTGCGATCTTCAGCCTCCTGCACCGGAGGAGGCAATACAAAACAAGAGGTGGAATATGGAGAGGATTATATCAAGTCCTCTCACCGAATTCCGGACACTGGCACCCGTAGATAGCAGACTAGTACCCTGTGAGTCAAGTGAGTTTCCTAAGCTCCTGCGCGCGCTTCAGCCGGATCGTTAGCTCGTAAGTCTCGGGCAGAAGTGGAAGAAGGATGATAGGTGTGAAATCGGCGATCCAGATGAGTTCATAGTGAAGCCACCCCCATCCGTTGGCCTGTGCTGCGAACCCTCCGATGACTGGACCAGTAATGGAGTCTGGAAGATGACGAGTAGGAATAATTACTATGTACACCGGGTTACAATCTATCTTCGGAAGTTCTTGAAGAGACGTCAGACAGCGATACGGTTGAACATAGGAGATCTTACCAAGGACGTATAGTGTGAGGGCAGCCGCATTCTGAGAGATATCAAAATCTGTCATCCGGCCGGAAATTGATGACGTGTGGATGGCTGAGCCGATATACACAGTCAAGATCAAAAAATTGGTATTGAACGCGACAAAGGTGCATTTTGCAGGTGACCTCGCTAGGAATGGAATTGAGAAATATATCAATCTAGGTCAAATGAAGCAAACCTTGGATTATACTGACCGTATCGCCGTACCATCCTACTATGCATGGATCTGAGCTAAGAGCAGGATCGGGCTGTTCCGCAAAAGGACTCGAGTCTGTCACCAAGCGATAGTACAGTAAGCCAAGGGGCAGAGATTACACGTTTCAGTCATTATCATGATTAAGAGGATATACACCGAGCTCGGGAATGCTGGCCCCAGTTCCTAGAGTAACAGGCAATAGAACGCCGGAGTGATTGCAATATGAGTGATGCTAAACCTAAGGAAACTGATGGATGTGTCGTAAGGAGAAGAGCATCCCGGTTTGCCCAACTGGCATCATGATCAGCTCGCCGACTAGCCTAAAGCACATGCACGCGAGGATAAGACGCGCACTTGGAACATAAGTGGGTCAGATAGATACAGAGTCATAGTCACTTGTTTACCAGTATATCATGATGGCATGGGTTCATTTTATATTCATTGTGGCGCTCTCGTGAATGCAAAGCTCAGGGACAACCGGAAAGATGTACACTTAATGCTGTTATCGTTCAGCGCTATTAAGGCCTTATGAGCGAGGTTTGAAGGTAAATGCAAAGTGCGTACCCATATTTCCAAGGCCAGATCTTGTGAGTTCTTGTGAGACACTCACAGTGACACGATCACTGATCAGTGCACTTTCGAAGTCCGAATGGGACACGTGCGGGTATCATGATCCGTGCGGCGAGTGATTCGGCTGTCAGCGCGCGACTGGTATTAACCGGGGCGCTATGTATCGACATAACAAGGGACGAACCGCGAGTTCTCCAGAGCTCTGTCAGAGTTGTGAGTCAGACCATCCCTGCCAACTACTACCTTGTACTAATGCCAAAACCAATAGCTTCGTTGCCAATATTGAGACGGATAGTGTTAGTTTTTCAGTATGCGCGTTTAGCTGCTTAATTTACTGCATTTTAGTGTTCACCTGGGTGTCAATATTAACCCACCTTCAAGCCCAGTTTGTTTGAGGTCGAAGCCCCGCAGCAAGTGCCACCACGCTTTCTTATAGACGCAATTGTTTTCGGTCTCACATGCGCAGTTGTCGTCGACGACGGCGACTGGCGATGACCAGCAAGATCAATCGAGATCGTACCATCTCGATTTCCGTTTCCTGATGTGTGGCAGGTGTCTCTTTTTACATCTTGGTAGTTTTTTCCCTTTCCCTTTCATTCCCAGGAGCTTAGTTACCCATTCTCCTTGGTTTTAGGGACGGCCCAAATGTCAAGATTTCGGCTACATGAGCCTCGACTTTTCTGAGGCGAGCGTCATCGCTGCTAGGCTTTTGAAGTTCTCCGTTAGGGCTAGGTCATGCACGGTATGTGTTACGTTCTTTTTTTTTTTTTTTAACTAATTTCGGATTAATTTATCTGCCCCCAAATGAAATGTCGCGCCTCTGCACGCTCGTTCACTCTCCCCGCCTCCTTCACGTTGAACTCTCCTTCATCGCCGTCCTCGCCATGGCATGAACCCAGGACTACGTTGACGGGACCGAGTTTTGCCCCGCGTTTCAGCGAGCAAGGTGAAGAGGGCAGTCGTCGACGCAGAGGGACGTACAACGCGGGAGGCGAGATCCACTTCGATCCCGCCGATCATCCCTACTCCGCCACGTGTCCACACCCCGAGGCATGTCAATCTTATCGATGCCCTTCAAGTTTCCTCCACCGGCATGCGACTCTCTGAGGGTTTCTCCCTCGTTGCTGTCGCCATGCCTTCTTTGTCATCACCACTATCGCTGACCTTTGCCTTGTTATTTGAGTGCGAGGCCCTGTGGAAGAGGATTGCGCGTCGACGCCATTTATCGACGTCCGGAGAGCAAGGAAGAGTGAATGTCTTTGTGCCGCAGATTTATTATCTTGGCAAATGATGCTGTCGTGCATTGTGGAGGATGAATGAGCGATATAGCTATTCTATTGCTCTGCAGCGGCCAAAATCTTGCCGTTCCGCTGTCGTACACGTTCCCAGTGGGAGAGTAGTTGAGTTACGTGTTAACACGAGATTATTCGTCCATTCTTGTCAGTTGGAACTGGAGGTCAACGGAGATCTGTCTACCGACGTTGTCCTGGGTTTCGATTGGTTCCAGTTGTTTGCTGGACATGCCTGTGAACATCAATGTGAGTCTACGCAGGAAGTTTTATGCCATAATGATACTTATATCCTTTAAGACACGCCTCAACCTTGGATACAGTTGCATCAATTGTTAGACATGTGAGATAGTGTCGGCCGTCATCTACATTGTTCATTCCATCCGCTTCTGATGATTTCGTTGTTGCCAATCTATTCGAGCATGCTAGTGGTCGGTACTACCTGCCAAGATTCGTATCGTCATGCTCGCATTATACTTCTAGTCACCTGTCGGTACGCTGTTCATAGAAGATTGGGACTGTCGACGCTAGAAGACACGCAATAGTGACAAACGGACGGAATTTCTAATGATTTGCTCATAGTCAGCAATTCAGACATACAGACGATCAGGACAACTTCGAATATGTTCCGTCCAAAGGTGTTATTCATTTTTGTTGTACCACAAATTTCTATTGATCCGTATATTATAGCCTTCGGTAATTTCTGACCCCGTTATGTCGTCTTACGTTGTCCTGAGCGGACACGTACATGCATTCAATGTTGTCGCCTTGCAGTATGATCTTGATCTGATAAACATCAGAACTTTGAGTAGACATGTCATTGTGATGGGTACCGAAGCAGAGAGGTCAGTTGGAGGCGCGTTATGCATGATTACTTTTAAGGTACTTGTAGCCATCTCTGTGCACGCGTATTTTCTGATGTATATGTCCATAGATAAAGCACTTTTGTATATTAGTCACGAATCGCGAATCGTTCAATGCGTCCCTGGGATCTATTCTTATTTTGGTGCCACCGTCGGATATGAAGAAGAGTGTTAAGGACATGGTGACATGGTGTTGCTCAGTCAGACACAGTTGGCTTCCCCTGAATGACCTGTGCTGTTTAGATATCACATGCGATGCAAACATTAAACAGTTCGACTGTATCTTTGAGCTTCCCACTGTCGCAGGTCTTACCCTTTGAGATGGCGATTCCTCCGAAGGTTCACTGTTGGTGTGGTGGGATCTACAGAAAGAGGCGGATATCGCATACATACGCCATATGCTGAAATGCCGTCGTCGTGCTCTCGAATGCGCAACAATTGCCAGGCTAATGTTACACTGCTTGATCCCTTGAAGATTTGTCTTCCCGCAACCCCCGGCTGGGAATCTCTTTTAAAAGACCGGACTGAGAGTTTCCTTTATATAGTGTATATGTGAGTCCATTTTTTCTTCTATGCAGACTGCGTTTATCATCCAATTCATAGGTGTTTATTAAGATTTATATACTTTATCTGTCTCGCACTAAGCACACACGTATAAATCTATTTTTTGCCTTGACTTATCCATTCACGTGCCTTTGAATATCCCTCAGTCGACTCTCGCTTGTATCGGTCACAAGCCACCCTCACGACTACCCTGGTAGTGGATCTGGTAGTGAAACCGATATACTATGGCTAATGCGCGTCTTATAGTTCTCTGACCTTTCGGATCTACTGAGTGCGCAGAACGCAAGTATCGAGTACGCTATCCTGTTCATGTTCACTCTAACGACCTTCACCTTGCCTTTTTGCTGCTCGCTAACTGTCTTATATTCTACATTGCATATCTCTCTTCCATCGTGCAAATCTCTGTTCGTCTGCGGAAGGCTGGCTCTCACTTGTATCGATCATGCATTGTTTGAAGATCCCCGCGTCTGTCCTCTCCTGGTTTCCTATTATTCCTCTGGGTGTACGTATATTTCGAGTTGAGCCTCCCTCACTGCGACTTGATAATGGAATTGATGTCCAATAACATACCTTTTTACAGTTCTGTGTCCATTCGGAACCGCCGTGTGTACAATATTCAGGTACGTTGTCCTGATTGTGCTTGCTCTAACGACCTTTATATTGCCTTCAATCCATCTGCTTACTTTCGTGCCTTGTACGGTCTGCAGAGAGCCTGTTCTGTTCCCATATATTGTTCTCGTCCAACGAGTAAGCAACCGACCGAGCACATCGTGCCGAGTCTCCGGTTCTCTTACAGCGACTCAGCAGACTTAATATCCCTTGGACTGCTTTCTTTCATCCATCCCACCATCACGGCGAAGAAATACAAGAGCAATTCCAAGCCTATCCTCCATCCAACGATGCTCGTCCTGAAGGGAGTACAAGCGGCGATGAAAATGGCGCCTTCCTATATACCAAGGCGTCGCTGCTTTGGCTCTGACTGTACTGGATATCATCGATGTACAATCTTTGGTACGATTTCTAGTCACATCTCAACCGCAGCTTGATCGATCTCAGAAGGGACTCCTGGACTTGCTGCCGGTTACGCGCATCTCACGGATTCCATCATCTTTTCCTGGTGATGTTCAAGTTATGTTGTGATGCACTAATCTGTCGGGTTGGATTTCTTAGAACCATAATATGTTAAATTGAAAAAATATATTTTGTTTTATATTGTATGTAGCAAATAAGAAAGAATTGTTACACACTGACAGTAAAGACTGGCGATCAAATATTATCACAGCTGCCTTTTCTGTCATCTAATCAATTAGGCACGTTCTGCGGTGACTTTACCTGCTCCATCTCTACGACAAAATAACAGTATCCCACTCTCCTGAACCTATCACCTCGCTCATGACGTCAACGCTACTGCCGCTGTAAGCATCAACCGTCGCTTGTGCGACTTTCTTGCCCTCCTTCGGTAGCATTACCTTCATCGTCGAAACCACGCCCATCACGACAGAATATGGGAGTCATCTTGTGTGTATTGAGGTGAGCCGAAGGATGAGAGGGATTGGAGGACGAGAGATCTGACGCATGAGTGGATTGCACCATAGAACCTGTGCACGCTGGTGTAGGGATTTGGCCTGGGGCGTTAGCTTGGTACAAGGTGCGTGCTCTTTAATTCTGTGGGTTGCGTTCAAAAGCTCAATCATGCTCTTAGACGTGCCCGAAAATTACGTTGAGCTGGGAGAAATCAGGAGAGAAACATCCGCGGAGCGCACATGACGCGTATATGGACGCCCGGCGTTTGTTGGGGATGCAGTCATCAATATTGAAACTAGGAAGAGGAAAAACGAACATGCACCTGTGCATACGACTATGGATCGTGATCACGAAGCCACCGAAGGCGGAACTTCAACAGGGAGAAAAAAATCGCAGCCCGAACCTGTGAGCTCGATGGCAGAGGGTGATGCTGCAATCGATTCGAATGGCGGCAGAGATGAACACAATTTGCATACACTCAACATTGGTCCCCTCGATGATGATGAGACCTGGGTCCGGTCCACTCATTGTGAGTACACCGAGAAGCCAGTGCAGTCTAACTTACCGTCACAGGGCAGATCGAGATCCCGAGGGACTTTATTTGCAGGCATCTCAACTGCAAGGACGAGACTTTATAATTTGGCCAGAAGAATACGATGCGGAAAACGATAGCACCAGAGAGTTCTTATAGAGGGTGCTGATGCTGGAACAATGAGTCTTTGGACAAAGGCAGGGAGGGTCAATTTGACACGTCGATGATTGGAAATTTCTTGAATGCCAGGGGATAAATTTCGTTCGCCAGGTATATAGAGTGAGAATTTTCTTGAAGGTGGGCCAAGGTTGCAACTTTGGAGGATTACAGACAATAGATTTCTTGAGGCTGTACAAAGTATATAACGAAACAACTGAAATTCCAAGTCAACGCTGGACATTCCGTACTAGAAAAAGGAATGCACGAACCTAAAAAGTACGCCTCGTGTCCAGTACTGGAAGCAAGTCGATGTTACTGACCAAACCAGCACCCCCAAAATCCTGAAAAACACATTTGTAGCTAGAATGACAACACGAATTTGTGCGGAGGCTTGTGTGAGTGTCGACATGACGAAGATCGCGCACATCCATGACATCTGCGTAGATGAGGCAGCATTAACATGCCTGATATTCACCTTGCTACTTTAAAAAGATCGGCGGCGACGGGCAGCTCCACATCCACAAGGCATCTTGGATTTCACCACAATCTTCGCTACCACCAATGTCGCAAGCTTCTTCGCCGTCATTGGCTTGCAGACGTGATACCAACGTGACGTAGGTATCAATTTCGGAAATCTGACGAGGCAGAGCCCCTAGCTGTAATCAGAAAACAACGAAGCAGAGCTAACAGTTCAGGCCTCTTACCTCCCCCGTCGATAGTATCGCTCCTTTCCTTTATCACAAGGAGTTAGATACGAGGAAAGGGTTTCCTAGATTAGCATCAGGCACATCCTGTTTTGTATCTCTTGAAGGGAAAAGGGCCATTAGTGTGTCCCTGCTCTTGAAGCCTTCAGTCATGAAAGCATCTCCATAAAAGCTAATGCGTACCGTGATATGTTTGCTTGTAGTCAACGGTATGCAGCGAGCGAGAACTATACAACAGAAAATTAACATAACTCTGATTAGCTGCAAAGCATCTCACAGTGTTTCTGCCTTCTTTAACAGAGAAGGTTCTCCTTCACCGATTTCAGACGGCATGGCCTGCGAAAATTCTAAACACCTAGCTTGCCGTGGTCGGGTGAGAGATCCATGTCCAGTTCCTCTACCGAAGAGACCGATCGTTAAGGCCTCTTGATTCATGCTCAATTGCTTCGAAGACTAATCTTTGTCTTTGACCTAACGCCCGTTCCCATGAACAAGAATATATACTGCACGGAGGACAAAGTGACACGTACTCTCTCCACAAATTTTAGCCTTGTATTCTTTGGCCCACCCTCATTGTCATGGCCGTAAGTTCGCATAGTTGTGTTCACACCTCGGCCCGTTGCCAATGAATTTCTGGAGCGAACAGACAGCAGCTTAAGAAACGTCAGACAAGGAGAAAGTATGCTCACTCCAGGGTTTGCCCTCTATGGAAACGAATCCTGCTTACAAGCATTCAGTAGCAGAAAGAGTAATTGAGTCCAGGTCAGATATACCCTGTGCATTTTGGCGACACTTTAGAGGGTCCAAGAGTCGTCGCAGCTGTGATTAGGACATGCATTGTAACTTCAGCTCGTCCATAAATACTATATTCCTTGACGTGTGTGGTACAACATCTGGATCTTTACAAAAGGCTTGGTCACCCTAACATCAGAGCCGGGTGCTGAGGATTGTATTCGCGCACTCACCGATGATAAGTTTCCCAAGAGTTCCAGTATACGGAGATTTGAATGAAGCACTGAGCATACATACTGGCGATTGTCGCAACATGCTGGATGCCTGGAAGGTATACAGTCCATCATGATTACAGTCAACCCGCTGCAGCGTCTGCTGTGCTGCTGACCAAGCTGCCCTTCAGCACGATCATCCGAGATCAAATTCTGCTTCGTCGGCAAAATTCCTTAACTCCTATTAAAGCCAAAATTGAACCCACAGCACCAGCAGGTAACGTCGCTTCGAGCATTGAGAATATTTTGTGTACTCATATTCTAGCAGGAATTCTTCTGTGTACCTCATAATGTGCTAAGATGGTGCGTAGGTGCTTTATTTAAAACATGGTGACACGGCAAGCGAAGGTCACGCACACAGTGAGCGAATCAACGATCTTCATGATCATTGTCCTCGGTCAGTGCATCGCTCTCAAGTCTCACTCTCTCATTGCCATTATCCGGCGCAGTCAACGATATTTCTACCTGAACACACATGGCAACCTCTTTCTCGCTAGCTCTACACAGTGAAGAGTCGACTAGGGCATACGGAATACTAGGTGCTTGGGGAAGGAGAACCGTTTTCTCTGCTGGACGTGCTTGATGAATCTGGAAAGTTTGGTGAGCATATTTTGGTGTATATAATGGCGAATTCTCAACTTACTGATCCAGTGCATAGTCTGTCAGTACTGCGTCCAGACGTCCCTGTATATTCACGATCCATTTCTTCTAAATGTGTCGCTTCCTCTTCCATGGATAATCTGCAGTACGCGCTGTCCTATTTCGACCCGTCGATGACCTTTTTGGATGGAGTCTACGTGTGGGGCAAAGACCGAGTAACAGTCTGTGCCTATGGCAGGATCATTAGCGACGGTGGCTGGGTATGGACCTAAGGAGGGGGTTGTGTTGCTGGGTGGTTGGTTATGGTGCATCCTCCTTTTCTCTATCAGATGAGTCATGTAGCAGCCTATCTCAAGCTGAAGCCTCTCCATGCTCGGCGCCTACAAGACAAGATCACCAATTATAAGAGAGAACGAGAGGCGCTCTTGTAGTGTTACGGTCGTTCCATTCAAAGTCACTGTATCGCTGTATCGCGCACATACCAATGCCTTGTCCTTACGAAACAACACGTTGACACGCTGCTGCGCCGCGCTTAGCAACTGTCATTCCGGGCAACCGCCTCCCAAGATGCTGATCAAACCCCGTCAGACGCTTCAGTGCCCTCTGCAGGGGCTCGCATATGCGTGCACTAAGGATGCAATGACTGCGCGATTGAGTGCCTCACTTGTGCGCGCGATTTATTTCAGCCAGTTTGAAAATATTCATTTCTACCTTTGTTTCCTTATAATGAATAGTTACAATTTCGGAGGCACAGAAAAATGTATTTTTAAAATGATACAGTTACATCGGACGGAAACTGGGGCTGAAACGTGTCGTAGTTATCTACCAGAAAGAGGAAGGAAATTTGAAAATGTGTTATAATATCCCCTATATGGAAATAGCGCTCCAAATTTAGGCTTTTCGATAGCGGTAAATCTCAAGGAAATGTATAATTTTCTTCTAATTTTTATGTCATGATTATTTATAGTTCTTGCCAAGCGGAAATCCTTTTGCGGAAACGTTTTCAGCTCCGCAAATCATTTCCTTCAGGCGGAAACTATTCGGTGGCAGGAGTGTGGGCTGTGTCACATCACACCTTATTGAAATTCAATTAAAAAAATTCAGCTTCATATCTCAGTTTACTATACTTGTTATAACAGTTTGAGATATGATTGTGTTTATAATCAAAGTTTTGTCTAAGCTGTAATAGCTATTTAAACTGTTACTGCATAGAGAATTTAGCATTGTAGCCTAAAATCACCTGTTAAGCCCGCTAAAGCACAGATGTAATAGCTGTTAAAAACGTTTTTTAATGGCTATAACAACTGCAAGGGAGAGGGATATCTATGGTACTTGAATAATTATTGAATAAAGCTGTCCTGCGTGCTCGTAATTATCAAGTCCTCTGGCATGTTTTATCAGCAGGTACGCATGACATAACTGAGCATGCGGACATCATTCCCCCCGAGCATGCGCTCACCGAATTACCTCTGTCATCAGCTGCCCATCAAATTTGCTGTGCCGAGCCTTCTGTTCATCACCCCACACGATGAGCTCAACCATATAGTGTATATACCTCAAATTTCAGCCCAAAATAATAGAAAAATGCGTAATATATAGATTAATTTTGTCCATTATGTTTTTTGACCTAAATAACATCAAGTGGCCTCATGAGATAGGGAAAACTATCAGAAATACGTGGTAAAAAGAGTAATAGGGGGATAGAGGAGACATACCTGGTATTTTACATTTCTAGTGGTTGGGGCGGGTACTCCTGTTAAATAACAGATGATATACATTGTATAATCATGTGTACAAAACTCCATGGCTATCCGAAATTTATTGAAGGAGATATGAGCAGATCATTCTGCAAAACAGGAGGAGCACATCCCCAATTTCGATGTTCCAGTCATCCTATGGTCCTGGGATTATCAGAATCGGATTCCTTGACCCAAAAAACACTAGGAACATCTATCATCCATGGGGGTAATATGTCAAAACTCCGAAGTACAAGAGGTTCTTACATTTTGTCTTATAGCTACATATGCCTGTATATGTTATCTGGGTAAAATGACCCCCATGGATGATAGATGTTCCTAGTGTTTTTTGGGTCAAGGAATCCGATTCTGATAATCCCAGGACCATAGGATGACTGGAACATCGAAATTGGGGATGTGCTCCTCCTGTTTTGCAGAATGATCTGCTCATATCTCCTTCAATAAATTTCGGATAGCCATGGAGTTTTGTACACATGATTATACAATGTATATCATCTGTTATTTAACAGGAGTACCCGCCCCAACCACTAGAAATGTAAAATACCAGGTATGTCTCCTCTATCCCCCTATTACTCTTTTTACCACGTATTTCTGATAGTTTTCCCTATCTCATGAGGCCACTTGATGTTATTTAGGTCAAAAAACATAATGGACAAAATTAATCTATATATTACGCATTTTTCTATTATTTTGGGCTGAAATTTGAGGTATATACACTATATGGTTGAGCTCATCGTGTGGGGTGATGAACAGAAGGCTCGGCACAGCAAATTTGATGGGCAGCTGATGACAGAGGTAATTCGGTGAGCGCATGCTCGGGGGGAATGATGTCCGCATGCTCAGTTATGTCATGCGTACCTGCTGATAAAACATGCCAGAGGACTTGATAATTACGAGCACGCAGGACAGCTTTATTCAATAATTATTCAAGTACCATAGATATCCCTCTCCCTTGCAGTTGTTATAGCCATTAAAAAACGTTTTTAACAGCTATTACATCTGTGCTTTAGCGGGCTTAACAGGTGCCTAAAATATTAAATTTTATAATCATTTACTTGTTTAATATTAGACTAGAATGCTCAGATAATATTATTGTAGTACTTGGGAGATTTCTAGTATCTCTTGTCGAGATATCAAATATGCTGCACTTCCAATGGCCGTTACTTATTGTTCCATCCCTTTCTATAGTATAATTCTATTTTTAGTAGTATATATGGTAGTGTACCTTGCAATTGAGCTCCTTACATGTTTGTGAGGTTCTCTGCTTATCTCAGAGTCCCCACTAGTCACCAACTCAAGCTATTTGTACTTAGCATACTCCAACATCTCTCAATAAGGTAGATTGTTAAAATAATATCACAGCTATCTTATAGTGTTTTCTAATGTTTACTGAAGCTGCAAACTTTATTTATAAGGTGTATACAGATCTATATCAATAATATATTTGTTAAAAATACATTCATTCAAATTTTAGTGATTGGCATTTATAATAATTGTTCTGTATATGTATTAAAAGAGCACAACTAATGTGTCTGAGGTCCTATTACTATGTATAGTAGATACAAATAGATATAAATACCAGTTATTGTCATAACCGGAGCATACCAGTCTTGTATTCCATAGTAGAAGGTCCTTGACATCGGCAATTTTGGTGTCAAGGTCTGATAGCAATTGGGTGCCTTGGTTCACAACATCTCGAAGAGGAGCTTCTTCGAATTCGAGAGGAGGTTCGTTGATAGAAAGCAGCTGTTCAATACAAGAGGTATGAAGTGAGGTTATGGTGATTGTTTGAAGGTTTCTCGCGCCACAGGTAGGGCAGCAGCCGTCGTTTGACATCGAATTTGAGACAATCTGTAAACGACACCGAAGCATAAGACTCGACGTGACAAGCAGAATCGGAAGCGATTACCTTAGTTCTCTGAATTTGTATTACAAGAAAGTGAGATGTTATAGTGCAAAGCTTAGCTATGAAAACTCGGAAGCCCACCCTAAAGTCGCGTGACTCGACGCGTCACACGGGCCGGTAGCCGGGAAACTGTCCAATTTCGTTTATCTTTCAATCACTGCTCAATTCAAACTCGGATTCAACTGAGCTTCGTATTCCAGAACCACGCTACTCACGCTACTACCAACACACACGCCATCAAAATGACGTGCCAGACAGACTTATAAGTACTGGCTGTTGGCGTAAATAAGTTGACTTTGATAGCAACTTGAATACTAACTTGTTTCATAGTACGACACTCTTTTTCTGGAGTGTTATTATGTCCCTAGAGTACAATTGACACCTATACCAGCTTTTAGAGTCATTTAAAGGAGACTTGACTGTACTAGGTGAAGATCTCCGAGTCCCATAGCCTATTCTGACTTAGCTAAGGGGTTTTAGTTATGTTACTATGGGAGTTTTATAACTTTATATGGCTATCAAATTTGGATGAGTAAAGGCCAAAATTACCGGTACGTTCGGAGAATGAGTGCGTGGATAATTGCAATTCCCGAAGCGACCGGTAAAAAGGTATGAGTAAGTAAGATAACCGAGATCGGGAGGGCGAGCCGGGGATGGTACCAATGTTGCGAGTACTACCTCTAGGCGCTGTTCCCATGCTTGACAATTCCACGGGCCCGAAAGTATTTTATAGGCCCTCTCCAGCCACCATTTGACGAGGTTGTAATCAGGTCATCATCATCTACGAAAGAAGTATAAAAATTGAGCACGTTCTTTTTCTACTCTCTACCTCTTGTCGCTGCTACGATGGCTGATCAGATCCCAATGACTACACGCTCATATTACTTCCCTACATTCGGCTCGTATACCAATCTCACCTTGCAAACAACGCCTATTCCGCCTATCAAGGCTACCCATGTCCTCGTCAAAGTCCATGCTGTTTCGCTACAGTACCGCGACCTCGTCATCGCCTCGAATAACTATCCAGCAGCCATTATACCAGACAATCTTATCCCATGCTCAGACATGGCCGGGGAAGTAGTGGCCGTCGGTTCTGATGTGACGCGCTGGAAAGTCGGCGACAGAGTCTGTGCCAATTTCTGCACTGATCATTTAGACGGAGACATCGACGCGGATATCTTTAATTCGACTCTTAGTGCAGGACAGCAAGGCGTGTTGACAGAGTACAGGACTTTCAACGATTATGTGCTACCTTTTCTTGTCGTTCTTCCTCTCGTTGTATTAATCCGCATTTTCAGTCATTGGTCAAAATACCCGAGCATTTATCCTACGAGGAGGCGTCGACGCTGCCTTGTGCTGGGCTCACGGCTTACAGTGCGCTCATGGGACCCAAACCAGTTAAAGCAGGTGATAGCGTACTTATCCTCGGAACTGGTGGCGTGTCCATGTATGTGTTGGTCTCAGTTACGGTTCTTCCTTCTCATCTTGTACTGTACAGTTTCGGTTTACAGTTTGCCGTTGCCTCCGGAGCAACTGTTATAGCAACATCGTCCTCAGACGCCAAGTTAGCCATCGCCAAGAAACTCGGCGCCACCCATACGATCAACTACAACACGACTCCCGACTGGGACAAGGAAGTTCTGAGGCTAACCGGTGGAAGAGGCGTCGACCATGTTTTGGAGGTAGGTGTACTCCTCTCTTTGACCAATATCATTTTGACATTCGAAGGTCGGAGGATCTGGTACCCTCAAGAAATCCATATCGGCTGCACGGTATGCAGGATGCATTCATTTGATTGGGTTTGTGGCCCAAAACAACATTTCGCCCATGGATTTCATTGTAGCTTGCATGAGCAAGACCATTCTCATGCGAGGCATAGCAATTGGCTCTGTTGCACAGTGAGCTTCCTTTCCTTTCCATGCTCATCATCTGTTGCTATAGTGGAACCCTTAGGTTCAAGTCAATGAACCGGCTGTTACGGGCTCATACAGAGTCGACGCGTCCTGTCATCGACAAGGTGTTCTCTTTCGAAGAAGTGATTGATGCGTACGCGCACTTGGAGAGTCAGAAGCACGTTGGGAAGGTAGTTATTCGTGTCGGTCCCGCGTGATGTGTAGAAAGAGGATTTAACCGTTTCTTGACAATTTTTCCAGTCCTCACTGATTGGAACTTTAAGTATCCATTTAATCATATATAAATACGTATACGACAGTAAGCCCTGACATAAGAACACCGGACTATATTGCGAAATATGAATAAATAAGCCAGTCCATCTGCCACTATATACTGAGAATAAATTTGTTTAAATATTTAAGGAATGGAAGGTAGAAACTGTTTAGTGAAGGACTAAGCTGAAGCGATCTACAAATCATCTTCAGAGAGAGCATCATAGATTGGGCAGAGATTATCCCATTGATCTGGAATAAGTTTGAATGAGATCGCGTTCAACTATCCTCGAGGGTGCGTAAACATACCGGTAGGATCAATAGTGGTACTCCAGTTACCCGTATCTTCTGCGAAAACAATGGCCAGACCGCTAGCAGATGATATTCCCCACGTTAGTATACACGAGCCTGAGATGAAGTGCGCTGGACTCACGCTTCCAAATGCCAGTCAATGTGACTATGAACCAGAATAAGTATCAGCACACAGACATTTGGATCAAAATAGAGAACACACCAATGAAGGAACCAAGGCCCGGGGTTGTCGGTCGTGAACCGGATGGTGACGTTATCGCCCGTCGTCCCAATGCTGACGACATCACGCCTAACCGGGTTTGCGTAGTTGTACACCGGACTTCCCGCACTTCGAACAACATCAAAGGTATGCTACTTTATCTCAGCTTCAGTCCGCGAGCAAGGAACAATGTGACTAACCCCGTGCAAATGGAACGGATGCTAGAATAAGAAAATTGTATCAGCGAAAAGGGAACATAGCGGCGCACGCAGACAACTGACCACTCCACCAACGACGCCTCCAGGCATCGACAGCTCGATAGTCGCATTCATCGGAAGCGGGAATATGGAACCCTCGGGTAGGAGGTCATCCGCGGATTGTGCCCCACTCAGGATTTGTAGAAGGACAGGGGTAGTGGGAGCAGTGAACTGCGCTCCGTTAACCGTAAACGTCCCCGCTGAAGTCTTTCGCCGACAAGGCTGTTAACTCTGCTGAAGACCAACCAGGGAAATATTGAACATACGAATGCGAAAGCAAGGTTTAGCGCATAGTCGACGCCTCCAATTTCTGGTAAACCAGGCTACGAAACTATGAGCGATAGCAAATGCATACGGATGAGCTGACTTACTGCTCCGGGATTCTCAAGTGGCTATGAGGTATAAGTAAGGATTGTGCGAACAAGTGAAATGGGGAAATCTCTTACCACTAACTCAGTCTCGTTCATCTTGAGTACGCTGGTAATCGTTGACGTCTCTGGCTCTTCATCCGCCGCACCAGAGTAACGAAGTATGGCAGAATTTATCCCACCTGCAAATCCTACTGTGCCTACACTTGGCGTAGCGCGGATCCCTGGAGGACAGATAAGACATTTCATTTGAAGTGAAGGCCAGAGAACGTACAGTAATTGCCAGGAGCTTGGTCGGCAGTGAGCTGTTGTAGTAGGTAAGCTTCTAGAGAATACATGAAGGAGAACAGATCTTACGACGAAAGAATATCGTTGGCCTACAATTCCTGTCAATACAAGTACGAACTCATGGTGCGAGAAATATACGCGTACCAGCGTAAATTTGAATCTCGTCAACAGTGTAAGGAACATGATTGACTCCGTCAACTTCAATTATAGTCCTGTCCATCCATTAAGGTCTTGATCGGACAGATACAAAAGAAGGGACAGACATATTATGACCTTCGATCGAGAAAACGAAGTCCGCGTCGCAGGCCATGTTGATCATACGGAAGCGGTAACTATTTGAGCAAGTCAGCGACGGCGCGAGTGCTTGCAAGGAAAGACAGTACCGAGTTCCCTGTTCAACAGATATCACAGACAAGTTCGAAGTGGGGTCTTCACTCCATCTAAATTGAAAATAAGTGAAGATTTTGAAGATCGTTATTCAGTACTTACCGCCCCAGTCCGTTAATCAGAGTAGAGTCTGGCGTGCTAAGAGGCTGTTAGGCGAAGCGACAGCAATGGACAAGTCAGCACTCACGGAAAACCAACCTGCTTAGCTGGGGTATGATACCAGTCCGAGAGCGACAAGATCGTTGTTTCTGTAAAACTCGGTCGAAAAGTAGTAACATGGGATACCGACAAGACGAACCATCATCGACATCATATAAATCCGCATGAGGATCGTCAGGGTCATAAATAATAAAGGGTCCTCTAAGACCGTCGCAGTATTGCGTCGCTGATTGACTTATGAGCTTAGGGAAGGGATAGGCCATAGAAGCTTACATAGATGAGAGTGGTACCAAAATGTTCCGGCCTGGTCTGCGGAGTCGAAGATATACATGAAAGAGTCTCCCTTCGCTATGGGACATTGGCTGACAAAAGCAGAACCATCAGCCCATCCGCTGCCTTTCATCAGGAGACCATGCCAATGCTAACATCATAGGAAGGGATAAGCAAAGGATAAAATGCCAAAGGAAATAAGTACTTACAATAGAGGTACTCTGCAGAATGGTGTTGTCCGTCAGGTTATTAACAACGTTTATTTCGAAGACGTCGCCCTAGTATGGCACTTCAGAGACGTACGAAACTTCCGTTCTGGATGCCGTTACCTTGGTGCCAGTAATGAGTCCCCTGTCAACGACGCCATTGGCGAGTGCGGTGGTACGAGAATAACCATCCGGGGAGACCTCGACGTTGCTAATGACGAGATCGCCCGTCGGCCCAATCTGCGCTTGAACAAGAGCAATGAAAATGAGTGTAGCAAGAGTAGCGAGCGTGAAAGCCATGTCTAGATGAGAAGGCTGGGGAATGAACGAGGCTATTGTGCCAAGATTTATACCCTGAAGAGAAGCGAGTTTCGGCTGAAGCTCTGCTACTCCGTCACACAGGCTGCCGTTTTCTTGCTGCGGAACCTGAAGGAACGAAACAAGTGTGCGGGTGGGCGCTCAGCCCGGAAATGCGCTGTCGTACCTTGATATCGACAAAGACGCCTTCAAGGGAATGGTCTGCTGCCTAAATCCAACTTCAAGCCATAGCAAACCAAGAGTCAGATTCTATGGAGTCTACTAACCTTGATACACTGATAAATACAGACAACCAGAGCAGCTTTGGGCCGTGATCAACAACAGCCGGATGGCAGAACGCATGCTGAACGAATATGATACAATCAAGGCTTTGAGAAATCATCTTACGTCTACCGAGTTCAGGTTGCAGTAGGTACCGATACCGGGATATCAGTGTCCATCTTGTGTGCAGGGAATCATGATGATAACGAAATGGTGAGCGCCATTCACCATTCTCCGACTGATCATGATGATCAATGACACTACATCATGGCTCGGCAGGAACAAAGCACCTGTAGGTCTGCGGGTATCGCACAGCTAAAGATGCGCTACCCGTTGAATGACATCGAAAATTTTTAAGTATAGAATACGATGACCCACCAAGGATCCGGTTTCCAGCATCCATGTAAATGTACATTGACACCTGCTGCGGGAGAGAAGGCTGATAGAAAAAAAAAAACACGTTTGATTTCGGAGACGAGGCTTCCGTGGGCCTCAGCGCGAGCTTCGCTATTATTCGCAAGATCAGGGAAAGATCCTCAAGTCCAAGATAGGAATTCTCGACCATCGGATCCCAAGTGCCCCGAATATTTGTCGGGTCAGATGAGTGCTTCCTCGGCGATCACGCCAAGCGTGTTTATTGCCACGTTCAATGTTCAATGTTCTAGGCACCAGGGGACCTCCGAGTCTACCGCTGCCGGACCAACTGGGACCGATATTCGCAAAAAGGATCTGGAGTCGAGCCTGTACTTCAGCCCCTTGAATTCAGCCAAGGGGATCCTATACTACAGCGTTGAATTGGCACATATTCTGAACGAATAGCCAATTCAATTCGAATTCAATCACCCACAGTGATGCCGAGGAGGCAATGATGTAAAGGGGAAATGGTGAGTAAATGTTACAATTGAAAAGGACGGCATATGAACAAACGACTCGGAGTCTTCGAGACGCTCCACTTTAAACTTGACCGACTTCCATCAAGGCTTTTATTTTCTCAGATCTCGGCCTAATATCGCAAGACGGCCTATTTGGCACCCTAGACCATAGGTTCGCTTTAGTTCGGACAGACAAAAGAGATGACAGGCTTACCTGAGGAAAGAAATGTTACACTTGACTTGTACTGGGTCTTCCCCAGATCTAAAGTCGCGATCGTCGAGGAGAGGAGCAACCAAATGGACAACTAAACCAAGTCTGCGCCTGGGCAGCGTCTAGTACGAAAGTAGTCAGAACAGAAAAGGCCGTATGCTATTTTAAAACGTACTGCAAACGTACGAACCTCCTTCCAAAACCGAAGATATAATTCCTTGGACCTTCGGAGTCTCACAGGCCACCTGAAAAGTTAGTTATAAACTCTGACGAACTGGCGAGGCGTAAGGGAAAAAATTGCCTTACCATATTTTTCTGCTCATTGCGTGGCAGTTAACCAAGATTCAATAGACGTAAAATAATACATGTTTCCCAATAGAGGAGTGCCAAAACCTGGCCCCTCATTGTTTGATATCGGAATCGTGATGCTGCCCAGGAGGCCCGCCAGAGGGGAGTTAAAAACAGAAGAACCTGTATCTTCATCAGACAGGAAGAGATCATTGCGGCGGAGAGGTGATACCCAAAGACTTCGAGATGCCTTGGTAATATTTTGAACTTCTTGTTGTAGTGTTTGGTAGATCACATATCTACAGTATCCAACTGGTGGAGATGGCAGACAAAATATGAGCAGAAAAATAGTGGTCCATTCTCTTAGTTCTTGAAGCTCGGTTCGTCGGCGTTTGAAAGAGAGGAAGGGCGACGCAGTTCCGCTTCCCCGGGCCGGCACAGATGTTGATCAAGGCGTCACAATCACGTGCCGTTACAGACGCGTCCGTTACGGTTTTTTTCCACGACACTGCACGAGCCCACTCTTTCATCATCACCATCATGGATGTCGAGATGCTCGATGTTTCTTCGGGTGCTCCCCAAATCTCTGCCAGCAGTCGATTCTGCGCCTCGTGCAAAAAGCCAATGCCCAACGATGCACTCTATAAATCGTGTGAGCTATGTCTAACCAAGAAACGGGAATACCAGAGAAGACGCGCCACCGAACGAAAGAAGCAAATAATGGCTATTAAAGATGTTGTTGGGATGAAAAGGAAGGCTGAGGATGTCGTATTGGATGCGAATGCGAAGAAGAAAAGGGTCAGACAAATTTTACGGGAGGTACAAGTAACGGACTCAGTACAGGACCCCGTGGTCTCTGTACGTGTTTCCCTCGCCTCTCTCGTAGCTTCTTATTTACTTTTTTTCTTCCAGAAAGGAGTCAGCGGAACCTTCGTTGTCCAAACGGCGTCCGACCTTTACAAGCTCGTGAAAGCCCAACCAAAGCTCGTGAAAGCCTGCCATTCCATCATTTCTGTCGAATCCATCGATCACCAGAAACGTACCAAGCTTGTGTCGAAAGATCTTCTTTCCTTTGCGGGACTCAGATTCGAGTATGTCGCTCATCTTGCTGGTGCGAGCGCGGTCTGACAACATCTTTAGCCGCTTCGAGAATATTTTTAACGGGATACATCTTCCCGGCACCTATACGCGTATCTTCAAGTGCAAGTGCCAGTCGAAAGAGCCGTCGAAGGAACAGGAGCCGTTGAAGCGTAGGGCAAGCGACTTAAGCTCTTGGGTTGTTTCTTCAAAGTCCAAATCGCCAGAGGGCCCTTGCTCAGGTAGGATCACTGTCGTCGCAGAGGACGATAATTCTCATCCTTTGGGTATCCCTGGGCAAAAGGTTACTGTCACCGTTAACCACTAAAGCTTGTCCTTGTCTTTTCTTCTTGCTTCAATTTACCTTATGCTTGTAGATAAATCATCATATTGATCTTGTACATTTTCACTACTACATGTAAAATACCCACAGTGGTCGTAAATTCGTATTACGTGCCGTCAAAGACATAAAATGGAATCATACTCCTGAGATCATTAAAGACAACCAACGTCCTTCGTTAAAGGAAATGCCTAAACTCTGGGCTCGCCACGCCGACAGCGAGCGCCGCCGTCGGCACGTCTTTGCTCGACCAGTTCACACCTTGAGCCGTGTTCCTCCGCCTATTGTCAACCATCATATACGTACGCAAGCTGAGAACGATGCTTATGCCCACAGCGAGGAAGCTAAAGTTGACTACGAGGGCGGTGTTGTAGTAGGGCTCTTCTTTCGCCGTGAAGATATTGGAAGCAATAAGACCAGAAGCTACGCGCACAGATTAAGCCGCGTCGAAGAAGAATTATATTATAAAGAAAGAGACGCACAATTTACGAAGAAAGCCATGAGTGCCGTACGGAAACCGCGTCCAACTTCGGATGCATCGCTGCAGAGGTAACCTGATCAGTTGACACCCACAACCTAAATAACATTTACTTACTTGCAATTATGCCATGATTGGAACATGGCCGAAGGCGTGAACGCTCCAAGACACAATAGGAAGGAACCGAAGTACTGAATACCAGTATTCGATACATCAACAACATAAACTAAACACCAATAAATAGGACGCATAATATGAGAAGGGAAGATGAACGCACGGATGATGAAGCCGATCATCGTTACAGTCATCGCACCAGCCATATGCAACGACCGTTCTCGGAAATAATCCGACGAGGCTGCTGTGAGTAGCATACCAAACCCACCGACAAAGTTGGGTGCGACCTATATATGTGACGCTCGGTCAGCAAATCCCTAATGATAAAAAGGTCAAGGATAGTTCGTACGGTGAGCAGATTCGTCGTCAACTCGCTCTTTCCCATTCGTCCAATGATCTGAGGGAGAAATATCCCAGTCGAGACAGCAGATACTCCATAACCGATGGCGATCAACGCCCAGACATAGAGCTTCCAGTCCTTGAGGGGAGCGAAGAACGCTTGAGAGGTGAACTTTGGGTTGATGACTGCAGATGAGTCACGGAGAATACGTATCCGTGCAACATGCTTTTCCTCTGACGAGAAAAAGGGCGTCGAGTCGATATTAGCGGGTAGGATGAATCTGTGAACATGTCAAGAATACACCAGGAAAATGGACGAGGTAGCATACATTGCCAAGATGGAAAAGAAGACAGTTCCAGCGCCTTCGACGAGGAAGAGTAGCTGTTATGAAAGGTAGGTGGTGAGCGGGCGAATCAGGAAAATATATTCATGTACCTGCCAACCATAAAGACGGATATCCGGCTGGAACACCCCGTATGCGATCAGCCCAGAGAATCCGCCCGCAAAAGCAAGCGCTGAATAGAACATGGCGACACGCTTTCCAAGTTCACCACGCCTAGTAATGTATTAGATATGCACGAGATAAAAAAGGGAAACATACGTGTAAAAAGTAGTCAGATACCAGACGATGGTGACAGCAAACCCAGATTCTGCTGCACCAAGGAATAGCCGCACCATCAGAAAGCCAGCAAAGTTCTTGACCCTAAACGGCGAGGAATGAGAGACGTAAACCAAAGTCGTCCAAGATGACGTACGCAGCGTTTGCCATACATATTCCGCCAAAAGTGAACATATAGAGTGGGAGCGCCACTTTGGCCCCGATCTTCTTTGAGAGTGCGATCGCCGGGATGGTAAGGGTGCAGAATGGTATGTCTAAAAAAAAGTTCAGTCAGATGGTAGATTAACGTACAGCCCGAGAAAAGTCACGCACAAAACAATGAAAGCATAATCGAATAGTCATTCCCATGGAAGTGTAAGTCGCTCTCCAGTCCGTCCGTCTTTGCATTGCCTGGTAGACGTTACACATCAACGAATTTACACACTGCGTACCCACCAACCACTCACCTAAATTTGACCTGTCGATGGCGTTGAAGACGTACATGCAGAAGATGAGCGGCATAAGTCTCGTATCGAGCTTCCGAACGACCCTCCGCTCCACCTTGGGATCGAACCTGTAATAATCCTCGATGTTATGACTGGGTTCTCCATCGAGACCATAAGCAACGTCGGGGACTTTGGACTCGATATCCGAGTAGTCTTTGTGGTCAAGCTTCGAGTCCAAGGACGGGGGCATTGTCAATTCCAAGTATCTGGAGAGAAAAAACGCTCCTTTTATCTGAAAAGCGCTGGAAAGGAGGAGAAGATCCTTGGCTACTCTATTGTAGACGATAATACCATAACCAAGGCAGGCGCAAGGCAGGCAATGCGATCGGTACGTCTAAGATAGGACCGGAGAGTTTAGGAAGTAGGATAAACTACCAGTCGTAGACTCGTAGTATAAGAATGATTATTCTTCATTTTTGCTAGGCTCGATGAGGAAATGATCTGGAGGACCGTAGTATGATCAGGGTACTGAGTGATAAAAGCAGTCGTTGGGAAGATCCAAGGTAGACATATCTCAACGAGACGAGGGATAGATGGAACGAGATAGGAAAGATCAAACCCTTCGGCTGCAGTTTCTGAGTGGGAGTAACTTTCCGACAGGATTTACAGATGGTGCGGAGTTAAATCAACAATGGCATGAAATTTGTAATATAATTTACAGACAGATCCGTAAACCGTAAGGACTAATTGGACTTGTTTTGACTCTAAATTCTTGACTGTCGTCGAGTCCAAATTAAATAAGTCATCCCCGCCGATGATGCGCTACTTTCTCAGTACACTGGCTTGAGAAAAATATGGCTGGAGAAGAGGGTGTATTCGATATTTGAAGCTGAAGCTGTTGAACGGCAGTTTTGCAGAAATACAAATGGTATGTGGAGTGTTTTCAGTGTTATCAGGCTCTGGGATTGATGGTAAATATCATCATTAGCGCGATGTCTTTCAATGAGTACACAGATAGCAGGCTCTAATACCCTACCGATTAGTGACCAGACTGCAATAGCAGTCCACCAGTAATATAATAATACCTGCCATGAGAGTAAACTACTAATCAATTAACTTTGAATTGACTTCTCTACAAGGACTGACTGGCCCTGCGCTGGCTGGGCTAGCCTCTGCCGCCGCCCAGCCAGCGCTAGTTTGCGCCCTCATGCTCCCCATCCACACCAAAAATGGTTTCTTGAAATCAGAGACTGATCTGTAGTATTCTGTAGCCAATCTCTGAATGAAAATTGGTACCTACTGCGGATTATATTTTTAGCATCCTTGGTCACACAATTGTGCAAAAATAGATCTCCACCGCCACCGCCACCACCTTGATTTCTTCCTTGATCTTCTCCCGTTTCTTTATCTGTAGCTTAGCTTGGCGCAGATGACCGATAATGAGGTCTGTAATGATTCACGTCAAAATATGGTGGCATTAATGTATATTATAATTTTAAAACACAATCTTGGCTGAAATGGCAGACGGCATGTATTCGGCCATGCTGAAACTATATGAATGTTGCCCTTCCTTGCGAATGTGGATGCTACATAAAAGAAGGGTGAGTCTGCGGCACGTCAGCCCTCTTTTAATCCCTCACCTTCACTCCATCCCCCAAATATCATGTCTTTGAACCCTCATTTATGCTGGGATCGTCTTGATGTGCACGTGTTGCACGTCGTAGAGCACGGTCGTCGGTATCCACAAGTCCGGGGAGATGGGCGTTAGTGACCAAATTTGGCTTGCCGCTGGTAAGTCGGACTTGTCCTTTTCTTCTCTCGCCATCATGCACTTTTTTCTATTGTTCTCCTCCTTCCTCCGTTGCATCTACGAGCCTTCAAGATGATTCCGAAGCACTCTCAAGCTGTCGATTGATAGTTCAACATAATGTGAGTCAATTGTGCCTTGATACTTTAGATGATCTTCACCTTTGATTTAGCCGGCTTTTCAACCTATCACAAGCTCAAGATGAACATCGCAGTCTCCGAAAAAAATTGCCCTGCCGCGAGTAAACTCATTCTGATATGGAGGACTTCAACAGTGTGGAGCACGGAGGACTTGCGCAGATTGAGTAGTGAGTCTATTTCTGCACTCGGTAATACATCTCATTAACTACCTCCCCTCTACAGCACGGCCTCTATCGCCTCCTCTCTGCACTTCCAAGACTCACACGACGATTGTACACCTAAATTGTCGATTACGCAAGTCCAAGACGAGCATGCCTTTGGGTTGGAAGGTCCGAATTTTCCCAGAGACAGCGTATCGTCGTCCGGGGAGCGGGATTACGGATGTGTGGAGGGTTGTGAGGCTGTGGGATGGATGAAGCAGCACACTGGAAGAGTGGTAGGTCCTCTTACACCTCACGCACATTTAGGGGTACTGATTCTCCGCAGAGATCGACTCCCCCGATCGACGCGAGATTCCTTCCTCCCTTGGCAGGGACTTCGACTAACGCATGCCTTGTTCACTCTCAGGAGCAGGGTTCTTCTCCTGGAAATCCAGTATTTCACGTTGAGACGACGTCTAGGTGTCCGGCGGGCAAGGCCAAGAGAGACGGCGGGTTCCGAGTCCTGTGTATACAGGTCTCGGTCTTATGCAGTCTGAGGGTTTCGGTGGCGGTGCATTTTCATTACCTCCGATGTTTCCCCGGGAATATACGTCATCCTGTTTCGGCAACCTAGGCATAATTCGGCATTATCGGCATTGATCTTACCGCAAATTCTTATGTCAGTCAATGACGGTCATTCGTATTAATGTGTTCTAACGAAAACGACAATGACCCTCAGTACCTGGCTTTACGCTTCAGGATCCTGTTACCGCCGGATTCTTTTTCGCTTTGTCTTTCTCTTTGTCGGCTTTCTCTTTCAGACTATTATTATGGACTGTTCACTCTCTTGTCCCGTCAGTATTGCATCGCAAATATGGATCTATTGAGTGCATCGTCCTTCCATGAATCTCAATATCGAGGTCCCAGTTGTCGAGAACCATAATCCCTCGTAGGTATGAGGTCCCTCCGTTTCCACAGCATCGATATCAAGCCTCAGATTTTGAAAACTTGAGGCCGCAAGGAGACGACATCTCTGACGGTGTGAGCTCGTCGAATCATCCATTGTAACCCACCAGTTTCCTTCCCGAGCTGCTACGTACTGACTCATTTCTAGGGCCGATTCTCCTCAAAATCAACACATTTTTCGAGGACAGCAAGATGTGAGGAGCAATACCGGCGAACCCGACTGTACAGCACTTCGCTGTGGAGTGCTATGTAGATTCTGGGAAGGTAATAATGCGCCCAGACGGCACATTTCCTCCCGGAAAGCAATGGTACGGTCTGTTTATCGTTCTTGTGCTATTTTGACTAATGAAGTTCTGTAGGTTTGGACTTTCAATCTTCGTGTCACCATCTTGCCGCTGTGAAGACCTGAACTCTGTCTCCATCATGTGCTGAACTGGACTCAAGATGTTCATCACAATCAAGCTTCGAGGGCACATTGAGGAGGGATCGATGCCTGGAGAGCAATGGAACACTTACCTACGTGCCGCGTTCATCCCTCGTAAGTCCATGTTCACTGCTACATCATTCCCATACCCAATACCTATGTATTTAGCTCCCGAGATCGTGTTGAATGTACGGATCGACATCCCGCAAGCGACGTAAAGTGCTCATCAGGACATTTATAAGTTACTTTTACTCATTTTAAATCAAGATCAATACCTTTTTTCTCAAGACCGGCGCGTTGCGGGGAGCAATACCGGCTCCCTGGCATGAACCTAGGTGTATGGCACTGCACAGTGGAGTGTTCCGTAGGGTATTGGAGGTTAATATTGCTCCGAGGCAACGTATCTCTTTCTGGCGAGCGACGGTATGAACTATTCAGAATTCTTGTGTCATCTTTCCTAACATTTTGTAGGCTTTGACTCGGGCACGGTGAATTTCACGTTTATAAGATGCATTCGTGCGTTAGCTGCGTTTGCGTGTGCGTTATCAGGCATGCACTGGAACAAATACGTTTGCGTTTGGTTTGATGCGTTGAGGCGTTTGATGCGTGTGCGTGTGTGACAGAGGTGCGCTTTTTACGCTGTGTTATTTTATGGGCATGATAAGAGCTATATTTCACCCCAGCATCGACGTTCGACTAGCAAGACTGGCTGCAACCTATAAACGTTTAGCGCTTCCATGAGTCGTAGGTCATGGGAAAAGGGTACACGTGGCATGATGGCGTGAGATATTACCTGGACAAATCAAATTTCTTCGTCGCTTGTTGTTTCCCGTTGTCCATAACGCGTTCAGACATTCGGAGTCAACTACTACAGCTTCTCTCTCACGAAACAGCATATATCGATATTATCACACACACCATTGAGAAACGCGGTTGGTTTTCAGAATCTGAACGTGTCTGGTTTGCAGCTTCAGATTCCGCAAACCAGACGCAGAACTTAGACTAGTGCTGCACAATCATGGAGTAGATATTGACTACCTGAACTTAATTTACAGTTTATATATTCCCCTTCTGGATATACCTTTCGATTGCGAGCATTTTTCGGGTCCAAATATAAGTGCTTTTGACTTGTATTATCCATTGAATTCAGCATTAGGTCACTGATCAGTCACTTTAAGTTATTATTTACATTGCTAACAGTGTTGCCGCTAAAACAAACAATTTTATGAGTGCCCCGACATTATCAGAAGGTCTCAAATGCTGTTCGCTAAGACTGAAGTATTGAAGAGCATGTTGTGGGCTTGACCGCATGCGTTTTATGTCCAAATGCATGCGTGAGGTCCTTCCAGGTGCGTATTTGAGATTCAATTCATATGCGAGATGCGTTCTGACTTGACTATCAATCTTGTCTTGCAGGATGACATGCAGAGCATTTTCTAAGGTGCCAGTGCATGTAACAAGCCTTGATTTTACATATATTGCGAGTTGAAATACATATACACGACGCTTGCTGGGCAGCGAAGCCTGTGCAGGAGAGTAAGTGTAATAACATCCTGATCTAAAACGCACAAGGTCGCGTGGAAACGCACCCAAACGCAGCATTGCCAGCAAACGCAAGAAAACGTAAAAACGCATCGGATAAACGCGAAATTCTCCCGGCCCCTTTGACTCTCGGTCCTCGTATTGTCACTATGGGACTGCGAAGACCGGAATCATGTTCGATCTATACTAGTATGGCTTTTCACAAGTTTTCAATCTGAAGACGAACGAAATGCGACTAATCTGCTCACGAGTCTTTGGGTGACAGATCTTCGTCTCAGGCGACTTATCTTTCTTTCTCTACATGTACTTAAGCCCGGCGACCATGGCAGTATCAAACGGCTCACTGACTCTTGCTTGAGCTGCCGAAATGGACCACAAACAAAGTGCGTACTTTCCTCTCTTTGATGCTTACCATGTAAAGTTTCAACCTACACTCAGTGCAAACTCAAGTGACTACACTGTCAATGACAGCGCCTCAAGTGTTCCCCTCCCACACACACAGGACTCGGATATGCCACGCTCTGCGCTGGCCCACCACTTCATCTGTGGGATGGTGGATGGTAGCAAGTATGTAGAGGATAGTAAGTACTCGTAGTGGACCCGTGCGGATGGTTACTCACCCATACATAGCCCAATCAGCTCCATGACATGAAGCGGTGGGCCATCGCAAGGCGTGGCAGATCCGAGTCCTGAAGATGGGGTGGGCTGCCCTGCGTGGGCAGCACAAGGTTAAAGGAGCATATGATTCGACATCATCCTTCTGTCAATCTCAATCAGTACAAGCACATTTGGCAGACAACAAAGAGTGAAAAATACCACTGAAGAAGACTTACGATAATCGCCGCAAGGTGAAGAGGACTCAGGAGCATAAACAAAAAAAGAATGAGCGGGAACCCCCTGCTTGTCTCAGAGGCTCACAGTTCACAGATGTCATGGCGGTATGTTTGAAAATCCAAATCGATTGAATAATGGTCTAATCATACACAACAAAAGACTATCGATCTTGAGAACAACACGCCTGGACAACGAAGGTGAGGATGTCCAAGGACATAAAAATGAATACATTGAAGGCGAGGGTGCGAGGATGAATGGCCTTAGCAACGACAAACAGAACGACGAAGATCCTCAAGCAGCGTACGATGGAGATTCTGGCATGAAGAATTGTACATAGACGAAGATGACAACGTACAGTATGGGCCATCTCTATCGCCCGGGATTCCTGCCAAACGTGACTCACTATGCGACGGAGGCCATACCCAAGTAACAGACTCAAAGACAATATCTGTGATTAAAGTTGGTCGGCAGACTGAACAGAATGAGGGGGTCACATACCCAATTCTCGTTCTGGCCTCGCGTGGCCAGTCCTCCCACCAAAGAGTCCAGTCAGCATAACCCATTCATCACCAACTGGCCCATCTCATCCGTCACGCATCACCCGCTAACGCTTCCGTAGGGCCTTGTTGAGTACCAGGAGGGATGTTGATCCAGTTGCTAGCACCAGTAATGCAGAGTCCCAGCGACGGTCTGTGCAAGGAAAGTGGGCGGGAATGGCATCTTCTCAGACTGTGTCTGCGGTTGTTGAGTCAAGGTCGAGGAACAAGAAATGGCTACGAAGTGTGTAAAGAGAGGTGTGAGACCGTTTGGGCCTTCCCTAGTGATCAGAGATACAACAACTAAAACAAATGTTAAGTTCATCAACAACATACAAATCTCAAATACGTACCGAAACGGCGGCGATGTGAATCATGTTCACCGTCGAGCAGAAAGTGAAGAACGGACCGGGGTGGGTCAAAGGTGGGAGGGAAAAAGGTATTACTAAGCAGGGAACACGGCATGCACGACACGGCGAATTGTCGGACTATCACCATCATGCACCGCCACGAGGTTCTCAGGTTAGCATAGACCGAATCCTGTATACACAGGACTCGGAACTATCCTTCGAGCGACGGCCACTCACCTAGCCTTTGATGACATTTCGAGGTAATGATTAGACGAAATCTTGGCCTGAGACGATGTATCGCCGTCCAGCGAGTAAGGTCTGGAGTAGGGCAGTATAATAAGTGATATGACGTGAGAGGGAGATGCGCACGGGGAGGGTAAGTCCTTTCTGTTCGTCGACAGAGTCCACCACTACTGACTTTCCCATAGCTCAATCTCATCCTCTGCCCTCCCTACGGCTCCCTCCCTTGCACAGTGTACGAATATCGAGCTCGAATGTTACATCGAAGCCCTGAAAACGAGGATGGCATCGCGTAGGTGGTATTTTTGCTGACACAAGGCACGAGCATCCATCGAGCTGGGTATCATTCAGGAGTACCTTTATGCAAGTGTGTGGTAAGTGCCTCTTTCCTGCATTTTTCTAAACTCTGGCTGGATTCACGCGTCCAGATTCAGATTCTATAAGGCCCCATCTGGGCTATCTCCGGATGTCTTATCTACCATATCCTTTTTCTGTACAGATAATCATGTAGTACAACAGTCTATGCAGTACTGCTGTACGATAGAGCCAATGTCCGTTGGAAGTATCTGATGGACCACCTTATCTCGCTCAGCGCCGCTATGCCGTCCTGTACCGCCGGGCCGATTTGTAAATCAAAACATAGGACTCGGTAATGCCACGCGAATGCGACGGCCCACTCCCAACTAGTCAATGATGTGAGTACTATTTTTGGGCACCTGTCAAAGAGATTCCCATATTCCATGTCAGCTATTCCGTGGCAGCTTCATGTCTTCCGTGATCCCCTCATGACATCTCCCGTCTCTCCCTCCTCGTGTTTTCCCACTTCCTCTATATGTTTCCTTGTTTCCATCGGTATGTTTTCCTTTCCGCCTGTATTTCCCTTTGTACATTTTCATCACTACATGTGAAATACCCAGTGGCCATAAATTCGCATTACGTGCGGTCAAAGACATGAAATAGTATCAGACTCCAGATATCATTACATAGGACAACCAACCAACGTGATTCGTTAAAGGAAATGCCTAAACTCTGGGCTCGCCACGCCGATAGCGAGCGCCGCCGTCGGCACGTCTTTGCTCGACCAGTTCACACCCTGAGCCTTGTTCCTTCGCCTATTGTCAACCATCATATACGTACGCAAGCTGAGAATCAAGCTTATTCCCACAGCGAGGAAGCTAAAGTTAACTACGAGGGCGGTATTGTAGTAGGGTTCTTCTTTCGCCATGAAGATGTTGGAAGCAATAAGACCAGAAGCTAAGTACACCCATTAGGCACCAAGAAGAGTTATGTTGTAAAGAAAGAGACGCACAATTTGCAAAGAATGTCATGAGTCCCGTACGGAAAGCACGTCCGACTTCGGATGCATCGCTGCGAAGGTAACCTGATCAGTTGACACCCACAACCTAAATAACCTTTACTTACTTGCAATTATGCCATGATTGGAAAATCGCCCAAGGCGTGAACGCTCCAAGACACAATAGGAAGGAACCGAAGTACTGAATACCAGTATTCGATACATCAACAACATAAACTAAACACCAATAAATAGGACGCATAATATGAGAAAGGAAGATGAACGCACGGACGATGAAGCCGATCATCGTTACAGTCATCGCACCAGCCATATGCAACGACCGTTCTCGGAAATAATCCGATGAGGCTGCTGTGAGTAGCACAGCAAAACCGCCAACAAAGTTGGGTGCGACCTATATATGTGACACTCGCTCAGCACATCCCTAATGATAAAAAGGACGAGGATAGTTCGTACGGTGAGCAGATTCGTCGTCGACTTGCTCTTTCCCATTCGTCCAATGATCTGAGGAAGGAAAGTCGCAGTCGAGAAAGAAGATACCCCAAAACAGATGGCGATTAAGGCCCAAACGTAGAGCTTCCAGTCCTTGAGTGGAGCGAAGAAAGCTTGAGAGGTGAACTTTTCGTTGATGACAGCAGACGAGTCACGGAGGATGCGTGTCCATGCGGTACTCTTTTCCTCTGATGAGAAATAGGGCGTTGAGTCGATATTCGTGTGCAGGATGAATCTGTGAACATGTCAAGAATGAACCAGGAAAGTGGAGGAGATAGAGTACATTGCTAAGATCGAAAAGAAGACAGTTCCGGCGCCTTCGACGAGGAAGAGTAGCTGTTAAGAAAGGTAGGTGGGGGGTTTGCGAATCAGGAAAATATATTCATGTACCTGCCAACCGTGAAGACGGATATTCAGCTGAAACACCCTGTAGGCGATCAGCCCAGAGAATCCGCCAGCAAAAGCAAGCGCTGAGTAGAACATGGCGATACGCTTTCCAAGCTCACCACGCCTAAGTAAGTAATGTATTAGATATGTACGAGAGAGTCAGAAAGAGAAACATACGTGTAAAAAGTAGTCAGATACCAGATGATGGTCACGGAAAACCCGGATTCTGCTGCACCAAGGAATAGCCGCACCACCAGACAGCCAGCAAAGTTCTTGACCCTAAACGATGAATGAGAAACATTATTAATAAAGGATATGTAGCGAAGTCGCCTGAGGTGACGTACGCAGCGTTTATCATACACATTCCGCCAAAAGTGAACATATAGAGTGGGAGCGCCACTTTGGCCCCGATTTTCTTTGAGAGTGCGATCGCCGGGACTGTAAGGGTACAGAATGGTACGTCTAAAAAGAGGTTCAGTCAGACGATAGATTAACGTAGAGCCCAAAAATAGTCACGCACAGAAAACTGAAAACATAATCGAATAGTCATTCCCATGGAAGTGTAGGTCGGTCTCCAGTCCGTCCGTCTTTGCATTGCCTGTAGACGGTACACATCGGCGAATCTACACATCGTGCACCCAATAGCTACTCACCCAAATTTGCCCTGTCCATGGCGTTGAAGCTGTACAGGCAGAAGATGAGCGGCATAAGCCTCATATCGAGCTTCCGAACGAGCTTCCGCTCCACCTTGGGGTCGAACCTGTAATAATCGTCGATGTTATGACTGGGCTCTCCATCAAGACCAAAAGCAACGTCGGGGACTTTGGACTCGATATCGTCTTTGTGGTCAAGCTTCAAGTCCAAGGACGGGTCCATTGTCAGTTCTAAGTATCTGGATAGAATAAACGGACCTTTTTATCTGCAAAGCGCTGGAAAGGAGGAGAAGTTCCTCGGCTACTGTATTGTAGTCGATCATGCCACAATTCAGGCAGGCAACGCGATAAGTACGTCTAAGATTGGACCGGCAAGTTCAGGAAGTAGGATAAACTACCAGTAGCGGTGTAAGAGCGATTATTCTTCATTTTTGCTAGGTTTGATGAGGAAGCTGGAGGTTCTTAGTATGATCAGAAGAATTTCAGGGTACTGAGTGATAAAAGCAACCGTTGGGAAGATCCAAGGTAGACATATCTCCACGAGATGAGGGATAGATGGAACGAGATAGGAAGGATCATGCCCTTCTACTGGAGTTTCTGAGTGGGTACCTTCCCGTGAGGATTTACAGACGGATGGGAGCTAAATCAACAATGGCATGAAATTTGTAATATAATTTACAGACAGATCCGTAGACCGTAAGGACGAATTGGACTTGTTTTGACTCTAAATTCTTGACTGTCGTCAAGTCCAAAATAAATGAGTCACCCCGGGCCGCCGACGACGCGCTACTTTCTCAGTACACTGGCTGGAGAAAAATATGGCTGGAGAAGAGGGAGTATTCAATGTTTGAAGCTGAAGCTGCTTAATGGCAGTTTTTCAGAAATACAGATGATATGTGGAGTGTTTTCAGTGTAATCAGGCTCTTGAACTGACGGTAAATATCATCACTAACGCGATTTCTTTCAACGAGTACACACAGCTAGAAGGCTCTAATACCCTACCAATTAATAACCAGACTGCGATAGCAGTCCACCGGTAATATCCATGAGAGTAAACTACTAATCAATTAACTTCTCTACAAGGACTGACTTCAGACTGGCGGCTGGACCTGCGCTGGCTGGGCGTCGGCAGGCGCTCGCCGCTAGCTTGCGCCCTCACGCTCCCCTTCCACACCAACAATGGATTCTTGAAACCAGAGACAGGTCCGTAGCCAATCTCTGAATGTTGTTTCCGGAATCAGTACCTACTGCGGATTATATTTTTAGCATCCTTAGTCACACAATTGTGCAAGAATAGATCTTCTTGATTTGTTCCTTATCGTTGGATTCGTTCCGCGTGAATCAATTTTCAATGATGTGAGTACTATTTTTGCGCACCTGTCAGAGAGATTCCCATATTCCATATCAGCTATTCCAGGCTATTCCGTGGCAGCTTCATATGTCTTCCGTAATCCCCTCATGACATCTCCCGTCTTTCCCTCCCTCGTGTTTTCCGACTTCCTCCATGTGTTTTCCTTCTTTCCGTCGGTATGTCTTCCTTTCCGCTGGATTCCCCTTTGAATTCTTCTCAGGCCCCACACATTATTGTATCTCAGCACGCAAATCAACAACGTACAAATCTGGCGCCCTCAACAAGAGCGATTGAGTTTGTAGCCAATATGTAGCATGTCATTTTATTGACATAGTGACTTTTTCAGTTTGCCAGTCTCTCAGAGTCATCCTCGCTCACTTTCTCACTTCCACGCCTTGTACGTATGTCAGACCGCCGTGCCCACTCAATCTCCATGCAAAGCATCCGCACCCAAGTCCCCGAGGAGGCTTCTGGCACCTATACGCGTATCTTCAAGTGCAAGTGTTAGTCACCTGGGTCCTCAAAGGAGCCGGAGCCGTTGAAGCGTGAGGCAAGCGACTTGAGCTCTTGGATTGTTTCTTCAAAGTCCAAATTGCCAGAGGGCCCTTGCTCAGGTAGGATCACTGTCGTCGCAGAGGACGATAATTCTCATCCTTTCGGCATCCCTGGGCAAAAAGGTTACTGTCACCGTTAACCACTGAAGCTTGTCCTTGTCTTTTCTTGCTTCGATTTACCTTACGCTTGTAAATAACTCATCAAATAATGTACTCTATTGCTCCCGTACATCTTCATCACTACATGTGAAATACTCACAGTGGTAGTAAATTCGCATTACGTGCCGTCAAAGACATAAAATATTATCATACTCCAGATATCATTAAAGATAACCAACTTCCTTCCTTAAAGAAAATGTCCAAACTCTGGGCTCGCCACGCCGACAGCAAGCGCCGCCGTCGGTACGTCTTTGCTCGACCAGTTCACACCCTGTGCCGTGTTCCTCCGCCTATTGTCAACCATCATATACGTACGCAAGCTGAGAATCAGGCTTATTCCCACAGCGAGGAAGCTAAAGTTGACTATGAGGGCGGTGTTGTAGTAGGGCTCTTCTTTCGCCATGAAGATGTTGGAGGCAATAAGACCAGAAGCTAAGCGCACGGATTAGGCTGCGCCGAGGAAGAGTTAATATTATAAAGAAAGAGACGCACAGTTTGCAAAGAATGTCATGAGTGCCGTATGGAAAGCACGTCCGACGTCAGATGCATCGCTGCAGAGGTAGCCTGATCAGTTGAGACCCAAATCCCAGATAATCTTTACTTTCAATTATGCCACACATGGAAGATAGTCGAAGGTGTGAATGCCCCAAGACACAATAGGAAGGAACCGAAGTATTGAATACCAGTCTTCGATACGTCAACAGCATCAACTAAATCTCAATCAATAGACCGAATAATATGAGAGGGTAATATGAACGCACGGACGATGAAGCCGATCATCGTTACAGTCATCGCACCAGAAATATGCAACGACCGTTCTCGGAAATAATCCGACGAGGCTGCAGTGAGCAGCACAGCGAACCCACCGGCAAAGTTTGGTGCAACCTATATATGTGACACTCGCTTAGCACATTCCTAGTGATGAAAAGGGCAGTTCATACCGTGAGCAGATTTGTCGTCAACTTGCTCTTTCCCATTCGTCCAATAATCTGAGGAAGGAAAGTTCCAGCCGATGAAGCAGCTACTCCATAACAAATGGCGATTAATGCCCAAACGTAGAGCTTACATTGCCAAAATCGAGAAGAAGACCGTTGCAGCGCCTTCGACGAGGAAGAGTAGCTATCGAGAAATATATGTGAGGGGCTTGCGAATCAGGAAAAGATATTTATGTACCTGCCAGCCATGAAGGCGGATATTCGGTTGGAACACGCCATATGCAATCAGCCCAGAGAATCCGCCCGCGAAAGCAGAAGCTGAGTAGAACACGGCGACACGCTTTCCAAGCTCACCACGCCTGAGCAGATAATGCATTAGATATGCACAAGACAGACGAAAAGAGAAACATACGTGTAGAAAGTAGTCAGATACCAGATGATGGTCACCGCAAACCCGGCTTCTGCCGCACCAATCAATAGTCGCACCACCAGACAGCCAGCAAAGTTCTTGACTCTAAATGAAGAATGAGAAACGTAAACCCAAGTCGTCAGAGGTGACGTACGTAGCGTTTATCATACACATTCCGCCAAAAGTGAACATATAGAGTGGGAGCGCCACTTTGGCCCCGATTTTCTTTGAGAGTGCGATCGCCGGGATGGTGAGGGTACAGAATGGTATGTCTAAAAAAAGTTCAGTCAGAGGATAGATTAACGTACAGCCTAAGGAGAGTCACGCACAGAAAACTGAAGGCATAATTGAATAGTCATTCTCACGGAAGTGTAGGTCGGTCTCCCGTCCATCCGTCTTTGCAATGCCTGGTAGACGGTACACATCAGCGAATTTACACATTGTGTACCCATCAACTACTCGCCTAAATTTGACCTGTCGATGGCGTTGAAGACGTACAGGCAGAAGATAAGCGGCATAAGTCTCGTATCGAGTTTTCGAACGACCCTCCGCTCCACCTTGGGATCGAACCTGTAATAATCCTCGATGTTGTGACTGAGCTCTCCATCGGGACCATAAGCAACGACGGTGACGTTTGACTCGACATCGTCTTTGTGGTCAAGCGTCGAGTCCACGGACGGCGCCATGGTCGGTTCCGGGTGTACGTACTACGGATAGCAAAAACGCTCCTTCTTATCCGGAAAGCGCTGGAAAGGGGGTGTAGACCCTTGGCTACTCCATTGTGGACGATAATGGCATAATCCAGGCAGGCAACGCGATAGGTACGTCTAAGATAGGACCGAAAAGTTTAGGAAGCAGGATAAACTACCAGCCGCAGTATACGAGCGATTATTCGTCATTTTTCCTAGGTTCGACGAGGAAGCTGGAGGCCTTTTTATTGCGACGAGGTTCAGTGTACAGTGTGGCACAGTGAAAGCAGCCATCGGGAAGATCCAAGGTAGACATCTCAATGGGAGATAAGGGACAGTTATGGAAGAAGATAGGAAGGATCAAGCCCTTCTGCCGGAGTTTCTAAGTGTATCAACGAATATCGCGCACCAGAAAAGCGCAAAATGATGAAAGATAAACATAATATCGCTAATCTTGCAATATGCATCCGGGGGATCGGCAGGATCGGCAAGACCGGCCGAGATAACGTACTTGTTTTCCGATAGCCATGATGAACGATTAAGTCTTCCACTTTCTCAATTCATGGCGTCAACCAAAAAACTTGGTGTACTACAGCTGAATACCCAGTTCTATAGGCCGCCTGGGGATTGCGGTAATCCGAAATCGTACACTTATCCAGTGGTCATATCCATCGTCGAAGCAGCCACCCGCGAGACGGTAGTGTTGGGTGGAAGGGAAGGGCAAATGGTGTTGGTAGACGCGTTCGTTAAAGAGGGAACGAGACTGATGAAAGAGGAGAACGTCACCTGTTTAATTACAAGCTGCGGTTTCATGGCTGCAACGCACAAAGAGCTTGCTGAGAGAATGCCCAGTGGGTTTCTCTTCTCAGTCATTCCCCGCAGTAAGAGGCTGATGAGTAAATTAGTTCCTATAGGTACTAGCGCACTTTTACAAGTTCGATGGCTTCGGGAGCTATTTGGCGGCGCACCTGACTCTGTTGGAGTTATTACATTCTCCTCCGAGAACTTCACAGATGACTACTTTAAAGGTGTGGCGCTGGATGTCGTTCCACCGGTCAAGGGGATGCCAGTTGGGGGTGCCTTCCATAACTGGATGTCCTGCACGACGGAATTCGACCTTGCAGCGTGCGAAGCAGAGGTCGTACAGGCAGCGAAGGACATCCAAAGAGAGAACCCAAGAATACGTGCAATATGCTTTGAGTTCGTCTTCTCCGCTTTAATACATTGTATACTGATCAAACTGGATAACAGGTGCACCAATATGGTACGTTAGGACATCCCGTTCGTTTCTAATCAAGCCACTTAGCATGTTCATCAGCCACCTTTCACAACCGCAGTCAAGGAAGTTACAGGCTTACCTGTGTACTCGGTGTTGATATTGGCTGACTGGTTATACCACGGCTGAAATGTGGGTCAATCTTTAAGCTGAGCGCTTTTGTCCGTGTTGCTTAAGACACGAGACATTTCGCATGTCGTGTCACGGGCTGATATCGTAAAATAGTCCAAACGTACAAAAGAATATGAATATGAATAACGTATCAGTCCTGAGCGTATCGTCAATTTACAAGCGTCCAAACAGCTCTTTCCCTGGCATTCTGCACGTGAGGCCACGATCCAAAGCAGAAGAACAGAAAACGAACTAGAATCATCTCGACAAGAAGCTTTTACACCGGACATCCAACATTCCACGGTGCTTCAATCTTGGCAACTGAGTCTCTAATACAGCTTTAAATTGCGCCGCCTCCACCATTTGGATCCCATATATAACAACCGACAAAGACTCAAATGACTCCGTTGCAGCGGAGAGAACCTCGTCTAGCGAGGACCACGCGCCTAATCCCTGTTCCGGATTTTCGACCACGGCATTACTAGAAAGGCAGAGATGGAACGAAACATCTCGAGGCACATGCCCTGCGGAGCACCTGAATATATCGATCCACGCGTCCAGGTGTTCAAACTCCGGCGTTCCTCCCCACATGTTGCCGTCCCACATTTCAACCTGGAGGCGGTGCAGACCTTGGATCCGCAGGTCCCGAGGAAATTCGGTTACAGGACCTGTGTCTAGTAGGTTGAGATGGGTTTCGAAGAAAGAAATAGAGGGCCACTGCACCTATCTCTCCGTATGAGGGCGCTTGGTTGAGGACTAGCTCTTGTAGGTTCGGTCGAGCAGCAAGTAGTATAGACTGGAGAGTGCCGAGATCGTTTAGAATGCTCCATGTGAATTTGAGCGAGCGAAGGTGTTTAAATGATATAGGGCTGACAGCCGAAGTGATCCCAAAGATACTCGTAGCTCTAACGATAGATAGTTCCATGAGTCGTATACTGCGGCGGTTATAGTCCATGCTGTGATCGCCTGCCGTGAGTACACGAGCATCTGATAACGAGAGGCCCTTGAGCTCTGGAAAACCACCCATAAATCCGCAGACGGTCTGGTAACTGGGAAAAATAACGTGGATGAGGGAGATACTTCGGAGATGAGGAAAAGACATGCAAAGCGCCTGTTGCATGTCCGGCGTGAGGTTTCCCCATTTCAGACGCTCAAGCGTGATGTGGTGCACTGTTAAGGATGCTAGAACACCAAGAAGGTTTTGAGAAGTGAGGTCGCTCCGGAGGAAATTGATCCTGAGACCTTTGATATAGACAGAGAGGTCGTGAGGGGAAGAGGACCGCATGGATACGAACTGTTGGCATCGCTTGTTGCTTGAAAGCTCAATCGTCGTGAATAGATGGACACGGGTTTGGGGAACGAAGGACCGACACGTCAGTGAGCAGGACTTAAGGTCATGCTGGTAGTCCTTGAGTTCATCGATAATAGCGTCGACGATTTCTTGAGGAAGTGAATCGGACATAAACTGCGGATGCAGGTTCAAGTCAGAACTTGAGTGTGAAATTGAGAACGGAACAAAACCTACAAAATCGACTCCAAGGTCGTGGTAAGGAGGAGAAAGCGAATGCGCAAGAAGGCTCCAGCCTCAGAGAAAGATATAAAAGTGGATGTGCGAATGGCAGTGCACAGTAAGAGGCCGGGATCAAAACCCGGCCCAGGACCCTGATTGGATCGATGACGTTTGTGCGCTCGGGCCGACACGTAGCCGGACTTTGAACAAACAAAAACTACGATAAATTCAAAAGAACGGGAAAACATGCATTCAAGACAGGTCAGATATAACCGCAGTGTACGCCACCTTTGGCTGGTAGCTGCTGTCGAACAACAGAGGTGTCGAGCTGGCGCGCCAAGAGTTCTGTAAAGGAATTAGGTAAAATCACTGGGAAACTGCAGGGAAGGGGGTAGACTTACAACATCACTAACTCCCCAGCTGGTGATTGAGACGCAAGCAGAGACGGAAAGACAGGCATCAACGACGGTGGTATAGTCAGATGCGCTCGCACCGGCAATATCCAGCTCGGTGATGGCAACATCTGTACCTGCCCCTGCCAGGGCTGTCAGAGCTGCGACTGCACCGCTCGAGCCGCCAGCCTACACATGATCAGCGACAGATCCAGGCCCGAGTGCACACACACCAACGTACCGATAAGTGCATCTGTGTGCCGATACCATCGATCAGCTGTTCGTCGGCATTGATCCGCTTAACAAGAGCAACCATTCCTGAGCGACAAGGTAGAAGAAATCGACGGAAGGAAAAGCAGTAGAGACGAACCTTGGACCTTGCCGTTGTTTGAGTCGAGGTTGTAATCGTTGATGTATAATCTATACCCCTCGAGTGTCAGTAAGAAACCAGGGGAGAAGATTTAGACTAACTTTGCTGTAGGATCTGCAGCTCTTGCAGCTTTGAACGCGATGGTAATGAAGGACTTGAGAAATTAATTAGTAACACGTCACCGGTAATGATGGGATAAAGGTATACCTCCCCGAGAACGTTGTAGAACACACTCGACCGAAGAGTACCGTCTTCATTTAGGACCTCACTGTGGATCGTCAGAAAAAGGAATATCGCCGGGAGAACTGACCTACTTGCAAACATCCCACTGATTTTGCATTGGTGAATCAGCTGCTTGCCGAAGTGATAGCAAGGACACGTACAGCTATTTCCGAAACGCGCTGCGTTGAACAGTGAACAACGAACAGCAATCAACAGGTACTCACCATAGAGTTTACCAGAGTACTGCCCAGCTACATTGGCGATATGTGTTTGAATGACAGACGTCTTCGTGATGATACCTTAACGTATTGCATCACTGATGTATGGTTCTTCGCTCACCAGGGTGGCCGCGTCCGTAATAGCAGAGACCCACGAAGGGAGCTGAGAGTGCCACACTAAAAAGATGCACATATCAAATTGCTGAACTCGAAACAGGTGCTAAAACCCAACCTAGAGTATGACCACGGATTTTCTTACTGTTCGAGACAGACCAGTTCACTAGATAGTCGGACTCAGAAAAGGTGAAGGTTCCTTGGGTGCTTTCGGTCGCATCCCACTAATAGGCAACGATAGTTGAACATAAGTTATAGATGACCTGAGTGTAAACCAAACGACCTTCATGGAATTCTCGGGAGTAACCTAAGGTTTAGGCATGGTCAGGCAAATGTAAAGAGCCATGAGAAGCCCAACGTACCGCCCCGAATTCGGATTTTAGGAGGGCTTCGTTCGCTGTAAAAGTGTTCCAGTTAGCATGTCAATTCGAATCAGGAAGGTAACATACCGGAGATGGTTATGGTACCTTGGTCGGCTGCAGCACCCTAGAACAGGTACTTAGCATTCTACCGGACGGTGATTCGTCAAGAACAAACCCAGAAGAGTTTTCCCTTCGCGGTGAACTTAGTATTGAGGCCACTCAGTGCTGTGGAAGATGTAGTCGAAGAAGTAGTGGTCGTCGTCGCGGAGCTGGAGGGCTGACATCTAGAATGAAAAAAAATGAGCATGTAAGGTGTAATCGAGTTGCGGAGAATGTCATACTGAGAATAATAGTCGTTGAGATAAACGCAAGTAGTTCCAGAGTCACCTATGTATCTTAGTGTAAGAACGATACCGCGGAAAACGTCAGATGGAGCTCACACGCGGTCTGGCAAAATAATAATATCAGACTGGTACCACTTATATGGAGGGAGAAAGGAACGTACGCTTCCACTGTATCCGATTCCACCACCTTCACAGCAATCAGGTCACAGAGCTAAGTGTCACTGTAGAGAACACGTACATTGACCCCAAACCGAGACAGCGCTGACGCACTGCAAAATGCCAGCAAGAGAAATAACAGAAAGGAGTACGAGCATAATGAGGGAAGGTTTTCTTTGCCAGAACGGAGGACCCTGGATGATATATATCGATTTTGAAGTCGTTTAACCGAGCGAAATCATGGGGCCACAGGAAACGAAACCGAGTACAGTTATTTACCGGTCATTGCAACACCATGGTTCAATGAAACACTTAGCCTCTTGCTCTCCCTCCCTTCATCCTTCATCATCAACTTGTATTACATTGCTGATGTGTATTGTATCTTCATGTTCTGCAGTGATTCTTCATATGTGACATGAATAATATTCCCGAGAAATTGAGGCTTCTGTTCTAAAAATATCTATTTTCTCATGAACTCAAAATCTGACCTGGAAATGTGTGTCCTCCATCTGAATGTAATCACCCACAAAGGCCTCAATAATGTTAATGACCTTCTGAAGAACCTGTGTGACAGGTTTGAGACCAAGCGGCCATTATCTGAGGAGTCTAGGGCATAAATAAAAGTGCGGTTCTGCCAAGCCATCACCTTTGATGGACAGTCTGACAGTCCAATGCGTCCATTATTGCCCTGCTGCCTCCGAACTTTATTTCTCCTCTTGTTCAATTTTTTACTATGCCTGGACATGCCAAATCAAACTCGAAAAAGTGTCAGATTGCTCACAAATGCCATGACCAGCTAATGGAAAAGGCAGTCATTGCAAATGATTGCATACAAGAATGAGCTTGTCAAACTACCTGGTGCTCCTCGGAAAGGTGCAAGAAAAATCTGCAAAGATTTTGAGGCTGTATATCAGAGAGAGACTGGAAAGGAGATCTCACTTTTCTATAGCACTCGAGCGATTCCGAGTAGCTGACTAATGAGGTTTGGGTATATGGGCCGGACTGTTTCAATGACTCAAAATAGCCTAGAATACCCACGCCACGATAATGCTGTGAAAACGGACTTGTACTCGCACCTTTGAGCATCTTTTTTTTACTGTATCTTATTGTTGTATAGTATTACACATTCTTACATTCAAACCTAGTCAAAATTCCCAACCAATTGGAACCTACAGTAAATATCCAGTTTTGCTGTTTCATTGACCGGTAAATAACTGTAAAGGTGACGGAAAAATGTTGGCCAGAGGGTGCTTATTGAAACAAGCAATGTGAACCTGTTAATTTCCCGATATTCTACCTTCGGCGAAAGTAGCATTCTGATACGAACAGGTGCACCAAGGCAACCGCCTGAAGCTCATAAATGAGGAGTGCCTGATTGACACCAAGTTCCAACAATATCATGATCCAAGAGCAAACCTGAGGCCAAGGCCTGAGGTCTACACATCAGGAAAACAGGGAAGAAACGGAGAAATAAATGTTACAAGGAAAGAAGCTTGTCTCTATGCGACCATGACAGACGAGAAAATGAGGTCGAGAATCAAAGTTGACAATCGGGAAAGCGGCCCGGACTCAACATGCGTGGGAAGGAAAAGTTGGCCGTGGCCTTCCGACCGAATCCCGACCTATTCCGATTCATTTCCAAACTTGAAACCATTCCTTGAATCTCAGCTGGGCCCTGGCGAGACACACGAATATGCCGAAGTCCAGCATGATCCTGAATAACCTTGTGTTGACAGAAAGACGGCGATCAATTTTACCGAGATGCGACAGCTTGTACGTGCACTTTTATCCTTTCGAAAGCTCAACGTCAACCTTCATTGAGGAACTTACCGTAGAAATGGTCATCGCTGACGTAGATGTCTCTTACTTTCCTCCGTACTACACGCTGCAGATCCTCCGAGAGTGCTGGATACTTGTCGTCATCGGACATGAACAATACAACAAATTCAATATATTGACAGTCGTCGGTATACGTTACTTTTTGGTCTATCGTTTCATAGAAAATCTATGAAAAGAAAAGAAAATATTTGAAGTCGACGCAAGTTATCGAATAAGCCAGGTTATTGGTATGTATCTTTGAATTTTACTAAGCTAATGCAAAGCATGAAGGTCTCCTCAGGTATAGTCCGGTTGACATCCAATTCCAATCCCATTAACCGGGAAACTACAATACTCGAACGTCACTGCCAAAGATCATCCGTTTGAGTGATGGCCATATCAGCTGAGCATTTTCAGCGGCCCCTTTCTGGTAGTGGGGCATCTCATATTCCTCTATGTTCGGGAACAGGACTACTAGTCCCGACTTCCGTGGCACCGGATTATAGGAAATGTGCGGATGGCAGCCCAACCTCGTGACCTGTGGCAGGCAAATCGTCCCGTCCGTCAACGACTCCCATTCATCATCCTTCAAAGAGCCCATCGGAAAGCTCACATAGTGGATAGCCTGCCGCCGTGCAATCCAGGTAAAAATATCCCGGCAGTCCGCCCCGTTGCAGCCTCGCCTTTCACAGCTTATTGAAAAGTTCAATCGCACACGTTGCAGGTTCTCGCACTCTGCAAGGTCGGGAAGGAGGCCCAGGAGGAGTCCTGCATCAGCCGATATCGACGTCAAGCTATGCAGAGCCTGAGGGAGCCTGGACAGGGACTGACCACCGCGCAGCTGGACATTCCATCCAAAAGTGATGGATTCGAGAGAGGAATGCTTTGAAAGAAAGTGAGATAGGTCGCTCTTCCGCATAGAGCTTCCTTCTACTTCTAAGTGGCGGAGTCTGGGAAGACTCGGGAGAGAGACATCGATTTGAGGAAACCGCCTTGTGGATTTGATGAGTATCGACAGTTTCTCCACTGGAGATGCATTGGCGGAACGGATGTGCCAGTCTACAACGACGTCGGATGTGGGGTCTATGAAAGCTGTTGTCAATGTCGTCAGTGGCGGCGGATTGAACAAGCGTTAGTTATTTTTCCTTTTCGCCGTGTCCAGCAACGCGGCCTTCTTATCGTTGTACGGCGTCAGAAACGAAGCAACGCATTTAAGCTCTGCGAGCCCCGTGAGGAAGGTGTTAAGCTTTTTCAATTGTGAATCTGTTTTCATATCAGACCAACGATTTTGGTAACCAACATGGACGTGCACAGTGGGCCGTTCGGACTCGGGGAACCTTTCGATGTAGTGGGTGAGTAGACGGAGCTGGCCAAGGTAATTATCGCTGAATTTGATGTTCATAACAGGGATTCGCGGCGGGTTAACGACCCATTGGCAAAGGTCTTTGAGGCATACGATGTTTGGGCATGTGGTGTGGTGCCCACTGCATATCCATAGGTTGCTGTACGATTGAAGATACTTGTTGAGACGACCAAGCGACAATGATGCGACAAAATCGTTCAGTCTCCGGCAGGCGTATGCGATTGAGAGGCGGTCCTTCTCGTCGATTTGTTGCAATATGATGGACAGGAGCTCATTTGGAAGAGCAACCAATGAAGCGGGAGATCCCGACATCTCTTCCTGTTCTCCTGTTCTCTTCTTTGTTTCCATTTTAATAATTATGATCAGGGCCCTGTGAATGAGTGTACACAAAAACTGGCGACACGGAGAGCGTACAGTTCTGCTGTGGATGTTCAGAGCAGGTTTTTCAGGGGGGATTGGGGCCTAGAGGGCAAACTGAGACAAGTCTCAACATAATAGCCATGTGAGTGTCGGTCCTCCAATAATTCATCTCTTATGGAGGATTTTAGTCATCGTTGCAAATTTTCGAGCACTTATTTACAAAGTCTAGTAAACATTGATCTGCAATCTAAAGGTGCCTCCTATGTTACTTCGCGCGAACACGCTCGTAAATGAACTCGACAGATGATCCGGATGAGTGTCTCTAGCTTTTGTCCTGTAAGCGATCGGCTTGTTGCCTGAAGCACCACCACCGGAAACCGAAGTGAAAAAGAACAAGCGCGCATGTATCACGTGATCGTGATTCGTCTTCCACCCGAATAATGGCTGGCCCGAGGAGCGGAAAACAAATGCGAGATGATATCATATTTCGGCATTTTCCCTTTTCTTTCATCTTTCAGACCAAAGATGAGTCGACAGCGACGTACGTCAAGGGTAAGCATAGCTTCTACGGTGTTCCACCACATGAAATAAAAATACTTACCTATCTTATTGTCTAGTTTCATGACCTTCCGAGCACTATCGCCAGAATCAATGAACTCGCATACGAACCGCTATCCACGAAACACAAAGACATTCTTCCCAGATATCTAGAGACCTTTCGATATTACCTCTCCACTGGTAAGATTCCTCCCCTCACTGACACGGATGTTGATCTATCGACCGTTCGAGCCTGTTTGGGAGCGTTTACGAATGGTATATTGGTCCTGGAGGCTAGGGAGAAGGGAGAAAACGTCCGGCGTCCAGTGGGATTTGGGAATGAGTCATCTCTATGTGGAAACCCGTCTACTCTTGGGCTCTTTATTTCTTTCAGTCATCCAACATCCTTTCGGGCAACACTAGCCTTGCGCAGGAAGAGAATGTCACATCCGTTGATGTGCTCGGTAACGGGCAGCGCGCAAATGAAACAAGCGTCTAGATCGTCAATCTAGATACTAAATCACACACACACACACACAATCACCAATGTATATAAGTTCGAGGGTGAGTACGATAGAAGCACTCGTGATGTACTTAGATTTAGATAATCTAGTGGGGTTTTGCCTGAAAACAACTTCAATTCTTCTTTCGATGTGTTTTACACAAAGTACACTAGTCCGCGATAGCGGGGTTTTATGAACTTGTTTTGTAAGGTATAGTCGAGCAAGTTATGCTTGTTTCGACGTTGTCTAGAAGAACTTCTAGCAGACACTTCAAATAATCAAACAACCAAAGACTCCGAGGTCTACAAAGAGTGCAAAATCACTCTACAAAGAATGCTCAGGTTCTGACTTCAAGTACAAGACTTGCAAAGAGTACACAGACTCTGGAGTTCCTTGAACTCGACGATTGTTCGAACTTAAAGTGTTCTAGGGCTTATTTTACTTCAACTAGATGAGGTCTTTTGATTTAAAGTCGACTCAGCACGTCTAGATCGCTAATCTCGGAGAGAGAGAACATGAGGCCTTTGTCCACGGAGCAGTTCAATTAACTAGCAAGGTGCAAACACGGGGACGGCTCTACTTCCTACTTAACTCTTCTAGATTACTGTAGTCGCCCTTATGGGTTGACTTTGGTAACTTAATTCACTTCAGTTGAGGATATGCAATAAAAACCAGTGATTGATTAGGTAGCTATACAGGCTACTAGCACAAACATGGGGGGAATGCTTTCCTGCCATTATGCGTCTAGTCGCTGCTAATTTATACGATTCATGTTTTAGGTATAGGAGCCCGTATCTACAGTAATTATGGTACGAGCTTTGGAATTAATACAAACGGTGAGTCACTATCCTACAAGTATCGCGCCATTCCGTAGTTTCTATTCAGTTCGATGCGACTGTGCCGGGTTATTCTGTCGCTGAGGAGTGCCCTACTAGTCCGTGGGTGCTCCTTCTTCCATCTGCAAGGCCTGCCACACGCCGTATGTATTGAATACTGCAGTATGCGCAGGATCTCGAGGATGTAACCACCGATTGTGATTGACTGCAGGTCTGAGATTGTATTCTGTTGATCACTGCGTGATCAAGGTCGGTCATCTCAGTACCCAACGTGGCTATTCATTCTTCCAAGGTTATTCCTTTCCTAGCCTGAGTTGATCTCGAAAGCTGATCTGTTTCTCGACTTAGCAATTTTTCCTGACAGGTTCTTTCTACTCGTCGAGGTGACAAGGCATCTAGTTCGTTCCATTCTTCAACTTCTTGGTTTTTATACTCCATACAGACGAGTCCCCGAGATTTGACTGTAATAGTCTTGTTTAGGTAGGGCTTAGCTTGGCGTGTTGACGGCTGGTAGAATTGACTCTTCGAGATGTTGTTTCTAAGTCCGTTCTGTACTGCCGTGCTTTCATTCTTTATGTAGTATTTAGCTACCAGTGCGAAGCCTCCACTGTAGCCCTCTGTACTGCTTGTAGATTGCATAAACTGATGTAAAATCGCAAAATCTACGGGTAGCCTGATACCAGGCGTATCACCGTCACCATGCTACTGGCTTATATGTCTGCCCATGCAGATATCTGCCGTACCATCATATCAAACACGCCGTTCCTTGAGACCGTTTGTAGGTTGTGGATTTTTCTCGGCCGTAGCTGTGAACATCCAGCCTATCCAGCTTTTAGGAAGCTTATGCATGGGATGCTCTCCGTAGCGCAAAATGATCCGTTATTATCCACCGCGCTGCGACCCGTCTTGATCAGTAACCCAGAACAGGTGTCTAAAGTCGTGATACGATCCCTCATCACAGAAATTCAGCGGCAGCCCACTAACTTTGAATACCTCCTACATGCCATAACCTCATTTCCAGCATTTTCTGAGGCCTCCGGCGACGTCCATAACTACTTGTATTCACATGCGGCGCCGTGGTTATGTCGCGCCATTCGCTTCATCGTATCCCGACGTGAACCGTATTCATCATTAGATCTCGCCGTAGCCGTACGTTCTCTCGAACTTGGCTTCGAGGCGGTGTATGGTTGCTGCTGGTCCTTCATTTATACCTCGGTCACAGCCTGCGATCACCAACTCCTCGAATCCGTTTTGAAGGTTGATCGTTTCGTCCGTATGAATCAAATCAAGCCCGGGGATGCCAAGATCTACGATACAATTGAAAAATTGTTAACATTGGCAACAGTCAACACTGTATATCGGACATTCCTGCGCAGAGTGCGCTGGGCAATCGGCCATGCCGTCAAACTTGAACCTGACCTTGATATGGATGGGCCGATCGCTAAACATTGGTTTCGTTTGAAAGACGTGGCTACGGAACGCGAGATTGCCAAACAGAGATATGATCTTGAGCATGACAAAGGTCTTCGTCTGTGCAATAACAAAGAGGTTAATAATCTCATTTTCTATATGTTGGCGCTTGACGCGTTTGAATTCCTAGTGTCCCAAGACGTCGCGCGAACCTTCCCGACGGTGCAGTGGTTGTTGGGTTTGGTTTTATTGCTCCGAACAATGCCAGAAACTTGACTGGGTCGGAGATCATCGCAAAGCGTGTAAGGACATACAAAAGAGCCGAAAGAGTGGGTACTCCTTCCTTCCGGCATCCACGATATGTTTGCTAACATACTTTCAGCCGATGGTACGCATAACACATGTGCTAGGGATCGCGACTTACAAGGAGAATGGACCAAGCTTGAAGCTCGTCAGAACCTCCGTCGTTTGATTACCATGCGCAAGGCAGACATCTTGAAGAATCCCGCAGCAGAGAATTACCCTACTGCCGTTGCGGTGAACTTTTGTCATGAAGATGGGGTAAGAATTAGTAGTATTTCCAAGGACGAGGCGCGCGATATTATGGGCCAAGAAGATTGGGATATGTATACGAGGGATGGCCACAAGGTTGTAATTCTCATGGAGGTGCCTTATGGAAGGATCTTTCCGCTGCGTACAGTATACCCACTCGGTGCATGTGTTCCACTCGGTGCATCATAGAGTTCGACTTACATGATCTTATGTAATAGAGACACTGTACATATAACGTTACATCTCGGTGGTTGTACACTGATGTATTCACAAATCATAAGGATGAGCACCCGTGCGCCTATATATGGCCTAATTGCAAACGTACCAACTCTCAAGATGTTCACCTTTATTCAAGCAAACTTAATACATTATCCGACCTAGGTTTGATCTCGCATTGCAGCTTATCGGGCACCCTTTCACATATGAAAGCAGAATGAGTGCCCAAGGAACCCAGGAAAAGAAAGATGGACTTACCTGAATACCGAATTATTGTATCGTACCGGAATATCCCCTGCGTCAGGCTTCCTGATATCCAACACGGCGATCATTGAGGCGATGAGGAGCCATATGGAGGACTCGGAGAGGTCGGCACCGGGACAGCGCCTAGCCCTGGTCAGTACCATTGGCATCTGAAAGGATCACAACAAATACCTTCTCCCAAAACCAAAAACATAATTCCGGGGATCCTGTCTTGGGTCGGGGACGACGCCGGGGACTGGCAAGAATCGTTCGGGTCTGAAAATTTCCGGCTCAGGAAATAACTGCTCATTGCGAAGTATGGCCCTACGGGTCATCAATCAGGCAGGGAATGAAGAAGTGGCATGGAAGATGCGATACCATATGTTGACAATAATCTAGCGAATTATGAATGTCGTTTTGAAGCGAAGCGGGCATTCGACGTACGAAAGAACCTTTGGGGATATACATCCCACGGTATTGGTCATCTTGTCGGACACAATGAGGTAGATCTAGACAAATTTTGAGATGGCATGCGGTGACTAAAACGATAGAAACACGCACTCAGCGGAACGGGTGCACCCCAACGCCATACTTCCAACATGATCGCGTCCACTATGACGGTAGTTCAACAGGAATTCAGCAACATAAAAGGTAGAAGTACCATAAGGTAACGCAGGTCTATCATTCAGATCTGGAAGTCGGTCAGGTCCAATAACTTGGTCGATTTCTGCTTGAGCTTTCTTTAGAACGTCGGGGTAGAGCATCATGGCCAGAATGAAATGAGACATTGTTGTCACAGTCTATAAGTCCTAGTCAGTAGGAGCGTTGGCCAAATATCACGAAACTGTGTTACCGTATCCGCACTGGCAGCGAACATCGAGTTTGCACTGTACTTGATATTCTCTTCTTCCGAAGAGTTGAGGGGCTCGTCGCCGCCGAGAATGTCAGAGCAGAAGGAGGGAAGGATCGTTCCTGATTTCTTAAGAAAGTAACGTAAATTCGTGGGATGTAGGGTATGAAAAGCGCACAAATACCTACCACTGATGCCTTTGCTTCCTCGAAAGGCGCATCCACAAACTCTCTCATCATTCTCTTCCATAGCATCGCTTTCTTCTTGAATCCTGCCCCTGGCATCCAGGATGGAAGGTATGCCATCACCGGAAAGACATCTACTAGCCATATCCCGCTTCCGGCTACAATGCGGTTCGCAAGGAGTTGTACACATTCTTCTGCTTGAACAAGGAACTTGTCGTCTGTACTGCGCACTTGATAACCGTACCCGACGGACAGCACCAGACCTCCAGCGTATTTTCGCAGGTGTTCAAGGTACTGGGAAGGCGAGTTGATGAGTTCGACAAGGAATGAGTTGGTCGATGCTCGAATTGTAGAGTAGTAAGCAGGTATACTTCGAGAGCCGAGAGTTTGTTTGAGGTAGCGCCGTTGTTGAGTGAACTCAGAGCTATAACTAAGGAACGGGAGCTCGAATAGGGACTGTAAGCGCTCTGAAAATAGACCATATATGAATGCATACCAATTTCCTGCATCCACATCTAGTAGATGACATTGGTTGGAAACAGGCGCAAAGAGAGATTCTGAGTACACGTACAGGTCACCAACCATTTTCAGCTTCGGCTTGTCGGAGTACATCGCCCCACGCTTTTCGAGGAGCTCGAAGGCAGCATCTGGACTGCTAAGAAATATAACGCTCCATCCAAAGACATGGAGGTAACACACGTCACCTGTTAATGAGAAAATGCCATCAGAAAACTCATGATTGATACGTAAATACAAGAGCAAATTCTCCAACCGTATTTGTCTGCCCATTTCGCTGCCTTCACCCAAAGTTCTTTGGAAGTGAAGTCACCCAGATTTCCGAGAATTGGGGTGGGCTTAGGACCTGGAGGCAAATGCGAGGGATATCCTGATCTCCGATTCAGCCATGTTATCAAGAAGAGCGTACTAGCAAAAGCGAGAAGAGTAGCGATCATTTCCAGAGCGAGATACAATGCTGCTGGGGTGGCAGAGAGAAATTAATTTATATATATTGTAATTCTCACCCTGACGGGGAACAGGAATGTCTGATCCATAAAAAAAGGAAGAATTACTGATAGACGATGGTTACTGCCCTTTAAGCCCCCGTGTGATACACCTCCGCGAGAGTTGTATATCTGACACGCTGCTAGCGAGATAGAGTCGCCGTATAAAGTAAGCATTGTGCTCACCGACAATTAGGTTTCAGCCTGGACGAGACTAGGGCGAGCTGACATATTGCCCAACCGATAAATTGTTGCGCTTATCAAAAAGTTTTGTAGCGCCACAGGAAACCGATGCACGCGTGAATACAGCTGCATTTTACAGACTTGGTTTCGCCGTCTGACGGCACCTGGAATTTTAGCGCCATTGTGAGAAAATCAGGACGGAATTACCTGAACTTCGATTTTGTCTACGGTAAACGCGGAACCCGGGTAAGTGCTAAGTGAATAAAAGGCAGCAAAGTGTGAGTCAGTAATGTAGCAGTCCACACTCTCGAACGCAGCTGAAAGCATGGATCTGCTATCAGGTGTATCGCCTACGCAGCGCTGTAGCTACAGAGCGGCTTGTTACGTATCTCGCCGCCTCGTGTTTGAAGACGTTAGAAAGGAGCCCGATCGGGAACTGCCGGAAATGTCCCCGCTGGCGGTGATTCCCATTTTAGGATAATTCTAGGCTAGACGAACCATCCACCAACACTCCTGTCTTGCTTAAGTTTCCGCATGAAGAATACGCATAGAGACTCTGGGAAATTATCCATACAGTTTCCGTCAAGTCAAAAGCACAGTTCTTGCGAAAAACAGATTTCTGGCGAGAGGGATTTGAAATGTCAGTATCCAGGTAACTTTTTCAGTTTGGCAAACCATTTCCGTCCGCTCTACTTGACGCTGAAACAACTCAGGAATGCAAGTCGACAAACTAAGATAATCGAGAAGTCGTAAAACTCACTTACTTCGTCGGATATGTAAGGTTGTAAAGGACTCCTTTTCTGGATTTGTCGAGACAATTGATGTTATATCTTGAATCCCCCCGTCAACCACATAATACCTCTAGGATCCACCCTTTTCCTCGTAGCCTCCATCCTCCTCAATCCCTCCTCACCGTACATATCTTTCACTGGAGTACCATCGATGGCGTAATTCGGGTACCTCGGTGCGCCCGGTACGCCGAGCTTTTCCGTAATCTCCCTCGCAGCAGCGTGAAATACACTATCTTGGCTCTCCCCTAGCCACTGAAAGCCGAGGTTAGTAGGAAAGATAGCGCGCTCTCGCGAGCCTGGGTAAGCGGAGGAGTTTGCGGGAGCATGAGTAAGGATGGTAGGAAGGAAAGGCTCAATAGAAAACGAGATATCGGAGGCTCCATGTGTGAATAGGATGGAGGCCGAGTTCTGAGATGGGAAGACAAAATTATGAATGCATATACAAGAAGAATATGGGCCTCACGTTTAGCTCGTTGATGAGACCTTTGATTGTCGATTCTGAGTATTCAAGCACGGGGATGTCATTAGATACAACTCTAGTAGTTCACGTGGAAGGTCAGCTATAGAGGTTCGCAGTTGGAAGTTATGGGCGTACCTATCATAACCAGCCGAAAGATTAAAAGAGATAATAAGGTCGTGAAACGAGCGAGACTTGATGTCCTGAGACAAAGGTGGCAGCGCAAGGAAGTCATCGAAGATACCACTCGGAGGAGTCGGGCCATCGTAGAACATCAGAACGGACAGGGATAGCTATAGTGACGTAAGGCAACATCTCAAATGACGAAGTGCACCGCAAATTACCTGACTGGTAGAGCCAGAATACCCGTACATCATAATCATCACTGCTTTGGGATCGCGGACTTCTGAGGAGAATTTTGCAGATGCAGCCGTAAACGCAGATAAATCATCCATGCTATACATAGCGCTTCCTCCCTGTAGACAATATACGTCTGGAACTAAGAAGGAAGTTGAATACTGCACATACCCAGACGGCGCTTTGTGGAAATGCCTTCAAGGTGAACCGAGTGACAATTCCAAAATTATTACAGCCTCCCTACCGTCAGAAGTATAAGCTCCGGAAGTTGCGAACCCAATGTTGCGTACCTTTAATGAAAAGAATAGGTCCTGGTCACTACCTTCGGTTACAGTAGAGAGGGTGCCATTCGGTAGCACTAGCTCGTAGGCGACCACATTATCAATAGCTAGGCCATACTGGTTGGTGTGCCATGAATATCCTATTTTGTGGCGATCAGGATAAGAAAACAGAAGAGACAGGTGATCAAATATATACCACCGCCAAGAGTAAAGCCAGCCACACCGATCCCGGATACTCTTCCCCCAAGAATGTTAACATTTTGAGCGTTCAATATCTTGTAGACGTCGTCCCAAATATTACCGGCACCAATCACTGCCGTCTGCGTCGTGGAGTCGTACGTGACTTCATTGAACCGTGTCATGGAGATCTGAACGCCCTTCGTAGATGAGAAGCCTTGGTTCGTGGCGTGTCCACCACCTTTGACCTATAATAATAAGATATTGCAGTCGGAGTGATTTGGAGACATACCCCGAAGGCCGTATTTGTCTCTCCTAAAATACATAACTAGACAAATCCATGTAAATATCAGGTACGAAGAATAAACTCTACACACGCACAATGATACCGAGGTCCTCAGCTGACCCAGGCTCCACACTGCACAATGATTCCTGTGAGCTTGAGATTGCATAGTGCGCATTGTCCGCTACGTATGATGACGATCCTGTAAATGGTCAGCCAGACAGCAAACGAGGGACGGATGAATGGCAACCAGGATAGTAAACGTCTGTCGCGGACGAAACCTTGCTGGCGATGCGAGGACAGATATCAAGACCCAAAGCAGTTCCCAATAGACTCAGGACAGACGTCGCAGCGAGAAGCATATGAACGGGGGCAGAGCCGGAAGGCGAAGAAAAAAACAGTATCGTTTGTGTGCCAGCTTATAAGGTGTTGTTAAGGTTTCGACCCTCGAGGCCTTGGCTATGTCTGTCCAGCATCACAGGATAGAAAATTGACAAGCTAGGTGATCCTATGATTGGCATTTCTGTCTCCGAAAGCTGCAAATTAATAAGTGATCTGGTCGAGAGTTCTTCTGAATCAGGACTCAGGAAAGGAACTGATAAGAACCGCATTATGGAGATAGAAGGCACCGGAAAACAAACGTATGTAAGTAGGACGAGATTAAACGCCGTGGCTTCGTCTTCTCCTTGACCGCCCGAAGCCTACCGAAGAGACCAGGCTCACAACTACTCAGTATAACGCCATATCTTGCAATCCAACAGAACTGTGGTGAGGATGGGCCAGAAAAATGTAGAACATGATAGCCCTTACTATGCATAGGGCATGGGCCCAAGGGAAGGACATGAATCTAGATTGCGTTGTAGATGTCCGCCCGTTTACGGCCCGCAGCAGCGTTCGATTTCATTTGCGAATAATATTCCCACGCAAACTCTTCCATCAATTTTATTACATCCGGTATGCGTCCTTGCCTGTATCTCTTCCTTTCTGTTTATATTGCAAATACAAGTATATCCGAAGCTTTTGATTGGAAGAGCAGCCTTTTGATGCTGCGCACACTAGAAGATAGGGCGGTAGCTGAATAGGCAGCTCGGGCAGAAGACTAGGGAATCCCACACTATACGCTTGGTAGTATACGTGTGTGGCTTTCTTATTTTCTAAATTACAGAATCTTAGTGCTAATATAGATATATCCTCGTTTTCTTTTCCCCTCGCCTCATACGTTTCACGACTCTAAACCAACTCAGAGCACCGAACGTGCTTTGATACTTCATTTCTGCAGCTCATGTGTATGATAACCGGAATGATACAACTACACCCGGCCTTCTAACTTCTAAGTGCTAGAGTGATGTTGTCAAAAAAAACTTATTTGGCTTCAAGCAATAGATCCGATCGATATGTTTGGGTAAGTGTTAGCGACCGATTACACAAACAAGATTAAACAACTAGGCATGACTCGCACTTCGGTCAGGCGCCTTATGTTGCTCGCAGGTTTGCATGCAGGGAGCTATCGCTTAGTTGAGCGAGAGTGAGTTCAGACTAAGTTATCAGGTGAATAAACTTTAGTTCAAGACTGAGGTTTAAGACCTGCAGTCGAGCTACTTAAATACAGTTTGGGTCATGCTAAATATACTACAAGAGTCTGCAACGGTGCGATAAACACACTGAACCCTCATGGGTAATGCGATCAAGTCCGGAAAGTTAGCATAGCAGGATTACGAGAGAGCTGATAAGATAAGATAGGACGTGAAATCGTAATATTACCCCCCTGTTAAGGCAGTCGTCCCGACTGCGGTATAGCTTGGCTTTGGAAGATAGGCTCCTACAAGAGAAGGTGTATTTGGTTTTACCAGGTATTCTTGGATTGCCTGTACCAATGGATGGTCAACTTCTGATTCGGTTACCGACTCCGTTTCTGACCAGGAGTCGGACTCGTCGTTGTCCTCCCACCAGTCCGCGGGGGGTCGAGTGATGAAGGAGACTTGTTCGAAGTCTTCAATCGCCTCTCTTGCATTACTCAATTCTTGTTCGTCCACCCAAGAGTTTTCTTCTCTCAGGTATCCCTTCCATTTGATGAGGTATTCAATTTTGGTGCGTTGTTTTCTCCCTCTTCCCATGGTTCGCTCCCTTCGGTCCACAATTTCTTCCACCTCGTATTGTTCTTGTCCGTTTACGAGGTCTGGTGGAGGTGCTATGGGCTGTATCTGGATTGGGAACTCCGGTGGATGATAGGGAGTTAGGAGGTTTTCATTGAAGCGATCATGAATTTTCCAAGCAGGGGGTAGACGTAGTTTGTATGCGGAGGCGCCATGCTTGGATATTACTTTGAACGGTCCGACACGTTTGTCTCCTAACTTCTTCATTGGTCGAGGAAGATGTAAGTTAGTGGAATCCAACCAGACCTTGTCTCCCGGTTGGTACTCCATTGCTGCTCGTTGATGTTTGTCATATTGTCGTTTCATGACTTCCACTGCCTTTTCCAATGCCTTTGTCGTTTGTTCATGCACCTTTTGTATATCCGCCACGAATTCTCTGGCTGCGGGATTAGTTCCTTCCTTGATTGTTACTGGGGCAAGGTGTGGTTTCTGCCCGTGGTTGATTTCGAAGGGAGAGTAACCGGTTGCGGAGTGCTTCCGGTTATTGTGTTGGAAGGCGGCGAGAGGTAACCACTCACTCCAATCGTTCTGCCTGTGGTTGATGAATATTCGGAGATATTTTTCAATCTCTTGGTTTGCTCGCTCCGTTTGTCCGTTGGTCTGTGGATGATAGGCCGTGGATGGGTTTCCTTGTATGTGGAGCATCTCATATAGTTCCTTCATGAATTTTGACACGAATTGGGGTCCCCTGTCAGAGATTACTTTCTGCGGCATTCCATGTTTTGCCCATACATGATCTCTAAGGATTTTGGCCCACCCTGCCGAGGTCAGCTCAGTGGAGCATGGTACCGGAATTACTTCTTTTGAGAATCGGTCCACGATCATGAGGATAGCATTGTAACCGTTTGAGTCTGGCAGTTTGCCGATCATGTCTATGGTGATATGTTCCCATGGTTGTGTTGGTACCGCGTGTGGGTGTAAAGGCGCTCTCTTTCTTTAGGTGTTTGTCTTGGTTTGCTGACAAGCTTCGCATCCCTTCACATACTTTTCCACATCTTGTTTCAGCTTGGGCCACCAGTAATTGCGCTGAACGAGTTCTTTGGTTTTTTCAATTCCTGGGTGTCTGGCTGTGATGTGGTCATGATGTATGGCAATCAGCTCTCCTCGTAACTTGGCGTCTCAAGGAATATATAGTCATCTGTCGTAGTACATTAACCCGTCCTTCTGGGTTATGCCTTTTGGGTGATGGGTGGATGCTTCGATCCCCTTGTCCCATCTGGTGATGTCTCTCAACGCCATTCGTATCTTTTTATGTATCTCTTCTTCTTTGGGCATGATGAGGGCTTGGAACATTTCTGGTCTAAGAACAACCATCTCGTCATTGTCACTCCCTTCTTGGTCGTGATCTGCCCTTCGGGATAATAAATCTGCCTTCTTGTTTGCTGTTCCGGGTTTATGGTGTAGCATGAAATGATACTCCGCTAGTTCAGTTACCCATCGAGCCTGGTGACGATTGAGTTTTTGAGGCTTCCAGAAGTACTGTAGGTTTTGGTGATCCATCCATACTTCGAAGTCTTGGTAGGCTCCCATAAGGTAATGCCTCCAGTCCTCTAGGGTGAGCATGATCGCAAGGAGTTCTTTGTCGTATATTTCGTAGTTCCGTTCTGTGACGGTCAGGGCCTTGGATAGGAATGCCACTGGTCGCCATCTCCCCTCTTGTTCTTGGGACAAGACTGCTCCTATAGCTCCTTCACTTGCGTCCGCTTCTACTCGGTACTTCCCAGTGCGATTGGGTACGGCTAGTATGACCTCCTCGGCCAACTTCCTTTTGATCTCTTGGAAGGCATTTTCTTGGGCTGTTCCCCACGTCCAGTCTGCCTTTCCCGTGAGCTGGGTCAGGGGTCGTACGTGTTTGCTGTAGTCCCTTATGAACCTTCGATAAAAGTTGGTGAATCCCAAAAACGATTGTAGTTCTCGCTTCTTGGTGGGTTGAGGCCATTCTGTGATTCCTTTGACCTTTACGGGGTCCATACGAATGGAGCTTTGACTGATGATTACTCTGAGATATTCTGTTTCCAGTACTTCGAATTCGCATTTTTCCGCTTTTAGGAAGAGTTTATTGGCTCGGAGGATGGCTAGAACTTCTCGGACAACGCTGCGGTGTTTGTCTTTGTCCTTGGTACAGATCAGGATGTCATCTAGATACACAGTGATGTCTCCTCTTGCGATCTGTTCTTTGAATATGTCATTCATCATCCATTGGAAGGTTGCTGGGGAGTTGGTGAGTCCGAAGAACATCACCATGGGCTCGAATAGCCCTCTGTTTGTTCAGAATGCGGCCTTCCACTCGTCTCCCCCCTTGATTCGTACATTGTTGTATCCCCACCTTACGTCTAGCTTCGTGAAGTATTTGGCATCCTTGAGTTGATCCATCAATTCTCCGATGAGCGGGAGAGGGTAACGGTTCTTGATGGTCATCTCGTTTAGTTTGCGATAATCTTGCACAGGTCGGAGCTTTCCATCCTTCTTTTTGACAAAGAAGAAGGGCGAGGCCATTGGGGATTTGGAAGGTCTGATCCTTCCTGATTCTAGGTTTTTGTCCAGGAACCTGTCCAATTCTTCCTGTTCAGTGAGATTAAGGGGGTAGACTTTGCAGTCTAAACTCGCATTCGCATTGGGGACCAATTCAATAGCATGGTCCCATGGTTTTCGAGGGGGTAGCTCATCAAAATTTTCTTTTGCGAACACGTCTCAGTATTCCCGGTATGGTTCCGGTACTATTTCCTCGAACGTCTTCGCCTCTTTGCCTTGATTTGCTTTAGCAGCTAATTCGTTCGCCTTACTTCCCATGGCTCGAACGTGAAAGGCTTCTTTGAAGTCCACAATCAGGATAGTGTCTCCTTCCTCTACTTCTGTTCCCCATTGTTGCTCCGGGTCTTTGTCTGGTAATTGAAAGGGTATTTTGCGGCAGGAACATCGGACTAGGGATACCATTCCAGTTTTCCAATCTATGATTGGGTTATGCCTTTTGAGCCAATCGTGGCCTAGAAACATCGGTATGTTTCCTAGGTCGACGACGGCGAGCTCAACCTTTTCATGATGGTCCCCAATGGTTAATCGGAGTTCTACTATCTCCGTTATGTCTCCTCCTTTGTTGCGGCTGCCGTCTGCGTTATAGACGGCTTGTGCTTTGGAGAGTTTTACCGTGTTGAGCTGATGTTCTTGCACGAAGGACCGGTTTATACAACTCCCGGTGCAACCGCTGTCCACCAAGGCGTCCACCACTCGTACTTGGCTGGTATCCAGGGTTTCGAGTTGGACGCGGATGTTGACGCTTCTTCCCCTTCCTCCCCGGATATACTGTGGGGGAACACATAGATCTTGCATGTTTTGTAAACACTGTTCTCGTTGCCTATAGGTTTCCCTGGAGGACCCGATAAGGTCTAATACGAGGTCTTCGTCCACCTCAATCAGCCGTCGGGGGTGCACCCACATACGTAGGGTCGCTAGTCTTCCTTCCATGGTTTTCTCCTGTCTCATCTTTCTCCTTACCCATTCGGCGCTGTGTGGTTTGAGCCACCCCCTGTCCCACTTGTCGTTATAGTACTCTTCTTCTAACTCCGTCACCTCATAGTCTTCTGGGTACTCCTCGGTGTGGATCACCGGGTCTTCCCCTTGTTTCTTGAGGCTTTGTCGGTAGCTGTAATTGTCTTCCTCATCGGGCACTTCTTCGAGTGAAATGGTATTTTTATTGAAAATAGGGGAATCACATAATGGTCCCACCGACCCGCCCACTGGGGAACACGAGCCCCCAGTGCCATTATGTGTTAGTGATGAAAGGGGTAGACATACCGTGTGGGAAGGGATGGGATCCCCGGTTGTCTTGACTGTTGTTTGCGGGGCAGCGGTTTTCTTGATGGGGATTCGCATTCCCTCTTGTGGCTCTGTCGTGTCAGGGTAGTTGGCCGCATAGGGCAGGTGCACATGTTCTGCCTTCGGGCGAGGTCCTGCATCGTTCCTCTCCCGCCTGGAGGCGTCCTTGCCCACTACTAGCTCGGCCGCTCTTCCTCCGTTTTCTGTGCCAGTACCTACCTGCCACGGAGTGATGTTGACCTTGATCCCGTGTGTCCCGCCGCCTTGCACAGCATTCGCCGCTTGTGCTTTCGCACCGGTGGCCAAGGATCTTGAATGGGGTTCTTCTTTGAGCACAGTGGAAATCCCCTGTACACCGTTGCTTTTATGCGACTTGTTAATTTCATTTTGTGATTGCATGAAAACTGTGATATTGTTCGGAGATACTACAAGCGATGTATTAGTCCGACCTGCGGGGTTCGAGAACGCACCACTAGATGAAATTAAGTCCTTAGCCGATGCGCATTTGTCGCTTATGCTGTCGGCTCGTCTTTTACCTCCTCGATCTTCGATGTTGACGCCTCTTGTTCTTCCTCCTTCACTACTTGTTGGTACATGGTGCGGATTTGAGCTCGAGAGAACTTGGGCTGGTGCTTGACCAACCACGTACTTTCGTCCTTGGGGCATTTGTTGTCTTGCTTCCGGTGTCCCTTGTGACCGCAGCAGAAGCATCATCCCTCCTTCCGTAGTCAATCTATCTCCATCGGTTGTCCCTGGCCCCCGTACGTGGTTCCCGTTCCCATCTTCTTGTCACTCTGAGGAGTTCCGGAGTTCCCCGTCTTCCCTTTGTTTGGCGTTCCCTGCGTTCCAAGGTTTCTGCCGGCATCCTCCGCTAATCCCACTCGGTAATTATAGTCCATTTGTTCTACTCGGAACTTCCATTCTGCATACGTGCATGGTAACGCGGTCCCAGTAGCGTGTATAGCGGTCTTGACGTTCTTCCGGATGGCTGGCTTGAGTATTTTGATCATGTACTCTTCATTGTGACATTTTCCAGACTCCTTAGCTAGCCGTTCGAAGTCTCGGAAGAACTCCTTGGCCGACTTGTAGGTGTTTTGTCGTATGTGTTTGAACTCTTGTAATTTGAGTTCTATTTCCGCATCGGCCCGGAACTGGTCTTCCATGGTCTGTCTGAACGTCTGCCAGGCTGGGTAGTGCAGGTATCCACATGTTTCGTCGTAATATTCGTCCCTGACATGATTCCACCAGTGCAATGCTTTGTCCGTGAGTCGGAACGTGCAGAACACTACCCGATTAGGGCTTTGTCCATGCGCGTTCATTGTGAATTGCTGAGGAAACACATTGAAGTAGTCCTCGCATTGGTTAAGGAATCGGTCCACGTCATTGGACTCTCCCTTGAACTTTTCCGGTGGTTCCGCCAGCTGTGGCTTCACCTGTCCCCATGGGTTTGTATTGGCTACTCTGACTATGAATGGCGGTGGCGTGTTCAGTGGTTGTACAGGGTCCGCGGGAATGGGGATTGCTGCGGGATGGGGTAGCGATCGTAATGCGGGGTTGTGATGTGGGGATAGAGGTCCTTGCTGTACAGGGGCCGGTACTGCAGGAACTGCTGTTGCTGCCACTGCCGCTGTGCCTGCACTTCCCGGTGTTCCCGCCACCACGAATAGCTGACTAGGGTCGACGTACCCTGTCCTTTTGAGAATGGATAGGTGGCTTAAGTCCACCGTGCTTCCGCTTGATGTTTCGGAGGGTTCTGGTACCGCGTACCGTTCTCCTGGTTCTGTATAGTCGTCTGGGTGTACCTGGTTCCACAGGATGTTTGTATGGAAGATCGTCTCCTGATATAGCACTTGGCTTCCCACCGGGTTGTTTTTGTTCTGTTGGAAGTATCTTCCTTGGATCGATCCGTTCCACGAGAGTTCTCGTGGTAATTTCTTTTCGGTCCAATGCAGCATTTCCAAATACGTCATATTATCGAGTTCGGCCTCAGTAGGCTCCTGAGCTAGATCCTTCCACGAACTCCGGGATGATGTCTTCTTCCCCATACTCTCCGACCCTATGCTGCTGCTGTAGATCGAAATTGGCCCTGTTCCAGGGTTCTCGTAGATTTCGCCTTCTTCTAAGTCCGATTGGTCGGACTCACTCGAAAGGCTCTGTGCTTCCTGTGACAATTCGGTTCCAATTCCGAATGATTCTTGCCCACTCATTGACCCTGAGTATGACTTGATCGAAGTCGGGTCTTCGGGGTCTATCCCATACCCAGGGTGCAACAAAGGGGATGGGGGCTGTGTGGGGATGTTCTGGTGCGAGGGGATAGATGGCATAGGGGATGACAGAGGCAGGGGCTTCAATTCCCTCGTACATGAGCCACACGTCGGCGTAGTCCTGTACTTGTCAGCATACATCGCAGCTGGCGTCGGCGTCGTATGTGGGCTCACATTGGTCGAGCTCGGTAGTTGCTTCTCCGGCCCTGTCATTGATGATAACCGGGGTGTTTGGTCGTGTAATGAGATTGAGGTATCCTCCCTCGTCGGAGGAGGAGTCGTCGCAGGCGTAGTAGTTGCCCCATGTCTCTCCTCTTGAGTCCAGCCTTGGAGGGGACCAATTGTTGCACGGCCCTGGGAGCTCGTCGCTGTCGTTGTCCTCCTCTGTATCGCTGCTTTCTTCATTTGAACTGCTTCCAGTTCCATCTTCAGCTGTTCCTCCTTCTCCCAGATGATATCTAAGCCCTCTTTGATAGAGGCGCTGTCTGTCTGAATCATATCCAGGGTTGGTGGCTGAGTTCTTGGTTGAGGTGGGGGAGGGGGCATTCCAGGGGTCACTTCCTTCGCTTTCCCCTTCGCTTTCTTCCTCGGTAATGGGAGAGAGAATACGCTTGTCCATCCCCCTTTCGTAGAGTCCTCGCTCTTCTTCTTCTTCAACGACTGGGCCTCTTTGTGTGGGCCATCCTTCCATTTCGGAGTTGGACTCGTCTGAGTCGGAGTCCTCTGTGATCCACTCATCATCGGTGATGAAGATGAAGTGAATGATGGGTTCGGGTCTGTCGTCGAGGTAGTCGGGAGGGGGTGTGTGCAGTCGTCTAGCCTCCGGGTTGGGGGCTTCGACGGGGATAGTTTCTTCAGAGACTGGCTCCTGGTTTCGTCGGTGCTCGTATCCATATAGGAATGCGAGGTAGGCTATGGCAATAAAGCCTTGTAGTTCAAAGAGGTCAGTGAAGTATTGTTCGATGGGGTTCATTCGTTACTGTTCGACAACATGGTTGTTGTTGAAGAGTAAGAAAGTCTCGAACTAATTGTTAGCGACCGATTACACAAACAAGATTAAACAACTAGGCGTGACTCGCACTTCGGTCAGGCGCCTTATGTTGCTCGCAGGTTTGCGTGCAGGGAGCTATCGCTTAGTTGAGCGAGAGTGAGTTCAGACTAAGTTATCGGGTGAATAAACTTTAGTTCGAGACTGAGGTTTAAGACCTGCAGTCGAGCTACTTAAATACAGTTTGGGTCGTGCTAAATATACTACAAGAGTCTGCAACGGTGCGATAAACACACTGAACCCTCATGGGTAATGCGATCAAGTCCGGAAAGTTAGCATAGCAGGATTACGAGAGAGCCGATAAGATAAGATAGGACGCGAAATCGTAATAGTAAGGGAGCTGCACGGTTTTCTTGCGTGGGTGAGAACGTGCTTTCTCCTGCGGGAAAGGTGACGGTATCCGCTATGAAATGGATACGTCTGAAATCACGCATCTTCTATCAGGTGTTTCTCTTATAGAGCGGTTTGGTACTATCTCGTTGCCTCATGTTTGAAGAGGTTAGAAAGGAACGTCGATCGGAAATTTCTCCATTCTAGGCCAACTAAACCATATGAGCAGAGCAAGAGATAATCGAGGAGTCAGACGGCAGGTAAAACTTGCTTAAATTCTCGGTAATAAATCTGCAATCATCGAAATTGCTTTTTTTTTTGGTGGGGGGGTGGGGTCCGTCAACTCAGCTGAGATCATATCTTGAACCCCCTGTCAAACGCATGATACCGCTAGGATCCAGCAAAATGTTTCCTGTGGATGAAATTCAAATCAACGCATTAAGATACGTTCAGAGCTCGGACAAGAGAGTCCTCAGGTTGCTGGCCGTCATGAAGAAGTTGAACGTTTCAAAGCGCGAGCGAGAATCAATGGATTTCGACGATAACTTTGTATGAATACGTCTCTGCCTAGGCCTTATTAGATTTTACATAACTTGAGCCAATCCTCCATTGTTCTGCGTCCTCCATCCGGATGTGCACAATGCAGTAAGTTCCAAGCCAAGTCAAGAGCGTCCCAGATATCCTTGCGGCATATATTCAGATTGCTCACAGTCTTCGAAAACGCAAGAATCCCGACGCCCATACCATCCAGCTCCCTCTCCGTCTTTGTCTGCATCATGAACAAAATAGTGGGATCCCAGTTGACAGAGGCAACCCTCGGCTGTCTCAAGTCCTCTTCCGTTAACCTCACGATTCCTAGAAGGGAGCCCACGATAGGTGAGACCTCGCGAGTGTAGATGTAGCGAGCCAGGGCAATAGAATCTTCAGGCTTGAACATTCTAATTCTATGTATCCGGTCCAACTGAACGGGACATGTGGCGTGAAAGATGAAACCACGAAGTAAGATGTTGGACACGGGTGGAGCCGAGGGCGAGATGAAACGACTTCGCAAGGTGATATGGAATGTCGGCACCTTATACTTTTCCAGCACGTACTCAGTGGAGAGGTGCTGCTGAGGAGGATAGAGGCTAACGGATGAGCGTCAGCTTGGGGTTTTCTGTCAGCAGCAGAACGTACGTACGCCAGGGATACCGCAGAGAATTCGGATAGGGGGATTTTGTGTGAGGCCAATCTGCGCTCAATCTTGTTGATGTGTCCTATTGCGGCCCTGCTCAGCTTTCTGTAAAGAAACTGATGTGATATCTCTGTGTTGTCCAAGGGAGATTCTTGCGGGCTTCTGTGGGTCGTCATGATAATGGCGGGAGAAAAGGAGACAGTGCACGTGCGACTGAAACAAGGAAAAGCGGTCGCTTGATTCCGGCCTTCCCGTTTATTTGATAGAATGTGAACTACAAGCAGCCCAAACCCAGTGGGCGAGACAGAGGAACCCTACAGGTACTCCGTGTCTGAAAACGCCAACATTAGCACACTCCAGATGTGACAGACAGTGAAAAACTGACCCCCTCGACCTGAAATTACATCGACTCGAGCATCAGTGAACTGGCTTTCGATGGTCCGTGTCACTGAGGCTACATCCGTCGTCATCCACGTCGCGGTCACCTCTACGACCACCGACATCAAAGCAGGGAACCTGCGCTCCAACAAAAGCTTGTCCAAGCCCTTCCACACAGCATAATCACCTGTATTAGCGCCAAGCGTGACACAGAAGGTGATACGCTCGATATCATCGCACTGTCTGAGATTCCCGATCCACCACTCGAGCAGGTGTCGATCCACAGCGTCGTCGATATCAGAGTGGTAGTCCCACATGTGTACGGTGACGGTTCGTAACCCTGAGAGTTGGAGGTGATCAGAAGATTCAAGCTGGTTCAATACTACACAGAGACAACATCAATAACGATGGTGGAGAGAAGATGGCCATGCACGTACGATCGATGCTCCGCGGCATATGCGAAACGACAAGGTCTTGCAGGGGACACAGCCCTTCGCTGAGCAGGGTTTGCAAGCGGTGTATATCAGATCGATTGTGCAGTAGCACGTCGAGAGTACGGACGTGTCTCGGTGACAGAAAGGACGTGTCAATCCAAAAGAGTTCAGGCGAGAGGGCCGAGTCGTGGAGAGTTAGATGTTTTACATGTGGCGCAGATTGCTCGTCTTGCTCGAGACTTCCGATGATATCTGTATGGTGTAGCTTGAGGGTGTGAAGGGTGGAACGAGAGGCAGAAACGAGGGAGAACAAATCGGATGCCTTGATACCGGTTACGCAGTGAAAAGTAATGCACTGAAAGGCGCGGGAAGAAAGGGCCGCCCGAACGTCCTGGGGCAACAACGCCCAATTGATGTGAATGAACTTAATCACTCGTAAGTTGGAGAACAGCGACATCACAGCAACAAAATGCTTCGTATTTCGTATTTTTCTATCGTCCCAACCGCTGTGAAGGGCCAAAGTCTCGACTCGGGGAGGTATGTGAGGAGACGCCTGGCACATATTGCGAAACTTGTGAAAGTGCCGAAAGTTCTCGAAGCGTAGTTGACGGAAAAGATGAACTCGGGTTCGACGGAGGAAAGAACGGCAGACAAGGGAGGAAGCCTTGAGGGATCGGGGGTCATTGATTAAGAAATCCAGGATGGAATCTATTAGCTCCTGGGGTAACTTGGTGAAGTCAAACATCTACAAAGATCAGTTTCCCTGCTTGAGAAAAAGACGAAATTGAGAATACCTTAGCTTTGAAGATGGGCGTCATGACGAGAGAAAAGGAAAGACAATTTCTCACGTCTCATGTGATCCCAAATAGGGGCCGTGTTCGTTTGTCGAATTGTCGCTGCACACCCCACCGCCTCAAGCTGTACCAAGTAGTAGAAGACAAAGCAGGACAACAAGTTCAGAGATATCGATCAGCAACACGTCCGACACGCCACTCGAGTGACCGTTCGACGCCCAAAAGCTGCCTCAAAAAGCTAGATACTCAAGGGAAGTTGCGATGGCAGCAAGCCATACGAGCGAAACAAGGAGACATACACTCTTTTCAATTCACCAATGGCAGCTCCCGGCTGAAATGAACATTCTTGGATTGAACACGGATGACAAGTTACTACTAATCGTCCAAACACTGCCATTCTACACTTGGGAGAAGAACGTAACCCTTATACTAATCTGCAACCGCGTCAGAGCCCAGAACAATTCGAAACATCAGGAAAGACCGACTTGTAACCACAACACGAACTCGCTTATCCGTGAACTGACCCTCCATAGCGAGCTTGGCAGATTTAGCGAATGGAAAGGTTGGCCAGTTCGCGTCCAGGTCAATTACGACATCTTTGAGGCAAGGATTACTCCCCTCCTCACACAGATAGCGATCCAAAATCTTCCAGGCCCCGTAATCACATAAATAGTCATACAATGGAAGGCGGAAGGTGACCCGCTCGATCACTGAGCATTGCCTGATATTCTCTATCCACCACTTCAGATGTTGATCAATGGGACGCTCGTAGAAGTCCCATAGCTCCACGATAAGGGATAGTAACCCTGAAATTGGAAGGCGATAAGACAACGTAAGACGTTCCACTAGATCGGAACATATGAGTAGACACGATGAATAAGAGATAGCCACACATACAGTCACAAAACCCCGGTGGATGTGTAACTCTAAGGTGCTGAAGTGAACAGAGCTGCTCACTGAGCACCTTTTGGAGACAGCGCGTCGAGGAAAGATCTGGCAACAACACATGGAGGGTGTGGACATGCCCCAATGGAAGAAAAGAGGGCAGGGTCTGTGAAAATAACTCGTAGCGAAGAGGCGCATAACATAGAGACAGAGTCTGTATACGTAGAGAGGATCCTACGCTGCACTGAAAAGACCCGGTGACTTGTGTTCCATTCAGCTCGAGCCCATCAAGACTGTCGTGAGAGCTAGAGACGAGGGAACGTAAGTCGGATGTGGTCATATCGGTATTACGCAAGAGGATGGTTTGGAAAGCGTGTGAAGAGAGTGCGTCTTGTGAGGCCTGTGGCAGCAATGTCCACTTAATGTTGATGAACATGATGGTTTGCAAGCAAGAGAGCGACGAGATCACAGGTGCAAGGTGCTCGGAGTCTCGTACTCTATCGCTCGTAACATCGTGAAGGGTTAATTGTCTGACTTGGTGAGGTATCTGGGGAGACTTTCGGAACATCTCGTGAAGCTCGCTCAAGGAGTGGGCATCAGTGATGCGAAATCGCCAGAACAGATGAACACGAGTTCGGTGGAGGAAAGAATGGCAGACCAGAGAGGAGGCTTTGAGGGACCGAGCGTCATTGACCAAAAAATCAAGGATATAGTCAATTAGTTCTTGAGGTAGCAAGGAGAAACAGGACATCTACGAGAAATTAGTCTCTTCCCAGGAATACCACGAGATTAGAAGATATATCTTATTCCTCTGACGCCAGGTCTCAGGAAAGATAGATAGATAACCGGTCGAGGTCCAAAAGGGAACGCTGGGGCTATGTACCACCACAAAACGTGCCACATACTACAGTCCCTCACGCCGCTGTGATATCCTTGGTTGAAAGGTGGACGAGAGGAGGAGAGACCTTTTGCCGTGTCTTGTATGATTATAAATAGGAGAGGAGGTGGCACGGCCGTTTCTTTTGGCAAACAGCGCTACCTGTAATGACCTCAATCAGTAGAGAACGTAGTCACTGACAGGGTAACTACCTGTGAGCCCTCCACTTCAGCATCGCACAGTAGTGCTCCCTTAATGATGCTCACCGGGCATTGAGACGCAGCTTCAAGACAAGATATTACAATGCTGCGTCCCTATGATACGACTGTGGTAATGTCATGCGCAGAATCGTGAATGAGGGAAGGAATTCTGATTAACGGCCTGTCCACCAATAGCAGGAAAGCGGGTTAATGGGTCATCACGCTGCTCCCCGTCTCTTGCTCCCTATGTGCATGCTTTATTAGTACAAATGACCAAAGATATGAACAGCAACAAGACGTACTTGAGAAGAACGTCGCTCGCCTCCAACACTGAACCTTTCCCAAGGCTATACTCGGCATGATGCTAGCGTGCTAACAACGAGCAAGGGCATTCGGAGTCGTCGGGCATGGACATAGCTGCAGCAACAACGGTGACGGCTAATACCTCATCTGTTGGTGGTTGGATTCCTCTCCTTGTCTGCCTCACTCGCGGTCGCTGCCGGGGAAAGTCTTGATGAACAGACCGTTTTCCGCTCCGAAATCGGGAATAAGTACGCCGGTCATGGATTAATACACGATATTGAGCCAGCCCCGCAATTGACTTTTCATCTGTAAGTTGTAGCTGTGAGGATCTGAATACACCAACACGATGCCATAGCGTATCATGGAACTTTTCGCTTCTATACCCAGATTCCCGGGGCCTACCGTCACCTCCCCCACTATTCCAGGTGCCCGAAACGCGATTACAACAAATCTCGGTATTGATGAGAGTACAGGTACATCTGGCGATACGGATGGAACAGCATTCAACGAAGCGGAAGCAACTCCTTTGTCCATAAGTCGGCTCTTGCTGATGGCCCCTCGTTTCCCCTGCCTCGCCTTCATCGTCGTCACGGTCGGCCATGTCGAAATAAGGAATTGGGAAGCGCCGCTCTCTAAGGACAAGTATCCTTCAAGTCATCGGTTGCAGATTCGAATAAGCATGTCGGTTGCAGGCTCTTGTCGCTAGGATTGAACCAGGTCCATGACCTACTTCCCAGTAAGAAATGGCCATGAGCATTTGAGTATTTGAATACACCAATACGACACCATAGTGGACCCGGCCGTTCCTTGGAACCTGGTGCCGGTAACACCACCACCACTATCTTCGAGCTTGTAATTCTCACATCTGAGTTACCGGAGCCTATTTTTTCCACCTGCATCTTCGCCGTACCCCCGCCCGGAAAAATGAGGAACTGGAACCACACTGCTCTCTGAGGGTCGATGAACTGCAAGCCATTGATTGCTGAGTCGAATGAGAAGGTTGCACGGTGCTAAGCCAGGACTTTGACGGACTTTTCAACTGTAAGAAATAGCGGTGAGCGTACAAATACGCTGACGCAACTTTGTAGGGCACCTGTGGACATGTAATTCATGATTCTTCCCCAGTACCTATCGTTGCCGTTTCGAACAGAGAACCTGTCTCGAAAATGGAGTGGCAGCAGCTCTGTACATCATCTTGGTGAGGAGTTGAGGAGTTCAGTACATTCCGTTTTCTGGGTCTTCAGAATCGAAGGCAACAAGGTAGTGAATCATGACGATGATGGCGGTTGTGATTCCTCTGCCAACCCTAACCTTAGGGTGGTGTCAGCGAACGGTCTGCCGGTCCGGTCTTCGCCAAACTTCTTTTTCTTGCCTTTTCACGGTCAGGACGACACACTACAGCTTGGCTCTCTTGTCTCGAAGTCCACGTTTGCAGGCTGCCCGATTTTTGATTAAGGCCGTACAGGTGGTTATGCTAATACTTCGGTTACTGTATCATAGGTATTGATAGCCGTCTGAAATCCGGATTCTAGTGAAGATTTTTAACGACGATAGACCTGCGACTTTTATTACCACGCTCAAGCACTCACTGTCCAACATTTCCCATCGATCTCTACGTCAACGAATCTTCGTCATTGGTATAAAAAGTCTTCTTGCCGAGCTGCTCATTTAATTCCGCAAAGCTAAGGCAGTCAGGTGAATCTCGAATTATTACTTTTCTCTGTGCTGATATTACTCCTAGCGCAATGAAGTGTCTACCAAGGGATGAGGCGAGGATGTTATCAAGTATATCCATGTCCTACGAAACGGGCTACTTGTCAATGCGGTTTTACATGTACACCTTGGTCGACGTTCTGCCATTCTCCAGGTATAAATCACGTCTTATCATGATTGTACTTTGGCTCACTGCAAATTTTTAGCACTGGTATTTATAATTAAGGCGACAGACATCGACAGGGGACAGGGAACTAAACGCTGGACGATGTTCACGTATTCTTGCATTTATACGTATTTCCTGTCTATCCAAGTTTCTTCGTTCGGTTAGCGAGAGCTATGGGACGCCAACAGCATGTCTGATTCAACAAATTCTATAGTCGTTTCTGGAAACGACATGCTATTCCAGTCTTGTGTATTGGCCATCATCCCATGGTGACGTGCATTCCATCGATGGAAGATCCTCGCAACAACCACCCTTTTCTAGCGGCTATGTTAGTCTAAATACTCGCTGGTCACGAGACGGCACATCCCAGTTATCTTTGATTCTTCAAATGCACGGACCTGCATGTTAGCCGTCACGCCGGTCGATTTTGCAGTCGCCCCCTCCCTGATCCCATGCTTCGAAACGATAGAAATGAGACATACCACACTTAATTGCCTTCGGTCGACGCCGTAATGGATGAGTCGTACTACATCTCATTACGTTCGAACCTGGCGCTACACTGAGTCGCTCCTTACTACTGAGCATCCTCTACGACTGCTACTGGCCATGCGTAGACTATGTATATCTGAGTGGCAGATGCTTAGCAAAAGACTTTTCCTGATGCAACCGCGGACTCCCATTCACCTGTGCTATTGCTTCTTCCCAATGTCGTGATCATTGTATCGAGCCGGAAATCTCCTAGCGCAACCCCAACGAGGACAAGTTAGACGCCGACCTGGAGGATTACTAGTATATATACATCCTGCAACATCTTTACACCGTCCAGCCCGGAACGTGCCTTTGGCGCCTAATAGCAACAGTATCTCATGGAGACCAAGAATAGATCCTCTCACATTGCAGGCCGTGCCGTATGCTGTTGAATAAGAATCAGCATTCCATTCTCATGTTCAAGGTTCTGCACAGTGTAATACGGGCTATGCATATCGTACTTTGACCTCTCAGTCAGCTCGGACCAGCGGAGCGAGTTCCATCATCGCAGAGTATTTTAAGGCTGCAGAGGCGGTATCCTTTTTACGATGTCCATACTCACTGGCGTGAATCCAAATTGCTATCGAGTCCGGCGGGCGGCCCTATCGAGAGTCGAGATGCGATATAGTACAATGGTAATAACTGAAGGATCACCATAATCGTTCATCAAACTCCACCGAATGAAACTCCGTTCACACAGGTTCCAGGAATGATTAAAGTGAACAAGCGCCCAGAACCCTCCGAGAAGGTACTGCATCCAGAACCGCGATGACCTCGGAAAACAGTCCCGGGCTTCATGACGATCAAGCACCTCTTGTGATTTTTGTATATACTTATTTGCACGAGGCAGGAAGGTCGTAATGGAAGTGTTCATCGTGTATCCCGAAGTGAAAGGGAGCTGAGAAAGGTCAACGATGATCGCGCAGTGCCAATGCATCGGACAATCAGAGCGGAGCAGTTTGTCCCCCACTGCTTTTCCAATTGTCCGATACGAAAGGTTTGTGCTTATCGTCACGACGCTTTTATTGCTTTGGCGGCTAAACGTATTTTGTATCTGTGTCCTGGTCTCTCTTTATATATCCCTCACTCACCGCCGTGGGTGTGCATAGGCGGCGAAGTGTTAAAAGGAGAGAACATGCGATAGTGGCTCGAAGGGAAGTGCTGCCGGAGGTTAGGATCAAAAAAGCGAGCCCTTTTTGCGGATGCGGAGAAAATGAACTTTACCCTCCACACTTGGGCTAGCCAACCTCTGATCCAGGATTTCCTGGGGTTTTCTGTTGTGCGTCTTTGCGAGTCAATCTTCTTCACAGCAGCCCACTCCTTCAAGGTCTGCGTAATCTTTTGATTCTTTCCCTCTAGGCCAAAGATGAAAAAAATGCAAATAAATATAATTGATACTTCGAGGATCGCGCGAACGATAGGTGTATATCCGTGCCTTGGTGGTATATAATTCAGCTTAGAACAATCATGTTACTGTCAAGTTTATACAAAGGATACTGCCTGCCGTTTTCTCGTACACAAGGGAAGGATCGGGGATTTAGAAACTGGTATGCCGTTACTGCATTGTGCTTACATCCATAATTATCACTAGCAATTCCCCATTCTCTCTCCCGGACCTAGCGAGACAGTTCCAGTGTTATGCGGATTCGCCTTCGAACCTCTCTTCTTGGCTGCCTTGAGAACTAGGACCAGGCGACACTAGAGATTCTACATTCGATAATTGTGCATCCGTTTCCTGGAGGAACGTCATAATAAGGGACTCCGAGTCAGCCCTGATAATTATCACAATCTAATAAAGAGGATCATCGCACCTGATACAAAACCCTTGCATATTTATACCTCCCAGCAACTACGGCTGTCTGCGAGTAGCACTGCGAACTCGACTCATTCAAGTGACGGATAACGTCCACATATGTCGATCCATCTTCCAAATGACCGTTTCTAAAGACACGAAGGAGCGCTTGAGTGAAAACTCCATTGTATCCTGACTTCCCCTTGTGCTGAGCCTCCGTCGCGAATTGAGCCTCCTTGCATGCGGCCAACACTACGTGAGTATCCATGTTCTCTCTCCAGTCCTCCATGGATACAGATTTATATCCCGGAAGCTCGCCTAAATCCTCATCTGCAGCATCGAACATAGCTTTTATCGAAGCACCAGGCATTGGATCCGCACGACGTACGCCTGGTATCACGACTCTGGTGACACCCGCAGAGTGGCAGCAGTCCATAATTAAGGTGATATGATGTCCCTTCTTGTCAGAAATGTGGGAGATGATTCTGTTGATTTCCCTGTCGCAGATGTCAGGAACGCTGCTGCTTCGATCCATGGGGCACAGTGCCTCGATGTGCCCTGCGGAGGCAACGGGATCCCCGTTGTAAAACTCTGAGCCAGGGTAGCATGAGCCATGTCCAGCAAAATAGATGACAATGTTGTCGCCTTCCTGAATATTGGAGTTGTCGGAAAGTTTGAGAAGCGCCTTGATAATGTTGGCGCGGGTGGCGGATTTAGTATGAATCGAGGGATGAGTGGCGGATGAGCAGTTGATAGAATCGGTATTACAGTGCAGTGAAAAACCGAAAAAATGTTTCACTGCACTGATAAATGACGAGCACGATGGGGACTTTTGCGGTTGGTTATTGGTGGAACCGAGAAGGCACTGGATGTTATTTTTCGGGACATGAAGTTCGTCAGCCAAGTATTTCACGACTTCTGCCGCATCTGATACACCGCCACGTAGCGGCGAGGTGGGATAATCGTCAATGCCTATGACAACCGCCCAAACTCGAGAGGCATCAAATCCACGCTGGGTCTATCGTGAAGCGCTGTTCATCAGTACTGTCATATCCAGGCTAAAGGGGAAATAATTGCACCTACCCTTTGACTGTCTCCACTCATTGGCCTGTTCGATAGAGGAGAGGGATTGTCAGGAAGTTCTATGGAGTCACTGTGCAGTTTTCTATGTATTTATATTGTACGATGTAAATTCGTCCAGGGATCTTGATGTCTGGATGGTTGGTCTATGAATTGAACTGTATTGATTTACCTTGGATCAGAATACAAATACGCGGCTATCTGGGAGCCATATAAATGGGCAATTTCAGGAGCTGCCTTCAAGAGTCCTAAGATTTCCCAGTACGTGATTACTGTTTGAATTGTGCCATTATACTTACCTCACAGCGCTGATACATAACTTGATATTCTCCCGCAGTGGCATCTGTAGACAGAACTTCCATTCCAGGAAATCAATCTCAGATTTCGATTTTCCTCATCGACTCGAGTACCAGGTAAGTACTTAAAATATCTCACTAAGATGGAACCATCGGTTCTGTAGGCTATCCAGAATTCCGAAGTGCGATCGAGGATGGACAGTCCGGAGCAGTTTACTATTTATCAAGACTGCATATTATGTGATATATGATGCCATGTGCCATTTTTAGTAAGTATCCGGCCCGTTCTCTGGCTGTGGGAAAGGCGACGTGTCAGCAAGCAGCCGCTCGCTCTCCCCACCCATGTTCAGCATGTTCAACGCTGTACCATTAAAGGTTATAATGACAAACTTTGAAGTGTTCTAACCGTTGTCCATCCCAATAGTGCTATTTGAATACCCCGCATCCTTGTCATGGCACCCCACATACGTCAGTGCTTCCCCCTTTTCTGTGCTACATGTGTTGCAGCGGCACATAGTCGACACGAAGGCATTCAAGATGGAACTGGAACCTCTGGGGTAAGTCTCATTATCTGTACTGTGAGCCGAGTCCGCACTTATCCAGATTGTTTCACAGTCTCTACTCGAACAGGACATCACGTCCGATCTAGTGTTCTTCGACCGCAATTCCACAATAGTACTGCCTCAAGTCCTCAACATTGATTCTGCGTTTCGTTCTTCCTGATCGACGAAGGATTAGGCCGTCACCTATCGGGCTGGAACTGTTGTCTTTCGGAGAGATAAACTTGGGAGAAGAACATGACGGGAGAATCGTCGTCACACCTGAGATAGAGGTGTTGGTACTAGGATTCGGAGCTGTGGTGAGTTCTATCAATCTATCAATTGCGTATCTTTGCCTTCTAACCTGCCGGCAAGAAGTTTCGCTCCATCTCCAGTCTGTTCCTCATGGATGGCGCTAGTCCCTTCTATCCCATCCTCCGATTCCTGCTTAATCGACATCCATCCGGTAATTTCTGGCAACACTTGTATTACCTTTGTTGCCTTCATCAATTTGCGTATCGAAATATTGAACCAAATCCAGTTGTGCATCATTTTTAGGGATGGCATTGAATGCTCTTTTTGGCGCGATATCTTTGTTGTCCCTGGCACAAACGTGGTCAAGGAATGGGCTGATTTCGGAAGCAGTGGTGCCTGCCCAGTGCCGCGGCAGGATAAGGCCGAACCCTAACCTAGCATGTAAATCCGATTACCTTGCTGGATAGCTAGGTCTACCCACTATGACTCTTTCCTTATCCGTTTGCTCCGAAACCTGCCAACTGTAAATATAACCAAATAGCCGGTGATGCCGACGAGCCGCAGAGCGTTTACAAGGCCCGGCCTGAAGCAAGCCCTAAGGTGACCCGGGGCCCTATGGGTAGGCTTGTTGAAGGCTCAGGTTCAGGCTTCATTTTTTGAAAGCCCAAGCCTCAAGCTCAAGCCTAGGCTATAAATGCCCTACAACCACAGGCGTTCAGACGAGGGAGTACGTCATTTTGGAAGTCCGATCGGACTATGGAAGTTGCGGAGATCGCTTTTCTGCTTGCCATCATCGCGATTCATTGACGCACTCATCGCAACCATCGCTGATACTCATGATATGACTCCGGCCAGTACAACAGAAGATGATTTGGAGGAAGGGGGGAATTGAGGAAGGTACGGACTTTGTGTTGGGTTGACAGACTGAAACTTGGTATATCATGGTTTTCCTTCGCTGTGTCTATTTCTCATGTTTTCATGTGTTGTGTGGCAGTACCAAACGCGTGCATGCCACTTACTTCAGTCTATCAAAAGTAGACGTATTCTGTTCTTGTATTCTACAAAACATATTGAGCAACTGCACGAACACCCGTAATATTTCAAGGAAACATCGTTTGCGCTGACTATCAACCGACACCTATCCAAGTGGCGTGAGATCGGGCAAATATTCAGCCAGCAAGGTCCTGTGCGCTGGCACCGCAGCGGACCCTTGTAACAGTAGATACCACCCGCCATCTGACAATATTAATCCTTTCCGTATCCTTTTGCTTAAGTTGGTTTTGGATTCTGGAACATTAGAACAGATTGATGTGTACCCAAACTTATGAAATGCTCGTGGACTTAGTACACTGTAAACGAGTGGCAACATTGCTGTCCTCGTTCAAAAAAATACTCAGTATCCCTATCTTAAGGTGGCAACGCGTTATAAGGCAGTAGGACAAGGCTTAGGCTTGGCAAGGCCGACTGACCGATCTATCCGATCTTCTGGAAAAACGGTCCGCGCGCGTCGAAATTTTACATGCTAGGTTAGGGTTCGGCCCCTTGCAGACTTTGTTCCGTACAAAATTAGTTGATTTTAATTTACAATGACGCGCTTACGAAAGTGATCATGGACTGCTAGCCACTCTGAAGGAGCACCGACGACTAATAAAACCCACTTCCTTCCTTCCTTCCACTGTCTGACAACTTCCGAAGGATCCAGTACAACATGGCTACTTTCCCATGTTGTCTAGTTACGCTGTCCGCGAGGTCAACCACGCTGCAACATGAGTGGACGGCATGTGTTTTTCATACTCAAATCATACCACGCTTTTTCTTGCGAAATAGAGTAGGACGCCACTGACAATGACGGGTTCACGCACTGTGCAGTCTCATTTCATTTGCCTCGTGTGGTCGATAGTTGATTCACGCAGAAGTTTGACCCTTGCCTTTCTTGCCTGAAGTCGTGCGGATGGCATTGTGCCTCGTTGTCCCAGCTCATTCTCCTTGATCCAGGCCCTTTCGAGGAACATACACTCACGGTGCGCTTCTGGCATTGTCAAATAACATCGGGAGAGCTTGGAGCTGACATGCACCACAAAGGCACAGTGGCAAAGGGAAGCAGAAGCATAAATACTTAGCTCTTCTCAAGTTATCCAACCACTCCCTCCAGAAAGGTACGATCTTAATGTTCAGTCGTTCTCCGACTATGAGTGGGCTTAGTACCAGAGAACTAAAGTCGCTCTCACAGACACGGGTCAGCTTCTCGTTAAGGTATTGACGTCTTCAAATATCCGCGTGCAACACCATGTTTCTACTTAGGGAGGTAACCAAGGCAAAATCTATGCTTGCTCGCTTGGGTAGAAAAATCCTTGTGGTCATACGTGACTATCCTATTTTCCGTCATATTATGCTCCGCGCTTCTTGTGCTCAGCTCTCTACAATACATGGACAATACGTTCAAATTATCTCAGCACGGGTTTTTGCATCAGGTGCTATATCTCCGGTAAATATCTTTTTGATAGCGCAATTTTGAGCTCGTCGTCTGACTAGACACTAGGGTGGTCCCAAGGAAGCAACGATGGACGAAATATCTGAAAAAATCAGGGTATTGGAGGAAAAGGAGAAGGACTTAGCGAAACAGTATGGGATGACCGGGGACATCGACTCAATTGAGGTTCGAGGAGAAGCCAAAGCACGGGCCTTTTCGGAGCTCGGGAACAGCCAGCTTTTATCGGATTTGAGCAATCTCCAAGAGCTCTACGATAACCGGCGAAAGTTCGAGATATTGAAACTTCATCTTCGAAAAGGGGAAGGATTTTCTTCACCCCTACATGTTGTGAGCTTACATCACATTTTCAACAAGAAGCATTAATTCTGATCCTGTGCTGCAGCCCCTGCACCATGTCGGCACCTCACGATTTTGGTCCCTTCTTATGAGCATTAGTGCGTATGACATTGTTTCATTACATGGTTGCATTGTTGACGTTTCCGGAGAATTCTTGATCAGGAACCTCTGGGTATCTAAAAATCACATTCAGCATCCAGCGTGTTTTCGGTTCTGAGAGCACTTCACCTGGAAATTCGGTTTTCACTTGTCATCTTGATGCATTTGCTGCTGTAGATGCTAGCGTGACATCCTCTCTTGATATAGAGCTCTTATTCATTACTGTAGGGAATATAATTTCTTGGTAGACAGTAAGCAGTCTAAGCTACGTTTGGAAGGAAGGAAAGAAGGAAGTTTTATTGGTCGTCGGTACATGTTTGGCGGCAGTTTCGGACAAAGGAAATTCTCCATGGTTGTCTCAGTGTTGCCTCATTTCTGCTGTCTACATCGCTGCGAGTCATTTATTCTCACTTGCCCGCTCTTTCAAGGGCCATGTAATCCCTAGGACAAAGATCACTCAAACGAAGCCGAGAAAAGAAACATGACTGATAGAAGCATCGCACACTACACCAGCTTAGAATGGGACGATACACTGTTGAATGAGATAGGTAAAAATGTAGGTCGTATCGGGCCCGGGAGAAACATTGAAATGAGAATTGGAGTACAATACCGCATGGTCTGTCTATTGGTCCTTGTACCAAAGACGATCCCACTTATGATTCCCAGCAACAACGGGAGTCTGCCCGCGGCTCCATGGGAGGGAAAAAATAAGGTCAACGTATGTCGACTCTTTACTCAGATTTCCGGATCTGAGGGTATCAATAAGTGCCCGGGTGAAAACCCCGTTATACACCGTCTCACTTTCAACTTCCTTTGCAGTTTGGTACTCCTTGCATGCAGCGAGAATGACATGAGAAGACATGTCGGGGCGCCAATTCGCCCCCAAAACTGATTCGTAAGACGGATATCGGTCGAGATTCTCGTCAACCATGTGGAGCATACGTCTGAGAGAGGAGCGTGGTAACGGGGGAATAGTACGTGTACCGGGCTCTGGGAAATGGCGGGTATGGGTACCAGAATGGCAGCAGTCAAGAATGAACGTAATTCGGTAACCCTTGCTGCAAGAGATCTGCCGAAAGATGGCGTTTATCTCTCGGTCGCTGATGTCGGGAACTCGTAACCCACGGGAATCCATTGTATCTCTGTCGATGGGGCAGATTGCCTCAATGGATTCATCTACTGTGCCAGGATTTTCTTCAACATCGTCGGAATCAGCGTCTCTGAGGTAATATTCCTTTAAAGAGTACCCCGAGCCGTGGCCGGAAAAGTATATGATGATATTATCACCCACTTCGATTTGAGGGTTATGGATGAGACTGAGAAATGCATCAATGATATTGGCACGAGATGGGAAAGAGGATGTTTTGGATGATGCGTATTGTGAGCCAAGAAGTAGCTGTATTCGTTCTTGTGGCACCCCAAGGTCCTCTTTCAGGTATCGCTCCATTAATAAAGCATCTGATACGCAGCCCTGTAAAGGATACGATTCATAGCAGTCAATGCCAATTAGTACGGCCCAGAATTTGGAGCGTTCCATAGGCCGACAGGCCTACAAATTCACAGGTCAATATCGGACTAGCAGGAGATAGATAATTGAGATATTTGTTTACCTCGCTATTTGAGGAGTTGCTCTGTTCCAAAAAGTGTGACCAGGTCGATAAATTCCTGCATTGGAAGCCAAGCATGATGCGGTAGAGTATCTTGTCGTAAATATATCCATATGTTCTTAATGAAAGGCTATCTTCTTCATGTTTTACCCCGGTCGACTTCATATCTGTATTATCGTCAGAAATTATATTGTTCCCTATCTCAGACTCTGTCCTAGGAGATAGCTGCTTCTTGACATGCTCCGGCATAGCAGCGACCTTGTCTGAAGATACATCCTGCTCCATGATTCTAGCATCTTCGTAGTCAGAAATTGAGAGGTTACTTACAGAATTTTTAACCGCAGGGAGCTTGACAGACTCGTGACGGGCCATCGTTTGTGGTAGAGTCCATAGTCCAATAGGCTGTCAAGGCGGAAGTAGCGTTAGTCCACTCAAGAGACAGAACTAAAGACGAGAAGGGAACTCACAAAGTGCATTGTTCCGAAATAGACACTTGCTTGCATGAACTTGCGCGGCGCTCAGTAGTATAACATTGAGTTAATGGAACTAGTCGTCTCTTTATAATTTGAAGAGTTAAGTCTAGGTGTCGCACTGTGGCACTCGCATGTAGCGGAGTTTGTTAGATCTCCGGCACTTGACATGGTGCATGGAGTATAAGATTCACGGGGTCGAACTGAAGCGCTTGTTTGTTGTTCACTGGAACGACAGCAGTAGCTCTAGAATTAAATTGGAACGATCGATGGGTTCGAGGGTGTTACATAAAACCAGTGCGTATTGCTGCCCTGCGATCAGAACGCTGTATGACTGCTTCTCCGACGATGTGGGGATCAGATTTCACGCGATAGTGAAAGAATGTACTTCTGAGCAAATGCACACTTCGAAAAAACAAACGCCGGGAAACGCCGGACGAATCGTTGGCGTGTAGAGCCCTCACCTAAATGCCTAAGTCACCGGGTACAGTAGCTAAGTAATGAGAAGAGAATACGCACCAGGCGCTTAAAAGTGAATTGAAACGCATGTTTCATAATGCTCGGCGGAATCATCCATCCTGGTGCCACGGACTCGTATCAAGCACACGGAGTTGCGACAATCTAGGATGATGGCACTTCGACGGCAGACACGCCACCCTTGACATAAGTGAGCGCTCATTGAATTGATTGCTGTTAGTCTTCGGCGAGGGGCAAGGTCCAAGGCCACGAAGTTTCTTCCGCGGTCGCTCATTTTAATCCAGTTTACCTGAGGGAATGTAAACCAGTGATATATTATGATATGGCCTCTATTCGAATCACGTGGAAAAGGCTACATGAATCTGAGTATTATGTATGCATGAGAGTAGGCCAGTCAGATGAAAAATACATGCATGGGTGGAGATTAACTTGCTGCTACCAACTCAGACATGTTGAAGCCGACATATCCCATGTTCCTCCGGGACCCGCGAAGAAAGTATTGATGCCCAAATCTGAACAGAGTGAAAGGTCAGAATCAGATCAGAAGACGAGAAGCCAGAAGACCGTACGATAAGCAGAGAATCCTCGAATAAGCGCCCAATGTATTGAACAGTTCGCCGCTGGTGCTGTCAGGGCGCACCGTAACCCATAGTAGCACCATCAACGCAATAGAAACCGCGGAAGATCCGACGTGCCGGTTGGGCACAAGGTCCCTATCACTTATAGAACCGTAGAAGCGGCATTACTCGAAGCTAGGAATGTCCACTATAAAGTTTACGGACACCTTATGGGACGGGTACCCCATACTTGAAGAGAACGAGGCTCAGAGTCTCGTACTATTTTCCCACGTCTCGTGTAAGCCCAAATAAGGGCTATCGAACTGTCGCACACGCACCACAGCCTCAAGGAGAGGACAAAGCAGGGCAACAGCTTCAGAGATATCAATCAATAACAGTATCATGATGACATCCGGGTGACCGTTCACCGCCCAAACGACGCTGCAAAAACACCGGGTCATCAAGGTTGCTTATGAGTTTACTGGAGGTCACAAGCACATGCGAGCGAAACAAGGAAACATACAATCCACTAATGGCAGCTTCCCGCTGGAATGACCAGTCTTGGATTGAACACGGATGACAAGTTACTACTATTCGTCCAAACGTGCCTGTCCCTATACTAATCTGCAAAAATCCACATCAGCACCCCAGAGCAACACAAAAAGCCACGAAAGACTGACCTGTAACCACAACACGAACTCGCTTATCCGTAAACTGACTCTCCATGGCGAGCTTGGCCGGTTCGACGACTGGGCTCATTGACCAGTTTGCGCCCAGGTCAATTACGACGTCTTTGAGACAAGGATTACTTCCCCCCTCAGACAGATAGCTATCCAAAATCTTCCAGGCACTGTAATCGCTCAAATAGTCATACAATGGAAGGCGGAAGGTGACCCGCTCGATCACTGAGCATTGCCTGATATTCTCTATCCACCATTGCAGATGTTGATCAATGGGACGATCATGGAAGTCCCACATTTCCACGATAAGGGATAGTAACCCTGAAATTGGAAGGCAGTGAGACGAGTTAAGACGTTCCACTAGGTCGTAACACATGAGTAGACACGATGAATAATATAGCCATACATACAATCAGAAAACTTCGGTGGACGTGTAACTCCAAGGTGCTGAAGTGAACAAAACTGCTCTCTGAGCACCTTTTGGAGACAACGCGCTGAGGAAAGATCGGGCAACAGCACATGTGGGGTGTGGAGATGCCCCAATGAAAGAAAAGAGGGTAGGGTCTGTGAAAACAACTCGTAGCAAAGAGGCACATAATATAGAGATAGAATCCGTATGCGTGGAGAGGATCCTACGCTGCGCCGAAAAGACCCGGTGACTTGTGTTTTATATAGCTCGAGCCTATGAAGGCTGTCGTGAGAGCTAGAGACGAGGGAACGTAAGTCGGATGTGGTCATATCGGTATGCAAGGAGATAGTTTGGAATGCATGTGAAGAGAGTGCGTCTCGTGAGGCCTGTGGCAGCAATGTCCACTTAATGTTGAAGAATATGATGGTTTGCAAGCAAGAGAACGACGAGATCACAGGAGAAAGGTGCTCGGAGTCTCGTACTCTATCGCCCGTAACATTGTGAAGGGTTAACTGTCTGATTTGGTGAGGTATCTGGGGAGACTTCCGGAACATCTCGTGAAGCTCGCTAAAGGAGCGGGTACCAGTGATGCGAAATCGCCAGAACAGATGGACACGAGTTCGATAGAGGAAAGAACGGCAGACCAGAGAGGAGGCTTTGAGGGACCGAGCGTCATTGATCAAGAAATCAAGGATATAGTCAATTAGTTCTTGAGGTAGCCAGGAGAAATAGGACATCTACGAGAAATTAGTCTCTTCCCAGGAATACCACGAAATTAGAAAATATATCTTATTCCTCTGACGCCAGGTCTCAGGAAAGATAGATAGATAACCGGTCGAGGTCCAAAAAGGGAACGCTGGGGCTATGTACCACCACAAAACGTGCCACATACTACAGTCCCTCACGCCGCTGTAATATCCTTGGTTGAAAGGTGGACGAGAGGAGGAGAGACCTTTTGTCGTGTCTTGTATGATTACAAATAGGAGAGGAGTGGCGAGACGACCGCTTCTTTTGGCAAACAGCGCTACCTGTAATGACCTCAATCAGTAGAGAACGTAGTCACTGACAGGGTAACTACCTGTAAGCCTCCCCTTTAGCCATCACACGGCAGTGCTCCCTTAACTACGCCGTACCCTTGCTCGCCGAGCATGGAGACGCAGCGTCTGGTCAATATATACACTCCTCACAACGCTTGCCTCCCTGTTATGCAACGGTGGTAATGTCATGCGCAGAACTGTGAATGAGGGAAGGGACTCTATAACAGAAAGCGGGTCAATGCGTCCTCACGTTGCTCTCTGTGCATACATTAGTACAAATGACCTAAGATATGAACGGCAACAAGACGTACTTGGGAAGAACGTTGTTCACATCCAGGACTGAACCTTTCCCAAGGCGTTACTCGGCATGACGCTAGCGTGCTGGACAACAAGCGAGGGCATTCGGAGTCATCTGAGGTAGACGGCAACGAACGACGACTACCGTCGTATCTGTTGGTCATTGGATTTCCTCTATGCCACCTCGCTGTCCCCGCTGAGCGAAAAAAAAATGTCTTAACAAACAGGGAAGGCGCCATCTTCTGACCTGAAATCGTATGTAGACTCGAATGAGTATGTTTTACCGTAATGCACGATATCGAACCAGGCCCGCCATCTCATCTGTAAGGTGTAGCTGTGAGAATTTGAATACAGAAATACGATGCCATAGCGTACCGTGGAAGCTTTCACTTCTGTATCCAGACCGTCACCTCCCCCCACTATAGATGTCCAAAACGCGCAATTCTCGGTATTGACGAAGGCATAGGTGTATGCGGCGATCCGGGTGAAAGGGCATTCAATGAAGACAAGGTTGCAAATGGAGGCCACTCCGTCTATCAGCCGGTTCTTCGCTGACAGCCTCTCACTTTCCCTCGTCGTTACGGTTGGTCGTGTCGCCACTTGGTAAAATAAAGAGCTGGGGAGCGCCGCCCTCCAAGGACAAGTGTCCTTCAAGCCATCGGTTGCAAATTCGAATAAGCATGTCGGTTACAGGCTCTTTATTGAACCCAGGTCTATCACCTCCCCAGCTGTGAGCGGCCATGAGCATTCGCATACACCAATTCAATACTGTAGCGCACCTTAAACTTGTAATACGCGTGTGTGTGTCCTCTCCCAGTGCCTATCGTTCCCACCGCCGTTATAGACAAAGATTTTATTGCAGAAGTCAGGATTGACGAGATTTTGGCGCATCATTGTCGGAGAGGCCCTGTTGCGACAGCTCCATATATTGTGGTGAGTATTTGGCGCATTACGGGGGCAGTGGTCATCGTGTGGGCTAGCAGATCGTGAAGGTGACGGTGTAAGGCTCAGATCAGTGCAAGAGGTTGTTGCCCCTTTCTTTGACCCTAACCCTAGAAAGAGTTATGTAAATGAGCGGCCCGCCGGTCCGAGTCTTTCAAACAAACAAATAAATTCCGCAACTCAGTCCGTAACATACACGACCACTCCACGCTCAAACTTTCCAGTGTACACCACAACTTCTGAAGTTTGGTCTTCTTGTCTCTAAAATTACCTTCGTAGGCTTTTCAAGTTCTCATTAAAGCCGGACTTGAATTTTTTCCCCTACACTCGCGCACAGAAAAAAAAAAAAAACTCCGGTCGCCACACTGATTAGTACGCGCTCTCTTTTTCCCCCGACGCCCGTAAAACACGTCGATAGTGGACTTGTACGCTGGCCGTCACATAACGCCTTTCAGTTTTGTGGTTTACACTTTCCAAAAATCCATGCTTGTAAAGATGGCTACAACGAAGCTTACCGTTCGCAGTCTACACACGCACCTTCTCTTCGAATCCAAATATATATATTTGGTCGTGCTAGATCTCATTACATTCGGACGTTCTCCAGTCTTTCCCACAATCAAACAAAAGCGCTGTACTGGCCCTGACAAGACTTCACAAGATTACAGCCTGGAATTCCTGTACAGGGATGAGAGGGACACCGTAATCGCGCCAGATCGCGACATCTTTTCTCAAGCTCTTCTCTATTTCTTCCTGGAATCTAGATGCTGCGGCGGAAGTGATCGACGCGCCGACAGATCCTGAGTGTTCGGTGTTCCGAGGGGAGAAGCGACCCATCTACGAAGGTCCTTAGCATTCTGTATATCCTTTCTTTCCTATACTAAATCGTACTCACAGTAGCCTCACCCCAAAATGATGCTTATAACCAGGGCAGCTGAACAAGAGACGGGCCGGATATACCATTACACCGCGTGATATCCAATCCCTTATCATTATCATGCCGGGTCCCTAACTCAAGTGCCTATACACGCAGTACACTTAACGTGCCTGTATCCTCCTTTCTAAGTATCTCTCATTATACCCCCATTATCATGGACATCGCCGAGAAAAACGTCGAGGAAGTTCGGATTCACACCATCACAGCACGCCCTTCCTTCCGCCATGCATTTCGAACCTGGGCATCCTTCAACCGCTACATAAAGACCGACACGGAGAGGAATATCCCAGGGAATGGGCACATATGGGAGAATGAAGGTTGGCATGGTCCTCCTCTCTTGTTTTCGCTCACCCGGGCTTATCAAGCGTAAGAGACCTCCTCCCCTCCCCCGAGGAGCATCAGACCTGGGGAACAGGTTCCTTCTTTGCTTTCTGGTTCTCAGACTCGATGAATACGAGTACTTGGGCTGTCGCATCTTCGATGATTACCCTCGGTATGAGCGTGTATTCCCACTAACAGGGTTGATTTCTGATGAATAAGATAGGCATGACATGGTGGCACGCCATTCTCGTAGTATTCTCGGCAAACATGTTATCGTCAATTATACTCGTCCTAAACGGATACGCGTCAAGTGGATGGCACATAGGGTATCCCGTACGTCGTTCTCCTCTTCCGCTTTCCCGCCTTCCTGATTTCCTCCTGTTCTTAGGTACTCGTACGGACATCGTTTGGCGTCGTGGGAAGCTTTTTCGCCATTCTCATTCGAAGTATATTGGGGATCGTGTGGTTTGGGGTGCAATGTACCTTTGGGGGATACTTTGTTTCCATATGCCTGCGGTGTATCTGGCCGGCGTGGTACACCATGACAAACCATATTCCGGAGAGCATAGGCATTACCTCGAGGGACTTGGCGGGTTTTTCTATTTTCTGGATATTAAGTTTGGGGTTTTTAGTTATACCTCCTTACAAGACGAGGTGGCTTTTTATTGTCAAGGTAAGCGCTAATATGTATTACGAGTCTGGACTGAGATAAGATGTTCAGAGTTTCTTATTACCACCGACGGGATTGGGTTTATTGATCTGGGCCTTGAAGAAGAACCACGGGTTCACAGGCATGAGCTTCGGTGCTACTCAGTCGAGTGGATCGACTCTGGCGTGGGCAGTTCTTGCGTACGTGCCTTCATATCCATCAGTACACACCTGCTGACTCTCATCTCAGCCAATTCAATGCAGTGATGGGAACCAAGTTCGTTCTCCGTAATACTTATATCTCACTGGGATCCTAACCGACTTCAGCTCCGCGCCCCTGGTCACAGTACCAGATATAACTCGATATGCACGCCGTCGTAGTGCACAAACCGAAGGGCAACTTTTCTCTCTCCCGATTGGACAGACTTTGTGGGCGACGTGTGGGATCATGGTGACGGCGGCGATGAACCGCCAGTGGGGTACGGCATATTGGAATGTGAGTAAAGGTCTGCACGACCAGTCCTTGGCTGATGCCTTATAGCCATATGATCTCTTAAACGCGATACTTGACCATGACATATCCTCCTCCACCAGAGCAGGATGCTTCTTTGCATCCGCCGCGTTTATCTTAGCGACCCTCGGGACCTCCATCGCTACTGTATGTACTGAATTCCCTCTGTCCGAGCACAATGCTGATCTTCCCAGAATACCATCCCCTTCGGAGCTGACATTACAGCTTTATTACCGAGATATCTCACCATCGTCCGGGGACAGGTATGTCCAACTTTACCTTTTTTTTCATCTTCGGGTTTCTGATCACGTCCTGGTCCAGCTTCTTTGCGCCCTGATAGGGTTCGTCGTATTCCCCTGGCGTATCCTCTCGAATGCCCCAGGGTTCCTCACGTTCCTCAACGGGTACTCGATATTCATGGGGCCCGTCGTTGGTATAATGTGCGTGAATCCATCTGTTTCGCACGCTCCTCGACTCCAGCCCTGACCATGGGTTAGGATAATTGACTACTTTTTAGTACGCAAGGGAAACCTCCAGCTCGCGAGCCTTTACACTGGCGCTCGGGACGGTGCGTATTACTACACCTGGGGGATCAACTGGCGAGCTATCGTCGCCTTCATTGCGGGTATAGGTATACCCTTTCCCGGGTTCGTCCAGAGTTTTGGGAATGTGGCGATAGGCGAGGTGGCTATGGAGATGTTTGACTTTGGGTGGATTGTGAGCTTTGGGGTTGGGGCGGGAATGTATTGGGTTCTTTGTAGGGTGTGGCCGGCGGTGGGGAGTGGTCCGGGCTTTGAGGTGGAGTTGGAGAGAGTGGAGAGGGAAGAGGTGGAGAGACGGATTAAGGAGGAGTATCCGGATGGTGTACCATATATTTACTAGTAATAATACCAATAGTATAGGATTCCTCCATGCTTCGTTAATGTTGGGGCAGGTAGTTCAGGCGGAAAGACGCCCCCGCCGGTCGAACGACATTTGGGTTCAAATCCTATATCTGCCATTGCGATCCGATGAAACGTTACTTTTCTTCGAAGTTGGGAGACGCAACCCCTTTTTCTCCGATAGAGAGATGGGTAAAGGAGGAGTATCGGGACGATGTTGACTAGTATCAAGATAATACAGGATTACTCCAGGCTTATTCTTTGGTATAAGGTACCTCCCTGGGAGATCATCCGTCTCGGATTCTACCCTCTCACGCGTCCTGAACTACCCGGATGTTCTTGCAATGAATATGGGATTTCATAGAGAGTATATATACACGTAGATTCATGTTATGCAAGGAACTAATAGCTAATACATTTGTTCTTACGAAGTAAATGGATTCTTCCGTGCAATTTACGCACCGGAAGCCACTTCCCTTTCCACCGCAAATTTGTCTAGATGAGCGTCAATGTAATGTACAGACGACACAACAGAAGGATTCTCCAATTGCTCATCACGTTCTTTCCCAAAGACCGCAAGAGCGCCACTCATATGCATTACCCTCAATATAGCCCAGTGAAGATTGCACAACTTGGCATTGGGTCCTCTGCCAAATCTGTTTCCGTACGGCCCGGCGCCAAAAGGGATACGCCCGCCAGGCTTGACGGAGTATGGGTGTATTGGATCAAGTTCGGCTTCGGGTGGGAGGCGAAAGTAGTATTGGACCTGTTGGAGGCGTTAGCACCGACGAGGAAGTTTTTTGGGGACTGTACACTTGCATACTTCATCGTCCTTTTCTACTGCTTCGATTCCGAACTGAAGCTCGTCGACAATCACAGCGATACCGGTATATAAGGTGATCACGTTTCCTATAGAGTTGAGCTCTGCTCGCACGAGCTCCGCAACTTGTTTTCCTGCAAAGAGACGTATCATTTCGAGAGGCTCTGTCTGATTAGAATATGACAGTCATTGGAAGATCTGAGGGTAAATGTGGGACCATACCTTATTGTTCGAGCCGATGAACTTGGGGATAATGTAGCACAGCGTAGCTGGGACCCCGGTGCATTTTCCAAACCCTCTGAATGCGTAACCTGTCAGGGGGCACCGCCTACCATCACGAAGATAAGTCTATCATCATCATGAATCAATGACAGCTAGCTTAAATAGCTTGGCAGCTTACGAGTTGCTCCAGCAGTTCTTGTCGACGCTGTCCCCAAGGATCAGATGCAGCGTACTCCACTAAAATACCATTAACTACGCTTTCCGCTGGTTCAGGTATCGGTTCTGGGGCTATAGGATGGGATTGGATGCCGCCTGGGTTCATAACTGGATAAAAGACATTAATAAGAGTAATGCTTATGCTAAAGGTTATACTTACACGGTACGTAGAGATGTGTGAAGACTTGACCCGCCATCTGTTTGATGGGAGAGATGTTGAATGTGCCGTCTTCAAAGAGAGAATCTATGAGTTCTTCTGGGTGATAATCATTGTGATACAGTTGCATAACTGACAAATGACGGTGAATAATTTTAAAGAGTGGAGAATTCAAGAATAGCATTAGCGTACCCAGTTTCGAGGCGTCAGGATGACACTCGCTCAAGCTCATCCAAAATACCTGTGCCATGACCCGGCATCCAAAGCGATCCAGAGATTCTCGAATGGTGCAACTCAACAAATTAGGAACGATTGCGCTGAATTTCGCTACCGGGTTCTCAGACATCTTCCATGCGTCGGACTTTTCTACTAGGGCTAGAAGACTGAGCGCGTGGTGTGCCATTTGTTTTCCTTGAAATTCTGGCCAGGGTTCCTCATAATTCTCTGGGTCAAAATCAGACATTCGAAAGAGGGTACGTTGTAAGGGGAAAATTGGCGTCGGGTGACTCGGAGAAGAGGGGTAATTCGAATGCGGAGGTCGGTCCGGGCCCCGATCTCTTACACAGCCACAAAAGGTCCAGCCCTTTTTTGTAATCCTTCCAGATGGCGTCCACGTGAAGTTTGACATTTTCTTCTCGACTTCAACGGAAACAGAAGTAAGCTGGAGGTGAAGAGGCGATCGTTAGCGTTGCTGGCGGTACGTTAGATGGTTGTCTGTTTAGCATTACTTTACTGACCTTCTGCTTGCATTTAGGAACCTGTAACAATAGCCATATTACTTTCCTACACGCGACTAGTCATTCTGACCATTTACTTCGAGGACCGGGGCCGAGACTGTACATAATCGCCATCTCGTGAGTGTATCATTGATACCCCCCTTGTTGGTGCTTTTTTGCCCTATGTCGAGCAAGAATTTCAACGGAAATCCACCCAAGTCAAATCGGACCTTTCGTAATATGATCGTCATCTAACGTTTACTTCCTAGGTATATCAATGACTTTAGCAAGGCGCTTGCTAGTGAAGTTCGGATTCTGCTCGCAGAAGTTGGGCAGCTGAGGGACGAACGACGGGCGCTGCAGTTGTAAGTGTATCTGTTCATTTCGTTACGCTTAGTGGCACATCTGATCAGGATCCGTTAGCGAAATAGCAGAACTCATGAGCGCCAAGTCGAAACATGGCGCTGGAGGGGAGTACACGCCAGATTGGCGACCAGTACGTTTTCACCCTGATATCTCTTTCGATGCAATATGGACCTTGATAATTCCTAGCCCCCCGAGCCGCAAGCCTTATTGCCTCCCCCCCCTCCACCACCCCCTCCAATAGATGAGGGGCCTCCGGGTCCAGCACGTCCAGCATGGCGTACGGTGCATAAACGTGCAGAAAGGAAGGAGAAAGCGATCGCAAAGCGCATGCCACCGGCTATCCCAGCGCCGTCTGCTGTTCCGCCTCTTGCGCTTCCACGGCCAAACGTACCGGCATGGGCACAGTGGAAGCGTATGTCCTGACGTGTTGCTTGCTTTGTGCGTTTATTGACAACTTGTTATAGCGAATCCTCTCCTCTCACCGGCCCCCGTCATGGCAGCGCCAACTGCGCCACTCCCTAATTCTCCACCACCGCCTAGCCGTTCAGGTCTTTTCGGTTCGTGCTTTACTGTCAGTGCTGTTTTCACCTTCTAATATTCCTGCAAATTCAGGTCCTCCGACTCCCCCTCCAAACTAGACGGACCTACGAAGAAACAGCATTTATGTAACACCCTCTATCTCATCGTTTGCTCTTCTAGATACTTCTTATCAGATTTCTATAACACAACACAACAAGCATCTTCTCTCCTAGCTATCGTACGCATTCGTGGAATATCGGTTTTATTCCATTGTTTCTTGCTAGCTTTCTTCCCTGTAACGTTTCCTCTTGTACGGAATCAAATGTAATGTATTTGCTCTCCCGCGTCCGGTTGTTCCGGTTCGAATGCGAGATTACTCTAGCATGCTGGGCGAAGAACGGCTTATAGATGCGAGTTCGCTCTCGCAGCACACAGATATGAAAGATAAGTTCGGCGTTACCGAGGATCAGGAGGATCCCTGACCTGGACCAGTGGTAAGTACACCTGACCGACCATCTGTGGTGGGCGAGGCTGGGTTCGCGGAACAGGCTGGCCTGAAGAGGGTGTGGTATGTGGTTCTTGACCGATTTAAGAGAACTTCTGATAGAAAGACCATCATTGAGAGACTTGGTCACTCCCTCTTCAGTTTCAATCGCCGGCAGGCGCCGATTCTCTCGACCAGTGAGACCTTGCAGAATACTCACAGCGCCTGCACTCCCGCATCTAACCAAAAACAAGCTCAACCCTTTCAAGCTTGATAAGATTCGACAATCGGTTTATACCGATACCTTCGTCCTGACATTTGTTCAACGCCTGGGCCAATTCTTCATTGTTCTACGTCGTCCATCAGGATGCGCACAAAGTAGCAATCTCCAAGCGAGATTAAGAGCGTCCCAAATATCTTCCCAGCGCATACTCAGACTCCCCACTGCCCAGCAAAACTCCTCAATCCCCACTCCCACCTCGTCCAACTCCCTCTCCGTCTTCGTCTGCATCATCAACAAAACGATGGGATTCCAGTCGGCTGTGGGGATCCTCGGCTGCTTCAAGTCCTTCTCCTCTATTAACCTCGTGACCCCGAGAAGGGAGACCACAATTGGTGAAACCTCGCGAGTGTAGATGTAACGAATCAGAGCAACAGAATGTTCAGGCTTGAACATGCTAATCTGAAATATCCCTCGCCCCCCGAACTGGATGGGACATACGGTGCCAAAGATGAAACCGTGAAGTCGAATGTTAGATGCGTGTGGGGCCGAGGGCGAAGTGAAATCAATTCGTAAAGTGATATTCGGTGCCGGCAACTTGTACTTATGCAGCACGAGCACGCACTCAGTGGAGGGCTGCTGCTCAGGAGGATAGAGGCTAACAGATAAGCGTCAGCACGGGATTCATGTCAACCGCAGAGCGTACATACGCCAAGGATACCGCAGAGAGTTCGGATAGGGGGATATGGTGCCGGGCCAATCTGATTTCAATCCTCTTGTTTCTGCGTTCCATTTCGATGCTGTTCAGCTTTCTGTCAAAGAAACATTCAAATATCTGCGTGTTGTCCGAGAGGGATTTTTGCAGGCTTCTGCGGTATGTCATGATAATGGTGAAAGGAAAGGAAGATACAGCACGTGCAACTGAAACAAGGAGAAACAGTTGCGCCTCGCGACTTTTTTTGCTGAATACAAACATCCACGATTATTTTGGCAGTCCGTAGTAGCATTTCAACTGTCAATTTGTGGATGAAGCCCCATTCTGACAGGTATCTGTCTGTGGAACGGGCACGTGAAGCTGGGTTTATGGAGGACATTAGCCAGAAGTCGGTATGGAGTATGTTTTGGATCGATTTAAGAGAGCTCGCCTTATCTTCTAATACAGAGGCATGTCGTCACCGGCGCGGTGTTGATCAGAGCGATGGGTGGTCTGCAACGACTTGTTCACTTAGGAAATCGCAAATTCCATTACAGCACTATTACGCCATATCTGGGCATGAAGCTCTTGGGGGGAGGCAAATAGCACGTCGTGAGATGCACTGATTGTCATAGACTCGCAATCTTGTGGAGGATTGACATGATCCTGGAATGGCGGAAGTACCTTTGAAGGCTGCATCATGGTGGCCGGCCCTTCTTCCCACCGATGTCACAACTGTAGTGGGACCGGGTATCGGAAGAATGTCTTCAACCGCTATATAGCGAGCGAAAACACCCCGTTTTCATTTCCCAGCTCTCCAGCAGCCGTGGTGCTAGAAACGTGGAATCAGCACCTACACCGAGCTCTGGTTTGGTTAACAAATTGCTTCAAATGAAGGTTTGATGGAATGTGATTGACGCAAGTGAGTGGACCTTTGACGCGAGGACATCGCGACGTAGATTGTCCGATAATCATGATGTCCACCTTCCTAGCACGAGGCATTCGCAAGGCTATGGCTATATGACTATGCGGCATCCAGAATGTGCCTTTCACTCTCGCCATCGTTCTCCCAGCGCCATGCCGTCTGTAATGCGACGCGAACCGTCCGATGCCTGGAAGACCCAGCTACGGAATCGTATAGCCGAGGCGCTCCGCCCATCGTACCACTTTACCCCATCGGGGGAGATCAAATTCACCGTCCCGTGGTCTACGACGTTTGGAGGGATTGGCACTCATGTTATCAAGGAGTATGTGGAGGTTATGGGAAAGCTGTATAAGCTGCAAAAGTCAACGGAGGAGATGGAGCTGGAGCGTGCGAGGAGGCAGGCGAGCGACGAGGAGGATTATGGGGAGCGTGTGGTGTGTCCGTCTCCTGCGAGGCTGCGAGCTGTCGAGGAGGAGAAGAGAAAGGAGGTACGGGCTATGAGGAAGGAGGTGCAGGAGGAGGGGGATAGGGAGTTGGCGTTGCTTTTGAGGGCGGAGGAGCTTATTCGGTGGGAGAAGAGGTTACAGGCGAAGGAGAGGGCGCTGGAACGTTCGGCGCAAGAGTATGCGGTGAAGGAGAGGGGTTATCATGAGAGGTTGAGGGTGGTGGAGCAACGGGAGAGGGATGTGCAGGAAAGGGAGAAGGCGGCGGAAGTGAGGGATAAGCCTGAGCGATGCCGGGGAAGGTGGAGACCGAGGGAATCTGAGAGTAAAACTCGAGGTAGGGAGCTTCCGAGTTCGTGGCTTAATCGTCGACCGACGGTGACGCCGTTGGTAAACGTGGGTTCGAGGATACAGGAATGGGAGAATATAAGTGTAAGCGACGTTATTTGATCTCGTCGTTATTGGGTTTGACAACATCTGGTTTGTTGTAGCCTCCTGGGCGGTTCTGAGTAGGGGCGCTATAAGTCTGGTACTATAGCTATGCGTTGTCATTGTCAGTTTTATGTTCATTGAAACTTTGTACATACGGTAGACATTTTTATTTGGGGATTTTCTGATCGCTCGTAACTGGTGTTGACTGAGGAGCCTCCAGACATCGCTACTAGGTCACGCTTGTCGAAGACGCACAGCTGGACATGCACATATGTTGGCTATGGGTCTCCGAAGGACGAAGAGCTGATAAGCGGAACTGTAAACCTTCATCGTTAGATGCGAAGAAATGGGTATTATATCAATCCTACCAGTGGAACAAACGTCTCTCTGGCTTTTGGTATTATGTAGGTCATTCGTTTTGTATCCCAGCGATTGACAATAAGACTGAGCACGAAAAAAGGCTGAAGGCTCGGGAAATAGAGCGAAAGTTTTTCAGATTTTATTGTTGGAATCAATAGTAACCCTTCGTATCTTTCGCCTGAACATCACAGTACATGACCGGGTACTTTCGACCGTGGCCTGTGTAGAAGATGCCTGGAGCGATCGGTGCCGGTCGTTCTCCAGGATCCCTGAAATAAGAGCAAAAATCAATTTGAAGGATTTGCATGATAACAATCTACAGATTTCTCGTACCCCGCGAACCGCGCTATATTATTCAAAATGTCTGTTCTGTTGCCGATTCGTGAGAGTTCACGGGTGCCGTATGTTTGGTTCAATCGATCGTGTACAAAATAACTGTTCACCTCATGGAGGTCGCGAGGTAGCCAAATTCCAGTCGTCGCCTAAGCAAATCAATTCCTGAACGTGGATAAAAATTAGCAGACACGAAGAAAGAGAACTTTTACGGAATACGTACCCATTCCGGTGGCCATCATCCAAGACTGAAGACAGCTCGTGGTTGACGTTGAACCACTTTAGTCATGCTTTGGTGTCAATTTGACATACATTTTATCCGATACTTTCCATAAACGGAGTAAACGGGCAGTACCCTGCCACGTGAGGATCTCAATCCGGTCGTCATCCATCACGGCGACGGCGTTTTTCATCCTCTCACCGTCAGCAACGACGACGGGACCCTCTGCTGTCGCTTCCCTGTGTCCTGCTGCCGGGCTGCAGCACCTCTAACGACCATCTGTGACGTCGTGGCCGTCGCTTTGCCATCATGTCGACGATGAATCGCCAGTCCACCCTTCACCAACGCCTGGAGGCGGTGACAGACCTCTCCAAGCTGTCGCCTATCTCTGACGATATTATCGTTGCATGCCTTAGAGAACGGTTCATGAACGACAATGTCTACACGGCTGTCGGTACCTCTGCCCTCGTCGCCCTCAACCCCCACAAATATATCCCATCCAACTCCGACTCTGTCATGCAGAAATATGCAGCAGAGTACCGCGATACCTCTCAAAACCAAGAGCCGATGCCTCCTCATATCTTTCAGATGGCGAACAACGCGTACTACCACATGCGACGGACAACGCAGGATCAGTGCATGCTGTTCAGGTGCGTGGCTGCATGTCTCTCTTTTCCCATTCTCACGGGGGCATAGTGGCGAGACAGCGAGCGGAAAATCAGAAAATCGACGATTGGCTATCAAGAGCATTCTAGAGCTCAGCGTGAGCAACCCAGGGAAGAAGGGCGCCAAGCTCGGTAGTCAGGTCCCAGCGTCAGAGTTCGTGCTTGAGACTTTTGGCAATGCTCGCACACTCTTCAATCCGAACGCCTCTCGTTTTGGAAAATACACAGAGCTGCAGTTCAGTGACCGGGGCCGTATTTGCGGTGTCAAGACTCTCGACTACTACCTGGAGAGGAATCGGGTTGCCGGTGCACCGTCGGGCGAGCGCAACTTTCACATTTTTTACTATCTCGTCGCCGGCGCCTCTGAAGAGGAACGGCAGCATCTCCATATCCTAGACAAGACTACCTATCGCTACCTAGGCCAAAGGACAACAGCAGCCAGACCCAACGCCGGCGCTAGGGATAACGATGCCGTCAGGTTTGACCAGCTCAAGGTGGCGCTCAAGACAATCGGATTCTCAAAGCGCCATGTCGCCCAGACTTGTCAGCTCATTGCCGCCATTCTTCACCTCGGTAACCTCGAATTCACTATCGACCGGCATCGCAACGAGGATGCAGCAGTCGTCCGCAACATGGACATCCTTGCAATTGTGGCCGATTTCTTGGGTGTGCAAGCTTCCGACCTGGAGTCTGCATTGTCGTATAAGACAAAGCTGTTGAAGAAGGAGCTTTGTACCGTCTTCCTTGACCCCGATGGTGCATCTGACAACCGGGATGATCTCGCTAAAACCCTCTACTCCCTGCTCTTCGCCTGGTTGAACGAGCACATCAACCAGCGCCTCTGCAAAGAGGATTTCTCCACCTTCATCGGTCTCTTCGACCTTCCCGGTCCTCAGAACATGACCAGTCGTCCTAACTCTCTTGATCAGTTCTGCATCAACTTTGCCAACGAGCGCTTGCACCACTGGATGCAGAAGCGTTTGTTCGAGAGCCACGTCGACGAGTATGCTACCGAGGGAATCTCCCGCTTTATTCCCCAGGTCCCTTATTTCGACAATTCTGAGTGTGTGCGTGTCCTACAGAACCGACCGGGCGGTCTTATCCATATCATGGATGACCAAGCCCGACGCACGCCGAAGAAGACTAACCACACCATGGTAGAGTCTTTCCAGAAACGCTGGGGTAACCATTCGTCGTTCAAAACTGGCGGAGCAGACCGGTCCGGGTTCCCAACCTTTACTGTGAACCACTACAATGGTCCAGTCACGTACTCGTCAGAAGGCTTCCTTGAGCGGAATTTGGATGCGGTGAACCCCGATTTCGTGTCGTTGCTCCGTGGAGCTGCCGATGCAATGGAGAGGTCGGGGTCTATCAATCCCTTCGTGAAGGGCTTGTTTTCGACCAAGGCTATTGCGACACAAGCGCATCCTAGGAACGAGGATACCATCGTCTCGGCGCAGCAGGTTGTCAAGCCCATGCGAGCGCCATCGACGCGTCGCAAGAGCGCTGTCCGAAGGATGCCGACTGTCAGGGAGTCGTTGGCTGATGTAGAGGAGACCGTGCGGGATGAGGAGGAGGCTCTAGTACCATCCAGCGGGAACCCTTGTATCGCCGGAGAGTTCAAATCGGCGCTCGATACCCTGTTCGATACCCTCGATGACACGCAGCCGTGGTATGTCTTCTGCATCAATCCCAACGACTCGCAACTGCCCAACCAGCTTGAGGGGCGGAGCGTCAAGGGACAAGTCCGGAGTATCGGTCTGACTGAGGTTGCGCGGAGGAATGTCAATGTCTTCGAGGTTGGTATGTCGCCGGAAGAGTTCTGCGAGAGGTATAGGGAGGGCTTGGAGACTGCAAGCGTTGAGGAAGGTGATCCTAATGATCGGGTGGAGAGCGCTGCCATGGCCTTTGGTTTAGGAGAAGCTGATGTTGTTCTCGGACAGCACAAGGTACATTTCTTCTTATCATTGTCGAAGCAATGGTCGCTGACTAGTGTTCACATTCTCTAGGTATTTCTGTCACAGTCAGCGTTCCACAAGTTCGAGGATCAGCTTCGTACCCGAGACGTTGATGAGCAGAAGCGCAATCGTCTTCGGGATGCTGAGGCTGAAGCTGGGCTTAATCCCAGATCCCTTGTCGATCCCTATGGTCCTTATCCTCAGTCTCCCGATCCTGAAGGCCCCTATCAAGCAGGATACGGTGATGCATTCAATGCATCTAGCCAACAACTCCCGCTCGTTGCCAATGCCTCCCCCTTCCAGCGTGCCGACGCCTATGATGACGAATTCGACGAGAACCGTTCAGTTCGTAGCGATGACTTCGACGCTCGCAGCAGGTTCACAAGCCAGCCAGCCGACTCTGTGTCAAATCTTGGCTCAGAATCGTACGCCCCGTCCCGGAACATGTTCCAGAACGCTGACAAAAACGCCCTCATGGACAAGGATGCACTCCCTGGTGAGATCCAGGAGGGGGAGACCACTGAGATCTTGAAGGAGTCTTCTGCTCGTCGACGTTGGGTTGCCCTTTGCTGGATGCTCACGTTCTGGATGCCCAACCCTTTGTTGAGATGGGTCGGTCGAATGAAGCGTATGGATATCCGGCAGGCATGGCGAGAGAAGCTTGCGCTGAACATGTTGATCTGGTTCATTTGTGGTTGCACGGTTTTCGTCATCGTTTTCCTCGGAAACTTGATTTGTCCGACAGAGCATGTCTACAACACATCGGAGCTGGCGTCATATAACAAGAACGCTGATCTGGTGTATACTTCTATTCGAGGAGAGGTGTTCGATCTTTCCATCGTCGAGGCTACGCATTTGCGGGTCGTCAGCGTCGTTCCGAGCAAGCAGATTCTCAACTATGGTGGAACTTCGTCTGATGCGATCTTCCCGGTTCAGGTATGTGGCTGTTGTGGTTTCTCTTAACGAAAAATTCCCTAACAACGTCGTTTTTAGGTCAGCGCCTTGTGCAGCGGTATAAACGGATACGTCAGTCCATACGTTACTTTGGACTCGGCGAACAATACCGATGTAAATTCGGTGTACCATGATTTCCGGGTCTTCTCCAATGACTCTCGGCCTGATTGGTACTTTGAAAACATGGTCCAGATGCGCTATACTGCTCGTGTCGGTTTCGTGGGCTACACGCCCAAGGAAATCAGCAACATGGCTAAAACCGGAAGCTCAGTCGCCATCTACAACGGCATGATATACGATTTATCGGATTACATCAATTATCCTCCTGCTGTCAGAGCGCCTGCAGGTCTTCAGGCACCGGCCGATACCGACACCAATTTCATGCACAGTAGTATTTTGGACGTGTTCAAGTTCAATGCTGGCGGTGATGTGACCAAGAAAATCGACAGTCTGAACATCGACAGTGACGTCTTGTCCCGCCAAAAGACCTGCCTGCGAAACCTGTTCCTCATAGGCAAGGTTGACAACCGAAACTCAGCACAATGCCAGTTCGCGACCTACCTACTCCTCGCCATCTCCGTCGTCATGATTTCCGTCATTGGGTTCAAGTTCTTGGCCTCTATCAACTTTGGTTCAGCTCGGGCACCGGAGGACCACGATAAATTCGTTATCTGTCAGGTGCCTTGTTATACTGAAGGTGACGCTTCGCTCCGCAAGACTATCGATTCGTTAGCGCAGATGAAGTATGACGACAAGCGGAAGCTGTTGGTTGTCATCTGCGATGGTATGATTGTCGGTTCCGGTAACGATCGTCCAACGCCCCGGATTGTGCTCGATATTCTCGGTGCGGACCCTAACCTTGACCCTGAGCCCCTGAGCTTCCAGTCGTTGGGAGAAGGTGCGAAGCAGCATAATATGGGCAAGGTGTACTCTGGTCTGTATGAGTGTTCGGGACATGTCGTGCCTTATCTTGTTCTGGTAAAAATTGGCAAACCTACGGAACGATCGAGGCCGGGTAATCGTGGAAAGCGTGACTCTCAGTTGCTTCTTATGCACTTCTTGAATAAGGTGAGGGCGATGTTATATGTTTAATCCTTTAGTTCTTATTACGGCTTGTTAGGTACACTTCAACGCGCCCATGAACCCTATGGAGCTGGAGATGTATCATCAAATCAAGAACGTTATCGGTGTTAATCCGACGTTCTACGAGTATCTTTTCATGGTGGATGCCGATACAACAGTCGATCCTTACTCGGCCAACAGGCTCATTTCTGCGTATGTTATTTTATTTCAGTCCGAGATGACCGTTCTGATGATATTTATTTTCTTTTAGCATGATTCACGACAAGAAGGTGCTAGGTGTTTGTGGCGAAACAGAGTTGGCGAATGCTAAGCAATCCATCATCACCATGATGCAGGTCCGTAATAGCCATTCCACTTTTGTTCACCCCATTTCTAATTATGCTCCTAGGTCTACGAATACTTCCTTTCTCATCATATGGCCAAAGCGTTTGAAAGCCTATTCGGTTCCGTCACTTGTTTGCCCGGTTGTTTCACCCTGTACCGCCTGCGCACACCGGATACGCACAAGCCTCTGTTGATCTCTAACCAGATGCTCGAGGATTATTCAGAAAATCGCGTAGACACACTCCACATGAAGAACCTGTTGCATTTGGGAGAGGATCGTTATCTGACGACATTGCTTCTCAAGCACTTCCCGCTATACAAGACGCAATTCGTGCGGGATGCACATGCCTACACGGTGGCGCCGGACGATTGGAAGGTGCTGTTATCTCAACGTCGGCGTTGGATCAACTCCACGGTTCACAATTTGGGCGAACTCATCTTCTTGGACCAGCTTTGCGGTTTCTGTTGTTTCTCCATGCGGTTTATCGTCTTGATTGATTTGGTCTCGACACTGATTCAACCTGTTACGGTGGCTTACGTGAGTTCATGATGCTTTCTTTTTTTGTGCTCCAGGCTCATTGCCTTGAACAGATTGTCTATTTGATTGTTCTCGTCGCCGCCGAAGGCAAGACAATACCGACGCTGTCGCTGGTCATGATTGCCGCTGTCTATGGCCTTCAAGCGTTGGTGTTCATACTACGACGGAAGTGGGACATGATCGGCTGGATGATATTCTACCTCCTTGCTATCCCCATATTCTCATTCATGCTGCCGTTGTACTCGTTCTGGAAAATGGACGACTTCTCGTGGGGTGCCACTCGTGTCGTTATGGGTGAGTCTGGCAAGAAGATGATCGTGCACGTATGTATCGTTTATTTTAGACTTTAATATCCGGTTGACGTTCTTTTCTTTAGGACGAGGGCAAGTTCGATCCACGTTCTATCCCCCTCAAATCATGGAACGACTACGTGAGTCCTGTGATTCTCTAATACAATTAATGACTCACATCTTGCTCAAGGAAAACGAACTATGGGACAAAGAATCCAATCACAGCATTGGTTCCTGGGTTCCGCCTTCGAAGTTCAAAAACGAAGGAGGATATGCCGAGTCTCACACGGCTTCTTTGTATGGTCGCGAGACGTACTATGAGCCAGGACCCCGCACATATTCGCCAGCGCCATCTGTCGGCATGTACCCTCCGCCCGGATACCAGTCAGGGCGTAATACCCCGCAGATGTACATGCCTCAGCCTCAATCAGGCCTGGCCAGCGACACACTGTACCAACCAGCACCATCGCGACCAGCCACAAATTACCTTGATATTCCCATCCCTACGAGTCGCAGCCCTGATGCCTCGCCTGGTCCAAGCGACGCCGAGCTGGAAGGCGTGCTCCAAGATATTCTGCGCACTGCAGACCTGAACCTAGTGACCAAGAAGGATTTACGGAGACAGCTGGAGGATCACTTTGGTGTGGACCTAACAGCGAGGAAGTCGTCCATCAACGCGATGGTTGATCGGTTATTGAATTTCTGATTCTGATGCACCTTGCTTTTCCTGTTTTCTGTTGTCGGACTTTCTTGGATCTTTATTACGACTCGTTTATGATTGTGTTTGCTTTGCCACTGTTCCTTCTTTAGTATAATCAAGGACTTCACGGTACACGGACTTTGCATTTCTTCTCATACCTGCCTAACCTATACGTATAACATTGCACTTGGCGTTTGGTCCCAGTTTTACAGTTATAATTACCAAGACATTCATTGCTGTTCGTCATTACATATAGGTCAAAATCAAAGCTATCTCTCATGCAAAGCGTATTTTGACTACAGCTCCCGAGCGGAGCCGTTTCTCACGTCGACTTTCATGGCCGTCAGGATTGTTCTTCAAGAGCTCATCGTTAAAATTATCTACGGCGACGGAGACGATATTTATTCTCCGAGTCTGCGTGTACGCTTCTTTCTCATTCATTAATTTCTTCGAGTCGTCGGCTTAACCTGCCCTAGTGTGAAGACACCTTGATTCCGAAGCTAGAGCAATATCATCTGTGCGAGGCAGGCAGTGTCTATGTTACATTCGCATCTTTACTGCGAGCCTTGTTCGCAAGTTGGCGATATACGAAGAACTATTCAAGTTACTACCATCTGTGCCACTCCCCTCCCTTCCATTCTGATATCCGCCTTTACAAACGTGCGCTATATTAGGCTAATCGAACGAGTCGCTCAGCTGTATGCTTTCCGTCCCCAATTCGAGTGTTGGTCGATAAACACTCCCGAGGATTTTACAGTTGGTTGAATTACAGTGCTGGACTCGAGCTTTGTCGTTTTCCGTACCAGCCTCGATGCCTTTTTCACGGTCTTACCCGTCCGGTTTCTGGGACTTTCCGTATCGCCTCCCTCAAAATAGGCGCAACGATGGACACTTGTACTGAATTTATCTTCCGACCATAGATGCCTAGACCCCTTGTATTAGTGTCTGGATAGGGATTTAGCTTTGATGGAGATGCTGAAGATGATCACCATTGATTTCGTCCAGCGTCGCGTAACGACGGTGATCTTTATAGTTTCCTTTGGGACGAGGTAGATGTGTGATGGTGATGCTAGTATATTCCATTGTTAATTCCTTTCATAGAGACTGCGGATTGCGAAGCTGTGAAGTCCTTGGCAGGTAGGGACTGTCGAGGAGATTTCCGCTCATTCAGTCGGACTTAGCATCGATTATCCTCACGACGGTACGAAAAATGGAAAGGCACTTGCATGAGCATTACTATATTATCTCGGAACTAAGTATTATACGACGATGAACCCTGATAAGCAAAAGAAAATTGTAGTAAATCGTACGAATCGCCTGGACTCTAAAAAAGACTAAAAAATTACGAGAATTGTATAGATACCTATTCAGTACGTAGCAGAGGAAAATACCTGTAACATATGGTTTTTCATATCCTTGGACCCCTTCATCGCAACCGTAACGCGCACTCTCCGATGATGCAGGTGCGTAAAATGGCTCTCGATCTTCGCTCTAGCATTATCGACATTCATCGATGCGAGCAATCCCTCATGGAGGAACGCGTATATCGACAGCGCACGAATCTGCGTTAGCGATAATATCGCAGCCAATTTCGACCAGACCGAGTCATACACATCAGTCTCGTGTCCGAGCCTCACGCGCAAGTTTACGTTCTCCAGTACGCTCCCTGCCTGGCGGAGGTGCTCGATCCACGTTCCCATCTGTCCAAAGTTTGTCGTACCGTATTCGAGGATAAACGGGGTAATGTCAAGTTGTCGTAATCGCGGCAGGTTTAGGTACTGTGAGAGATCGGGTATGTCGTCAACTGTACATCCAGTACTCTGGTTTCAGATACCCGGGAAATGTAATTAAGAGGTGACGGGATTACTTACTGAAGCTTCCGAACATGAGGTGTAGGTGTTCAAGGGTTTCTGCCCCTTGGCTGATGATTTGCTGGGCAGAGTCGCGGTCTCCGCCGCTGTGGAGACATAGTGCGAGTCGACGGACGCGTGATAAAGTCATGATATTTGACCTTAGAACCAGACTTTCGTATATGGATGGAAAGCGCTGAGACACGGAAAGGCCCGCTAGCTGTAGGGGGTACGAAATGGGAGGAGAATACCGTTCCAGCTCGACGAAGAAAGACTTGCGTACTTCTACGTTTAGTAACGTGAGATGCCGAAGAGTGGGGAAGGACCTGATGAACGCGATCACATCGCCGAAAGCGTGAAATGTGACACATTGAAGGGCCAAGGAGGTGAATGGGTAATTCGTAAAGGCGTACATGCAATCCAACGGGGTAATCGGGAACGACCAGCCTTGAATAGTGAGATGGCGCAAGTTTCGTAGGTAAGTCGTGATGATTTCGACGAGTGCTGGGTTTGTTTCCATCCGACAAGGATCGCGCTGCGAGGGCGTGAGGAGGAGAGCCACGATAACGGGGGGAACAGGAACAGCATTGATCGACGACGAACGACACATGTCAAGAAATCTGTCGCAATCCCGACACGTCCTAAGTTCGACACTGCGAAACATGTACCCACGCGTACGGGGGACGAAAGCTCGCGAGACGAGGGAACAGGATTTGAGATCTGCTATAGTTGCAGATTTGGACGAGCGCAGCTCATCGATGATTTCATCAATGATTTCCTGTGGGAGTTCAGGCATTTTGAGCTGTGGGAAAAAAAGGAAAGTGAGAATTGAATTTTGAATGGGTGAAAAAGTCGGGGAATACCTCTGGATGAAGGGGGGGTAGGAACAGAGCCCTTTAACGAATGTTAATGATCAAAAGACGTTGTGAAAAACGGAGTGGTGGTGGTGGTAGTGGTAGTGGTTGTCCCGTACGCCGCACAAGGTCCCCTTTGAAGAAGCCATGTGCCCGCAGCCCTGGGACGGACTTCCAGACCAGTGTAGGCACACGCCGCATTGATAGAGGTCGACAAGAAGAATCCAGTAGAATTTGTTATTATCATTCCGAGTTTACGTAAAATGACGTCGTGGCAATCTCAACAGTTCGCACAAGGCTTAAATTCCGCCTCGAATACCATAAGCACCCACATTTATCATGGCCTCACTGCTTGCAGAGCAGAGAATAGAAATGGCGTCCTACCAGAATCGCTTACCCTTTGCGTGGCGCAAGTCGAGACCCAAGGGCTGTGGCGCTAAAGAGGCTTCTGAGCTCGCTTTCCTATCGATAGAATGACGAATAATCAATGGTACAGAATTTATTCATGGGGATCCAGTTGTAAAAGGATGCAGAGCGTATGGCCCGACTTGCGGTTCATAACACGAAATAGAAGATGATGGTCAACAGGAAAGAGGGTCCTCTCGTCTTGCCCTAAAGTTCACGTGACCGGCGACGCGCTCTAAGCGCGACCCGAAGCACGACGCTCGGCCATCCCTTCCTCAACCCTTCGTAATCCCATGCCGTCAACCTGCACAATTAATTTTTTTCATTTCTCACGTAGAACGGTATAGATCTCGGAGGAATGTTTCTTACTGACGTTTTGACTTTTCTATCGAAGACTCGCAAGAAAGAGAGAGATACGTTATTACAGAAATGCATTTCGAGGGGCGGCTGAAAAGAAGTGTGGCGTAACTTCCTGTCTGTTAATGGACATGAACATCGGGTGTAATCTCCGAGTCGACGTGATGTCATGCCCAGCCTAACCTCAAGCGGCTGCTTTTCGACGATGAACCTTCTTGGGTTACTACTCCATGGTCCTAATCCTCGACAAATCATTACCTTGGTCACCGAATGGTGCAAGCTATTATCCCCCAGCTCAATTTTGCCGCCGGCCTTGGCACAAAAAAATCCCTGGCAGTTCCCGATCAACACCGTCGACAAGATCATGATCGATCGCCAAGGGGATAGATAGCAATAGCGTCCGTGAATCGCCACTGTATCGGGACAATAAATTGCCTTGTCAGATCCCGTTCTTGAAGGGAGACGCAGTCCTTGGCACCTGAGCTTTACATACACTGAACCCTTCCTTAGAGCGTACCTACTCCACTCCGAGACCTAGCTGTGTTCCCCCTCAATTTGATCCGGGCGAGAATCTGAGCTCGGGCGCCGTATCCCAAGGGCTGGTGAGAAACTTGAAAAGAGATGGCGCGCCCTCGGTTGGATCTCATCACTGAGTAACACGTGTTACAGCACCTAAATGCTGCGCCGCGAATTGATTGTCGAGACCAAAAAAAAACGCCGCCGCCGCCGAAAATTTGAAAGAGATTCGCGCCCCTTCATCATCTGGAGCGACGAGAGCTGTGCACCGGTGCTTTGTCGGCAAGACGAGTTTCGGTTCCAACTTGGGAGCTAATATATAAAATTGTCTAGAGATCCACGCTTCAAGTCTGGATCAAATCTCCGCGACCTTTGCCGAGAGCGCTTTTCCAATCAGAATTGAATTGACCCTGCACCTTGCAGTACTTAACGCAATGGACTAGGTGCCAGAACCAGAACACGAAGGACTCAGACGCCAGGGCACGAAGTCTTGTCCGTAGGAAAAAAAAAGTAAAGTGTGGTTCCTAGGACCTCGAGGGGGTGGTGGTGTCCAAGTCAGCAGGCGGTCCATCATCACGGGTGGTAGAAATGATAAACAGGGTTGGAAGAATTAATGCAAGTCAGGGGGGATAGTCGCGATAAGAGAATCACGAGGGCTCTGGATGGTCGGTCCGTCCTATATACTATCATCGTAGAACAGGTACGAGGAATGTTAGGCACCTGAGTCGGAGAGGTTATAGTCGTCCTGGTGGTGTTCCTTCGTGCTCCACAAGTGCTGATCCCAGGATCGATAACGTGTCAATGGCGTGCGCGACTACGTTATTATGGGAGTGGTTCTGACAAGAAGGCGGCTCAGTAAGAAGGGATCTATCCATGGCCAAACAGAGTAAACCGCACCAAGTCCATGCATGCATGCCATGATTTCCTCCGATAACAATATCAGAAAAAACGCGCGTCCTCGTTGAATACACAGTGGCAGCACGCGGAGAGGCAAAGTATTGGTGGGAGGGGAAAAAGCACTCATGGGAATGCTTTCCGTTTATGGCCGTCTCTCTAGCGGTGTAGAATGATGATGATAATGACGCCGCTTACGATTTATTACCCGCAGGCAATGTACATGTGCCGTCCTATAACCAATCAATCGCATCATTAGTCAAAAGGCCCTAGTGGAGAGGGGTCACTTGGGAGTTTGAGTTTGAGATAAATGTAAATGCTATAAAAAATGATTGATTAGATCGTAGTGGATATGTAAGTATCGAGCGGATCTACGTACCGAAGAATGGAGGAGAGGCCTGCGGAGGGAGTAGGCAATCAGTCGGAGCGTAAAGATGATATAGCGCCATGAGTAATTCAAGGAACATGGTTGAAGGGGAAGGGAGACGTGGGAAAAATCCATGAAAGGGAATGGTATTGCCTTTTTTGTGTTCCTGACTTGGGGTGCCGGCCCGGCCCGCGGTTTCCGAGGCGTCCGTTCTTTCTTTCCTTCTCAGGATGGACTGCGTATTTGATTATTTCTGGTGGACGTGCTTATCATTCTGTGTGGATACGAGCAACCAGCCCTTCGCTCGAGCAGGAGGCAAGAAAGTCCGGAGGTGTCTCATCATTAATTATTGCTCCCAGTGCCCGTTCCTCTCCTACTTGAAATCTCTCCTCTTTCATCTCTCCTTTCAGTCCTGAATAAAGGTATTTTCTAGGGCATGTTATCCCTATGGAGGGATTGCTTTCCTCATAGATGACAGGCCAGTTCAAGGGCGAATCTTGATATTTTAGTCACTTAGTACGCTAAATTTGTCTCTGCTCTTTAATTCCCAATCCTTTCGCTTGGAAGCATATCCACACCCCTCACACGTTGTTTGCATATATGTCCCAAAAACCGCTCAATGAAAATTTCTGTGTTCTTATCACATCGCATATCCCCAGTTCCGCAGAGTCATCAGTGCTGCGGTGAATCTGAAATTTCGGGTACCTCTTGCCCAAGTCCACGATTGAGCGTATCACCTTTGATATAAACTTGACTGGGTTTTCCATGCACGACACGGCGCGGAGAAAATTGGATAGCCTCACATCGGAAGGGGGGTTCTCTCTTTCCATTGTCGTGACGGTGAGATATCTGGTTGCCGATAAAGCTGCCGTCAAGCAGGTCATCGAGAGGCCAATCACCGTGAAAGAAAGCGTTCGATTCAATGACCTGGAGAGTCGGAAATGTCGTGAGGCGCGACCCCTTCTCCTTGTTTCAGTCGCACGTGCTGTATCTTCCTTTCCTCTCACCAGTATCCGTTATCATGACATACCGCAGAAGCCTGTCAGAATCTCTCTCGGACAACACGCATATATTTGAGCGGTTCTATAACATAAGGGAGAACAACAGCGCAATGGAACGTATCAACGAGAAAGTTGAGCGCAGATGGCCTTATACAATATCCCCCTATCCGAACTCTCTGCCATATCCCTGGTGTATGTACGCTCTACAGTTGACAGGAATTCCGTTCTGATGCTTATCTGTTACTAGCCTCTATCCTCCTGAGCAGCATCCCTCCACTCAGTACTCGCTCGTGCTAGATAAGTACAAAGTGCCGACACCAAATATCACCTTACAAATTGATTTCACTTCGCCCTCGGCCCCACACACGTCTAACATTCGACTTCACGGTTTCATCTTTCGCGCCGTATGTCCTGACATTCACTTCAATGCGCGAAGGATACTTCATATTAGCATGTTCAAGCCTGAACACTCCATTGCTCTGATTCGCTACATCTACACTCGCGAGCTTTCACCTATCGTGTGCTCCCTTCTCGAGATCACAAGGTTAATAGAGGAGAAGGACTTGAAGCAGCCGAGGATCGCCACAATCGACTGGGATCCCATCGTTTTGTCGATGATGCTGACAAAGACGGAGAGGGGGTTGGATGAGGTGGGAGTGGGGATTGTGGATTTTTGCTGGGCACTGTGGAGTCTGAGTATGCGCTGGGAGGATATTTGGGACGCTGTTAATCTCGCTTGGAGATTGCTACTTTGTGCGCATCCTGATGGAGGACGTAGAACAATGGATAATTGGCCCAGGCACGTGGGGTATACCTGAACGAATATTAGTACGTATGAACTGGTTGTCGAAACTCATCAATGTTAACTTGAGAGGCTGAGCTTGACTTTGGTTAGATGCGGCCGGGTGCAGGCGCTGCGAGCATTCTGCAAATCGAGAGAATTGGCGCCTGCCGGAGATTGCAACTGAAGAAGTGACCAAGCTTCTGAATGATGCGTCATTGCATTGCCTAACTACTTAACGTCGTGAAGCCAAGGAAGGACCCCTTTCCCGCGTGCTTTTGAGCAGACTGACTCAGATGTGGTGCCGTCGGCCACTTTGTGAGTTCGCCATCATGAGAACAATATCAAATACATCGATTTCGTCGGCCTGTTTCTTACGGAGCTCGTCTCGTCTAACCCTCGCTTTGTGCCAGGAGCGCAGCAGAATCGTGACGAGGTCAAGATAGGATGAGTTGGACCAATGAAATTTCACCTGTGTTAAGAAATCCTGCGTAGGTCATATTATGGTAAGCGGCAGAAAAAAGGCAATGCGTTAGGTTCCGCAAGACAAATGCAAAGTCCACCGAGCGCCGTCCGGTGTTTAGTCCACGGTCGACGTCTGTTGTTTTCATTATAAATTTCGGTGTCTAGTGAGCCAAAATGGCGATCCTGATAAGAGGTGCTCCAAACCCGGAGAATGGTAGCATGTCAGCCGAGAGGCGCCCTGTTGACAAGTAGCCCGTTTCGTATGCTATCGATATCTTCGATGCAACAAGAGCAGTATCAGCACAGATAAAACGATGATTCAAGATTCACCTGACTGCCTTGGCCTTGAGGAATCAAATGGAAAGCCCAGCAAGAGGAAGGTTCTATATCAGTTCGAGAATCGAAGCTTCTCAGTTCTGCAAGGGGTTACATCTACTTACATCAGAACGGTCGGGTTTTTTTTACTCGATAGGAATATCGGACCGTAAGCGTAATAAAGGTTATCGGTGCCAAAAGGGATCACAGTCGAAAGAATCCGGGGTAAACGATAGTTCATATGGTCTTCAGCACACATGATGCGTTGTGGAGTTGCCGGCATAGCATAAACATCTGAACGGACTTAATGAGAACTCGGGCAGCCTGTGGACAGGAATTTGGAGACGAGGGAGCCACGCTGCAGCTGGGAGGTTCCTGACCGTGGAAGATTAAACGTCAAGGCGGGAGTTGTCTACGGACCCGACTTGCGGAATTTGTGAAGACTCGGACCGGCAGGCCGCTCGTTTACATAACTCCTTCCAGGGTTAGGGTCAAAGAATGATGCAACAACCCCTGCACTAATCTGAGGCTTACACTGTCACCATCACGACCCACTAGCCCACACGACGACCACTGCCCTCGTAATGCGCCAAAAACCCATCATAATATACGGAGCTGTCGCAACAGGGCCTCTCCGACAATGATGCGTCAGAATCTCGTCAATTCTGACTTGCGCAATGGTATTTTTGTTTCTATTACGGCGGTGGGAGAGGATACCCGCGTATTACAAGTTTTAAGGTGCACTACAGTATCAAATTGTTGTATGCGAATGCTCATGGCTATTCCTTACGGCTGGGAAGTTGGTCGCGGTCCTGGCTTCATAGCGTGCAATAACCTGTAACTGACATACTTATTCGAATTTGCAACCGATGGCTTGAAGGCCACTTGTCCTTGGAGCGGCACTCCCCAGTTCTTTAATTTGCCAAGTGACGGCACGACCAACCGTAACGACGAGGGAAAGCGAGACTGTCAGCGAGAACCGACTGATAGACGGAGTGGCTTCCGTTGCAACCTCGTCTTCATTGAATTCCTTTCCACCCGGATCGCCGCATACACCTGTGCCTTCGTACATATCGAGAATTGCGCGTTTCGGACACCTATAGTGGGTCTGGATACAGAAGTGAAAGCTTCCACGGTACGCTATGGCATCGTATTACTGTATTAAAATTCTCACAGCTACGTCTTACAGATGAGATGGCAGTCCTGGTTCGATATCGTGCATTGCGGTAAAACATACTCATTCGAGTCTACAAACTATTTCGGGTAGAAGATGCGCTTCCCTGTTTGTTAAGACTTTTTTTCGCTCAGTGGGGACAGCGAGGTGACATAGAGGAAATCCAATGACCAACAGATACGACAGTAGTCGTCACTCGTTGCTGTCTACCCCGGACGACTCCGAATGCCCTTGCTTGTTGTCCAGCACGCTAGCATCATGCCGAGTAACGCCTTGGGAAGGGTTCAGTCCTGGAGATGAACAACGTTCTTCCCAAGTACGTCTTGTTGCCCTTCATATGTTAGGTCATTTGTACTAATGCATGCACAGAGAGCAACGTGAGGATGCGTTAACCCGCTTACTGTTATAGAGTCCCTTCCCTCATTCACGGTTCTGCCCATGACACTACCACCGTCGCATAACAAGGAGGCAAGCGTCGTGAGGGGTGTATATCTTGACTAGACGCTGTGTCTTCATGCCCGGCGAGCAAGGGAACGGCTTAGTTAAGGAAATACTACTGTGTGATGGCTAAAGGGGAGGCTCACAGGTACTTAACCACGTCAGTGACTGCGTTCTCTACTGATTGAGGTAATTACAGGTAGCGCTGTTTGCCAAAAGAAGCGGCCGTGTCACCTCCTCTCCTATTTGTAATCATACAAGACACGACAAAAGGTCTCTCCTCCTCTCGTCCACCTTTCAACAAAGGATATCACAGCGGCGTACTGTAGTGTGTGGCACGTTTTGTGGTGGTACATAGCCCCAGCGTTCCCTTTTTGGACCTCGACCGGCTATCTATCTATCTTTCCTGAGACCTGGCGTCAGAGGAATAAGGTATATTTTCTAATTTCGTGGCATTCCTGGGAAGAGACTAATTTCTCGTAGACATCCTGTTTCTCCTGGCTACCTCAAGAACTAATTGACTATATCCTTGATTTCTTGGTCAATGACGCTCGGTCCCTCAAAGCCTCCTCTCTGGTCTGCCGTTCTTTCCTCCACCGAACTCGTGTTCATCTGTTCTGGCGATTTCGCATCACTGATGCCCGCTCCTTGAGCGAGCTTCACGAGATGTTCCGAAAGTCTCCCCAGATACCTCACCAAGTCAGACAATTAACCCTTCACGATGTTACGAGCGATAGAGTACGAGACTCCGAGCACCTTGCACCTGTGATCTCGTCGCTCTCTTGCTTGCGAACCATCATGTTCATCAACATTAAGTGGACATTGCTGCCACAGGCCTCACAAGACGCACTCTCTTCACACGCTTTCCAAACCATCCTCTTGCGTAATACCGATATGACCACATCCAACTTACGTTCCCTCGTCTCTAGCTCTTACGACAGTCTTGATGGGCTCGAGCTGAATGGAACACAAGTCACCGGGTCTTTTCAGCGCAGCGTAGGATCCTCTCTACGCATACAGACTCTGTCTCTATGTTATGCGCCTCTTCGCTACGAGTTATTTTCACAGACCCTGCCCTCTTTTCTTTCATTGGGGCATGTCCACACCCTCCATGTGTTGTTGCCAGATCTTTCCTCGACGCGCTGTCTCCAAAAGGTGCTCTGTGAGCAGCTCTGTTCACTTCAGCACCTTAGAGTTACACATCCACTGGGGTTTTGTGATTGTATGTGTGGCTATCTCTTATTCATCGTGTCTACTCATGTGTTACGATCTAGTGGAACGTCTTACCTTGTCTTATCGCCTTCCAATTTCAGGGTTACTATCCCTTATCGTGGAACTATGGGACTTCTACGAGCGTCCCATTGATCAACATCTGAAATGGTGAATAGAGAATATCAGGCAATGCTCAGTGATCGAGCGGGTCACCTTCCGCCTTCCATTGTATGACTATTTGTGTGATTACGGGGCTTGGAAGACTTTGGAGCGCTATCTGTCTGAGGAGGGGAGTAATCCTTACCTCAAAGACGTCGTAATTCGCCTGGACGCGAATTGGCCAACCTTTTCATTCGCTAAATCTGCCAAGCTCGCCATGGAGAGTCAGTTCACGGATAAGCGAGTTCGTGTTGTGGTTACAAGTCGGTCTTTCCTGACGTTTCGAATTGTTCTGGGCTCTGACGCGGGTTTTTGCAGATTAGTATAAGGGTTACGTTCTTCTCCCAAGTGTAGAATAGCAGGCAGCGTTTGGATGATTAGTAGTAACTTGTCATCCGTGTTCAATCCAAAAATGTTCATTACAGCCGGGAGCCGCCATTGGTGACTTGAAAAGTGTGTATGTCTTCTTGTTTCGCTTGTATGTGCTTGCAGCCATCGCAACTTCCCTTGATTACCTTGATTTTTGAGGCAGCGTTTGGGCGTCGAACGGGACATCTCCGAACTTGTTGTCCTGCTTTGTCTTCTCCTTGGTACAGTTTGAGGCGGTGGGGTGTGCAGCGACAATTCGACAAACAAACACAGCCCCTATTTGGGATCACATGACATGTAGGAAATTGTCTCCTTTTTTGTCTCGCCGTGACGCCCATCTTCAAAGCAAAGGTATTCTCAATTTCGTCTTTTTCTCAAGCAGAGGAACTGATCTTTGTAGATGTTTTACTTCCCAAAGTTACCTCAGGAGCTAATAGATTCCATCCTGGATTTCTTAATTGACGAACCCCGATCCCTCAAGGCCTCCTCCCTTGTCTGCCGTTCTTTTCTCCATCGAACCCGAGTTCATCTTTTCCGTCAATTACACTTCGAGAACTTTCGGCACTTCCACAAGTTTCGCAATATGTGCCATTCGTCTCCTCACATACCTCCCCGAGTCGAGACTTTGGCCCTTCACAGCGGTTGGGACAATAAAAAAATGCGAAATACGAAACATTTTGTTGCTGTGATGTCGCTGTTCTCCCACTTGCGAGCGATAAAGTTCATTCATATCAATTGGGCGTTGTTGCCCCAGGACGTTCGGGCAGCTCTTTCTTCCCGCGCCTTTCAGTGCATCAGTTTTCACTGCGTAACCGGCATCAAGGCCTCCGACTTGTTCTCCCTCGTTTCTACCTCTCGTTCCATCCTCCACACCCTCAAGATACACCACACAGATATCATTGGAAGTCTCGAGCAAGACGAGCAGTCTGCGCCTTGTGTGACGAATCTAACTCTCCACGACTCAGCCCTCTCGCCTGAACTCTTTTGGAATGACACGTCCTTTCTGTCACCAAGACACGTCCGTACTCTCGACGTGCTGCTGCACAATATGTCTGATATACACCGCTTTCAAAGTCTGCTCAGCGAAGGGCTGTGTCCCCTGCAAGACCTTGTCGTATCGCATATGCCGCGGAGCATCGATTGTACGTGTATATTCATCTCTCCATCGTTGTTACTCACATCCGTCTATAGTACTGAACCAGCTCGAATCTTCTGATCACCTCCAACTCTCAGGATTACGAACCGTCACCGTACACATGTGGGACTACCACTCTGATATCGGCGCTGTTGACCGACACCTGCTTGAGTGGTGGATCGGGAATCTCAGACAGTGTGATGAGATTGAGCGTATCACCTTTTGTGTTACGCTTGGAGCTAGTACAGGTGACTATGCTGTGTGGAAGGGCTTCGACAAGTTGTTGTCCGAGCGCAGGTTCTCTGCTTTGATATCGGTGGTCGTAGAGGTGAATGCGACGTGGATGACGACGGATGTAGCCTCAGTGACACAGACCATCGAAAGTCAGTTCACTGATGCTCGCGTCGATGTAATTTCCGGCCGAGAAGGTTGATATTCTATTGTATGTATACGATATCCCCCTATCTGACGGGGAGGATGTTAGTTGTGGGGATCATCGCGTTTTGGAAGACTACACGATCTATGCATGTAGCATGAGGATATCTGGAGCACCATTAATCTGGCTGGAATCTGCTGCTTCGTGGAGGACGTAGAATTATAGAAGATTGACTCAAGATATACGAACTTAATACGGCCCTGCCATCTCATTCCACGGATACCACCACTGGCATGCGAATCCCGCCTTACAGTCCCATCTACGTCTGTCCGACTTCGTGATTTGTATGTCGAGGCTGCTAACACTCAAACCTCGCCTTGTGCCAATTCACTACTGGCTATGAACATGCTCCAACAAGAGAGTCTGCTACAGTCTCTTCCCAGCTCGTATCGAATAGGTGATCACTACAGCACGGTATTTTTGCCTGTCGGCGAGCACTTGTCTGGCCGGAGAGGGAAAACGCCATCACATGGAACGATTTCGAGCATGACTAAATAAATGGCCAAGACGAGAATACGGCGGCCATCTTCCTCTCAGCTTTCATTGAACACGCTTCTCCATACCTCATGTTTCCGCACAACCCAGGCAGAAGAAATCCGATGGATTTGTTGGCGGATGAGGCAGACAAACGAGATAGGGCGGATCCTTTGGCTCCAAGTTCCTCAGATGGTTCGTCTCTCTGCGATGGTGGCATCCAACCATCCCGCCTTTATCATTCTTTCTGCTGCTACAACTAAAATGTAGGTTCTGCACCTTCACCAGTCGACTGCCCCGTCCCACGTCTGAGAATGGCCGAGCTGCGCTGTCAGATTACTTGTTTCACTCGCACGTGCCGCTTGTTTTGCGCTTGCTCCTTTATTCTCATTGTCAAGTCTCAACGTTATCCATGCAATACCGGGGCAACTTGAGAGAATGTTCCTTGGACGACTGGGAGATATCTGAGCGTTTTCCTCCAAGAAAGCTGATATGTGTCGGTGGAATAGGATACATTGACAGGAAAATTGAGATCAGATTGGCCACATACAATATCCCCCTATTCAAGCTAATATCCCTGACGTATGCACACTTTGTTATCTACATTCTGCATGCTAACACTCACCGATTAGCCTCTATCCACCTCAGCACCATCTATACACAGAATATGTGCTAAATAAATACAAGGTGCCAACGCCAGATGTCACTTTGCGAACCCATCTCATCTTGCCTTCTACCCCATCCATGCATAACATTCGACTTCATAGTTTCATCTTTCGTGCTACATGTCCCATTCATTCAAAGGTGGAATGGATGTATGAGATTAGCATGTTCAGGCCTGAACATTCCATTGCTCTGGTTCGCTAGCCGCCTACATCTACACCCACGAAGTTTCACCTATTATAAGCTCCCTTCTCGGGGTCACGAGGTTAACAGAAGAAGAGGACTTGAAGCAGCCGAAAATTGCCTCGGTTAACTGGAATCCCACCATTTTGTTGATGAAGCAGACAAAAACGGTGAGGGAGCTGGATGATGTCGGCGCGGGGATCATCGTGTTTTGGAAGACTCTAAGCAGACTGAGTATGTGGCACGAGGCTATCTGGGATGTCATTAATCTGGCTTGGAATTTGCTGCTTCGTGCACATCCGGAAGGGGGAAGGAGAATAATGGAGGATTGGCTCAAGCCCTGTGAAATCAAATACGGCCTTGCGGTGGGCAGGGTTCAGTAGGACTGAAGTAGGTCCCCATATAAAGTAGTTATTGATCGTACCCGTATAACCAACTCATTAGCCCTCTCGCCCAGTGGACCGTGCTGTGTAATACTACCTACCTACCTACTTATTGCTTCACAGACGATCCGACTTCTTTATTAGCTCCTCCGGACGACCAGCACCTTCGGATTCTCTTACCTGAGCTGTAAAAGATACTTTTCCCTCAGCTTCTCATATAACATGCAAGAAAATCTCTATTGAACCAGCGAACAAGGCTATGATCAACCTCCAACAGGATATTATCCGCTAATCATTTGTACAATACTAGATCATACATAAATTAAGATATTATGAGAGCTTCACAGAGATATGTCATGTTTTAATGAAATTGACGAGATATGACACATTGAGCAGGTAATTTTCTGGTAACTAGCGAGTTAGAACGATCGCTGCCAGAGAGATCGGGATGAGTAAGGAAGGGGTATGCTATTGCTGGTTCCGATAGGGTCAAGTAGGGTACCATCGATATGCAGTGATGTAAGAATCGACGCAGCTCAGGGAGGTCGTGCGGTTTTGACCGGCTCGGGAGCGAGCTAGTGGAAGGACAAGAAGAGGTGGCGCTCGCAGCTTGAGATTCCGCCCTACGCAGTGCCAGACGGCAGGTTGCTTGCAGGAAAGTTGTCATATCAGGCCCTGAAGATCGATGATTAGCCTTTCTCCAAATAAAGATAAGGAGCATAACTTACAAGGCCCACGATCACCAATAATAGGTTCCTCTCCGCCAAACCAGTATTGGTTATCGACAACGGGCCCAATCCGATACTTGTCACCAGCAGGCTCCCTCCCTGAGGTACAACGGTCACCTCTGCAATTCGGCGCTAACGTTCTACTTGAAGAACAGGTTACCGATCTACGAAAATGGACGCTGGTGGATGTCGATATCGAAATGGATCGACTCGCGCATGACCACTGCGATATTCTCGTCAAAAGTATTCAGCCAACGAGTCTCCAACGGGGTGCCTTGTATGTATTCCACGAGGATGAAATCCGTCCCTACCGCGGCTTGAGCTTCCGGGGTCTTGCTCCAAGCAAGAACGCGTGGCGTGGGCTTGTCAAAGACCTCTCGAACATATTCCATAGTGGCTACCTCGCTGGCGGTGGACATGTGGACATTACCCACTAGTCCACAAGGAATCCGTGCGATGGCTTCTACCTCGTTATCAAAGCCGAAGAGAAAAATCTTATTGTAAGATCCTGTAGAAGATATCAGAGTTACGGAGATAGATATAACACGGGAAGGAGAACACTGAGCGAGATTTTCGATCTGAACGCAGCGTTGAGCACCAATCGCCGAACAAGCAATATTCTGGAGAACATTGACATCCAAATCCACACGCCGTCGGCTTCGTCCTAGAGAATAAATGAAAAACTTGAACGGGCAAGGAAAAAACAAACATACGAAGTGCATCGTTCCATAGCCAGCCACCCTCATGATCCAAATAACTTGAAACTGTGCGTTTGATGATTGATATCCGTCTAGCACAGTGCTTCAGAGGGAATAGGGCTGGGGAAGAAGAGCGAGACATGGTGGCATGAGTCAAGGTCTGATGCTGAATCGGATCGATCACCGTCCACCGTTATTTGACTGGCCGCCTGGGGAGAAAGGCCTCATCCGAACTACCAACCCTTTCCAACAACACCGTATATTCGTTGTCTTCATGTCTTCCGTGCAACCTAATCTGAGCGCCACGCAAAACTGGGATAACCTTCCCGAGTGAGTCGTATCTCTCGCTCTTCGAATCCACCATTCTAATCATTCAGGGATCTGTTCGCGGAGGACATCGAGGAATGGGAGTTGAATCTCATGGAAGAATATCCGAGCCTCTCCGCCGACTCCGAGATGAAGAAATGAGGGATATTGTGCGGAAGAGGATGGGAAGGACTCATCCGCCAGATTTGCGAAAAGCTCAAGGGAACCGACGTTGTCTTCACGGAAATCAAGGAGAAATATGGTGAGCTGAGAATATCCGTGGAAAATGGAGATGAGGAGATTTGGAAGTATTTGCTAGAGATGGAAGAGAAGGCGATGAAGGTATGCGAGGAATGCGGTGGACCGGGTAATCTGACTGATTCAGATGGGTGGTTGTTTACTATTTGTGAGGAATGTGCGAAGAGGGAAGCGCAGGAGTATACGGGGGTGGAAAATGTGCAGGAAGAGACAATGGACCTTGAGCTTGACAAGTTTTGCAGGACCGTCCTGAGGAGCAATTTCATTCCTACGCGTTCATGAGTACCAGAATTGTAGAGAATGTACCTATGATCTAGCCTGTATTCCTTCTCGTCCGTTCTCCATCGACGCCCTATTCACACAGATTGAAGACATATTTTGTCGCGGAGTGCTGGTACTGCGATGGAGGGAAGCTTGCTTCTACAACGCGTCAGCTTTGGCGTAGCATTGTATTACAGACTGGAGGAAGTATAGGCGACTTGTATAAGCTGGTTGTATGCGCTCAGAAATCACGAAGAAAAGCTTACTTCTCTGCTCACCGCAGGCCGTGTCAGTAGCCTAGCTGTATCGAGTTCTGAAGAGATTCATAGCGAATGAACTTGTATGCGCCGCGTCTGAATAATTCGCGTCGCTATACACATAGAGGATGATGATGGTACGAAGAAAAGAGGTGTCGGAATTTGCCGAACCTAACTTGCCTGCCACCGTATTCTGCTGCACGATAATATTGCCCATCTTTTAGCCGGTCGCCTATACCCAAGCCCTCTCAGCTCCATCTCTGCAGCCACCATTAATTTATGCACCCTTGAGCTGTACCGTTCCTCTTCGCTTCCCGAAGCTGACACTCGCTACATGCCAAATCACTTCCTTACCCTGAACTAAAGTACTCCGACCTCGTTGTGATGCTTCAAATTCCAGACCGGAAGCTCTCACATGTCATGTTCGCATACTTGACGCTTTTCGATGTGGATAACCCGCAGGGTCTCGTCGCCGGGAAGTGGGACATACTCAGTCCAGAGGGCACACCCAAAATACAGTCCATTGATTTGCATGCCGGCTCTTTTGCTGAAATTACGTGGCCTACGCGAAGCCATCATCTGTATGGGCCAGGAAGAAGAGGCCGATATGATTCGAAAGCTAGGAGATCTTGATACGTTGAACATCACACGTACAGGCGGCATTATTCCACCCTCGAATCTCATAATGTCATTAGTCCGCAAAATGGGAGTCAATCTCATCGATTTAAACGCATAAAATTGGTACGTTGATTCTAACTTGCATTATGGCGAAAGCCGTACTGATGAAATCATTCTCTCCGTCTTCGTGCATAACGACCATAATTTTGTTGACGGAAGACAGTATGCAGTACGCGTTTGGAATAGATGCGAGAGCGTTCTTGACCGATGAAGTAACTGAAATAGATTCTCATCGAGCTTGTCACAACAGTTGGATACGGTGAAACTAAGAGAAGATTTGGGGAAGTTGACGCCAGTCTTGAAAGGCGGGATGTGTTGAGAGTCCATGAAAAGGTCTGGTGACGACGGGTGTTTCTTCAAGGCGATTGGACTTGACCTACTACGGTCTGTACCTTCGTCTTCATATTACTCCGTTTGTTCTCTGCTCACTGTCTCGTCACATCAGGATGACTGGACTCCAGTTTGTGGATTTATTCGCTAGCTCTCTCCCGCTTGTTTCTTCCCGGTCGTTTCATGCTAGTCCTTTTCAAGGAAGTAAATACTTTCGACTGTGAGACCGAGCGCGAAATAAGCTTTGACAAAGCTGTTGTACGGCGTATGGCGATGGGCGCCGTGGATGACAATGAATTTGCGGCCAAAACTATCGTCGGTGAATACTCTCGGTCCAATCTGGATCCTAATCGAAGGTAAAAAATCACCTTTCCTTGCCTCCGTATTATCATTTAATAATGTCAGCTTCCGTAACCTCAGGACTACGGGTTCTGGAATTCAATGAAATCACGTAACTGGCAGGTACTTTAGTAACTACCACGGGCACAAGACCAACGGAATGACGATCTCTTGCCGCTGCAGAAATGAAACTCCCAGTCGGTCAAGTAGTAGCAACTGCTGTGGCCGAGCCCCCCCTTGGTATTCTACCGTCCTACTAATGTTTCATTAAAATTAGACTTGTATCATGTGAACTGTCTTCTTCCGGGTGCGACCAAAGCCAGTTGGGGATTTCGATGGTCGCAGTGCATATATATAACTATCTCTAAGATTGTGGTGTGTCCGTTGAATTTCTCACGGATGCTATTTTCCTTACCCTCCTCATATTATGTTCGAGCGCTCTTGGTGCTATATATGAGAGGTTCGAAGATCTTCCTACTCAGAATTTTGACTTCATTATCATCGGAGGTTAGTTCTTCCAGTGCATACTGCACCCAATACTCATTCTCTAACTTATAACATCTTATAACATTGAAATCCAGGAGGAGCTGCGGGGAATGTTCTTGCAAACCGTTTGACAGAGAATAGTCACGTCTCCGTGCTCGTACTTGAAGCTGGCGGATCGTCTGTCCTCCTCTATATGCTTCGGCTTTTAATGCTGACTCTTCTCTAGGACGGCTGATGTTCTCCTCTCTGAGGCTCCGTTCTTTTGCACTCGTATAACTCCTGGAACCCCCTGGGACTGGAACTTTACTACAGCTGAACAACCAGGATTGAATGGACGTTCTGTTCCATTTCCTAGAGGATTTGGACTAGGAGGGAGTAGCGCAGTCAGTACGTCCTTTTGATGGGGTTGCCTAGATCTTTTAATTGATGTATTCCCAGACTATATGTTCTACTCGCGTGGTTCATCTCAAGATTACGATCGTTATGCCCAGATCAGTGGCGACCCTGGTTGGGGATGGGAGGCACTGCAACCGTACATTCGAAAGGTTCAACTTTTGCCATCTATTATCATCTCTGTTGATAATGCTACGATAGAATGAACGCTTTGTCCCCCCTAGCGACCACCACAACACCACTGGTCAGTTCAATCCTGCGGTCCATGGCTTCGATGGCATCAATTTGGTGTCCCTTCCTGGAGTCCCGCGTGCTACGGATAGCCGCGTCATTCAAACTACGTCGGAGCTTCTGGACGATTATCCATTCAATTTGGATTACAATTCCGGATACCAATTAGGAATCGGTAAGAATTACTGAAGATCGTATGACTGACTCCGGCAGTATTGAACATCGACAGGATGGATTCAATACACAATTGGAAATGGGACTCGAAGCAGCTCGCAGACGTCCTATCTTGGACCCATGTATATCGGACGGCCAAATTTGCATATCCTGACCAATGCCTACGTCACTCGAATCCTACAGTCCAATACCCAAAACACCAAAGGCGAGCCGACATTTGACGCCGTCGAGTTCACCCAGGACACAGGAGGTGATAAAGTCTTCGATGTACTATCTTGAGGATACTTAGTCTGACTTGACCTCGTCGCTAGCAACTATACATACCCTGGCACCAGCTGGTCTCAAAGAACTCATTCTCTCTGCCGGATCCATGGGCACCCCGCGTATCCTCCTCCACTCTGGTATCGGCGACAAAACCGAGCTAAAAGCTATAGGGATCACACCGGCGCTCCATCTTCCTGACGTTGGAAAGAACTTGACAGACCATACCTTATGGACTATCAGCTTCTTCGTTAACGACACGGACACTATCGAGAACATCTATTTTAGAAATACGACTTTCCAAGCGGAGGCCCTAGCGGAGTGGCAAACGAACCGAGCTGGCTTTTATCGGCAGGAATATCGAATCAGGTAGGCTTCCTTCGCGTTCCTGAAGACGCTGGTATATTAGACGGAGATCCATGTGCGGGAAATGAGACTGCTCACTACGAGCTTATTTTCGTGGTACGAACAACTTGTTTCAATCAGGTTATGGCAATGCCGAATTTTTCCTAGAATGGCATCCTCTTGGACCCTCCTCCTACAGGAAACTTCTTTTCTATCACAATCATGGATATATGCCCTTTGTCGCGTGCGTTCACTTGTTGCTTTGTCTTTCTAATGTGTAGTAACACAGGTAAATGGCTGGTAACAGGCGGGAATATCATAGTTAACAGTACAAACCCTATGGATCCGCCACTGATCAATCCAAACTATTTCTCGCATGCTCAAGATCTTGCCATTATGCAATTTGCTGCTGAGAGTGCGAAGAAGTTTGTTACTGCTGTGGTATGGAACAACTACATACTCAGTGTCACTGCAAATACTACCGAAGATGATATCCGGAATGGCGCTAGCAGTGCATTCCATCCTGTGGGTACCGCAAGTATGTCACCCGCCGATGCCAATTGGGGCGTAGTAAACCCGGATTTAAAGTTGAAGGGCGTGAAGGGAGTGAGAATTGTAGATGCTTCAATTTTGGTAAGCTATTCCTCCCATGGGTACTATGCTCTTGCGAGCTCAATACCTCGTCTTCTTCTAGCCATTCGTACCCGCGGCTCATACTCAGGTTCCGGTATATCTAATCGCAGAGAGGGCCGCCGATTTAATCAAAGCAGATATATGATATTTGTTAGGAAACTTCGGTAAACGTTTCAATATATGAAATATCTCTGTTTGAATTTAAATAACAAGCTGACAACGTTAAACGGATACCTAGCTTGAGACGGTGGTTTCACCCATAGTGTCATGAACACTGCCAATTATTTCCACACAGACCTCTCGTCCATCTTTCAGACTTAATATTAGAAGAATAAGGTATATTTCTAACATCACTTTCTTTCTGTGAGAGGACTGATTTTCTTATAGATGTCCTCATTTGACTAGATACCTCAAAAACTAAACGACTACATCCTTGATTTCTTGGACAACGTCAGTTTCTGACCATCGCTGCTCATGTTCTGCTACATGACGTTCTTGCCCACTTTCACTAAAACCCTTTGCATGACTCTGGATGCGAGAAATGTGACACTATTCGATGATTACTGTCGAGTAACAAGAGCGACTCGAGGAGGCTACATAACATCGTTTGATGACCAGTTACCTTTGCTTGTCAAGGTCTCTTCAAGTCTACTACATGCGCTTTATGGCACACCAATGTTCTGTTAGAGGTTCCCCTTGTCCCGTGGTTTGATCTTCTCTGCCAAGATTTTGGATCGTCGCTTCATGTATACATTTAAGCGCGTCCGCAACACAAAGCAGAGAGCTCAGACCCCCATGGACCCCCTCCTCATTTTGCTTGCCGCATTCTCATGCTCAAGCGCTCTTGGTGCGATACACGAAAGGTTCGAGGACCTTCCGATCCAGGGGTTCAATTACATAATTGTGGGAGGTCAGTGTTGTTCACCACGTTAGGCTACTTGTTCGCTACTGTCATTGTCAAGGTGGAACCGCAGGGAACGTACTCGCGAATCGGTTGACAGAGGACCCGCACGTCTCCTTCCTTGTTCTCGGAGCTGGCACATCGTTTGTCTCCTTCTACATACCTTTTCCACGCTGTTACTAAACCTTTCATCCAGGACCGTCGATGTCATCCTCTCAGAGGTCCCTTTCTTTTGCTCTGACGTAGTTCCGGGAACGCCCTGGGACTGGAACTTCACCACGACGGAGCAACCGGGATTAAAAGGACGTTCCATTCGACTGCCTCGAGGATTTGGATTACGTGGAAGTAGTGCTGTTAGTATGTCATCTTATTATGTGTTTTCGTTGTGAATACAACAGCTGACTCGGACGTGTTACAAGATGGCATGGTTTATACGTGTGGTTCCTCTCAGGATTATGACCATCCTAGGTTAGCGGTGACGATACATGGGAATGGGATGCCTCGCAACCGTACTTTCGAAAGGTAAGTCGCCGGCCGTCTCCTGGCTACTACTTATCTTCCTACCTCACTATGACAGAACGAACGTTTCATAGGTTCAGTTGATAACCACAACACAACCGGTCAATTCGATCCTGCTGCCCATGACTTCGACGGTATCAACCCTGTATCTATGCCTGGATACCCACAGGGTACCGACAACCACGTCATCCAGACAACGGCCGAATTACCTGATGAATTCCCTTTCAATCTGGATTATAACTCCGGATATCATCTGGGCGTTGGTGAGGATTACTGGTACAAGTTTTTGGCTGAGACTGAGAATCGACAGGATGGACACCAGTCACCGTTGGAAACGGGACTCGAAGCAGCTCGCAGACGTCCTATCTTGCTCCTGAGTATGTGGAACGGCCGAATCTGCACGTTCTGATCCACACACATGTCACTCGGATCCTGCGGTCTAGGAAAGAGTATCATCTGTAACTGGCCTGCCATTTCTTCACAGCCCCATTTTTTTTAATTTGTGTTTTCGTACATGTTGTTATCATCTTGAAGGCGAGTCTCGGTCTGCTCCCTCTCTTTAATGTTGGCTGGAAGGTGGTTCGATGCTAGCTGTACGATATCGATAAGTCTGGATGACAACCTTATTGTTCCCTTCAAGTTTCCGGCTGATATTTCTTTACCTCTGCCGATGCATTTAGCTATTCGACCATCCATATGCTGTTATCTCCAAGGAACCTTACATCCACGCCGGACCAGAATGGCAATGCTGTTGGCAGTATTGCAGTGGGAGGCTTGCAGTAGGTATAATACTTAATTGTTAGCTACTAGAGCTCCTAATGAGCTCCTTATATACTACGGAAAGTATCTAGAATATTCTACCTAAAGTACTAAATATATCTAAGTATCGTGACTAAATGAGTAAGCCGAAGCTTTGGGAATCTTCTAGTACAAGCTTGAAGTTGTAAATCCCAACAGATGCAACTACGAGTCTATTTCTGAAGGAACAAACAATTTAACTGCAACGATCGTGAGATGATCGATGCGACGGCCCAAACCTTGAAGATTTTCTATCCCGATAGACTCATATATTCTAGAAGCATCTACGTTACCAATAATCCATGTGTCGAATCCATGAGGCACCTTGCAAAATTTGTCGCCGTCAAGAGGCGTGATCGACGGATTGGTCGAGAGAGATTTGCAATACCCAAGACTACCGTTTTTTTTTCGCCTTGCGAAACATGGCTGGAATTAGCGGTAAACAGAACCAGAAAGAAGCGAGATGGACGAATGAAGACCAGGACCACGCATCGCCATCGAGTCCTCTTCACGTCAATTCTCTCAAGTTACTCAGTCCCGGGCCCGGGGCCACATCCACTGACAGCGCTTGACTCCTTGTCGAAATTGAAGAATCAAGAAGGAAAAAAAAAAACTTGAATTCTTCAAAATGATCTTCCACCCACCCAGCCATGACACAGGATCCTAAAAAGTTGAACCTGAGGATCCCTGTGGCAGTGCAGATGCCGGCAATTATCCGGTTCAGGTAATCACGATTGGAGATCTTGGTGGCTGTGTAGGTGCCGGTAATGATCCGCTTCGTGTAATTGGGTATGACCGAACGCTTTTTGCATGCTGTCATTCTACTAAATACTTTTTCCGAGTTTTGGATTTCGGCCTCTCCGTTCGCTTCGCGTCCTTTTGGCCGGCGTATGCTCTCAAACGTGACACGCTCATGGCAGTACACCGCTGAAGAGGTCCTAATCGATACTGGCAGCCTGTACCGACATATTTGGCATTTGCTAGAGCGCGTAGCATGGGATCCTAGGATAGCTCGCGTCGTCATGTATGCCATTCCTGCAAACATGTGCTTGGGGCAACCTAAAGGCGCGTATTTTCTCCCTTTTTTCTTTGCCGGTCACTTATGTCCGTCATGCGTCTTGCCTCGACTGGTTTGCGACTGGTTTGCACTTCGTCATCCCTCCGCTCCTCTTACGGTTCCATTTTTGTGGCATACCTCATAGATATAATTTTCATACACGTGGATACGCCAATACTCAGACACTTTGAGGTTCTCCCTTTCATCGGCAATGGCCATAGATCCACGTCCTCGTCCAATCCTCGTCTTGTAAAGTGCACCTTGAAGCGAATTTATTGGTCTATTTATTGTCATGTGTACGGGAGTTCTGGATTAAATGTGCTTATTTCCTTTTACTACAGCTAATGAAATATGATATCTAGAATTGGCATAACCGTGGCAAACAGCTTATTCGACTTCAAACACTTCTTGCTGGAGTAATGAGCGCCACATCGTCCTTCTCTATCGATGTAATGCTACCTCCTGAATTCGCCCTCGGCAGGCGATGTAAGGGCTGTAAATACAAACTATTGCATGGCGAACGCAAATCAGGGCTTCCAGACGCGACACGAAGAAGTATCAAAGTCGGTGCGATGCCCTATCCTAAATCCTGAGTAGGTCTTCTCTTCTTAACAAAAAAAAATTCCTAACTCACGGTAACCGAAGCAAGAACCACCTGTGGATAATTGCTATACGGACTATTCGTCGCGATGAACGGAATGTACACTGCCAGTGCAACGACATATAATGCAGCAGATTCTACCATGATCTCCATGACTTTGTGGTACGGATCCGGCCCGAAACGTAGAGATTTCCCTGTTCTGCTCGCTCGGGTCAGCCGGAATACAATCAGAGCCGTACAGATAACCGTCGTTGAAAGCGTCATACTATAATATGCTATCCCCCAGTTGATGGAGTTACTCCCCCAGGGAGTCACAGGTTTTCCTTGTGGATTGGTCAACGGCGTCAACTCCTGGACGAGGAAGCAAATGTCGAATACTACGGACGATGAGAGACTACAAGCATCAAATGTAGGTAACTTACTTGTTCCACATAGCGAGCATATGGAAGGAAGGACGATGATCCTCCAGTTCCTTTGCCAGATAATCCAGCACCTCCAAATCTAAATCCGAATATCACTACAGCGCCTAAAGTATGGCGGGCGAGAGACGTTACAATGACACAATCCGCGATCAATATATTGATGCTCGCGACGACGCTACTGATGGTCGGGACCCATAACGGACCACCAGCAATCAGAGAGTCTATAAGGGCATAAAACCTTGTTTCCTCGGTCTCTCCTTTGGTGATGAACGCCCGCCTAGCATAGAACCACCTCACAGAGAGGTGCATCGTAGCCATGATGTACATGAACACCGAGATCCCAGCAAGGACCTTCGTTTGGCCCCTATGGGAAGTGCTACTCGACACTACAGTATGGTCCTTTCAGCTAGGATCTCGTAAAAAAGAAAGAGTCGATATGTACATATCCGCCATAATACGACAGCGAGCAAAGCCGTGTACATCCCTAGATCATGGTAAGTGCTTCAAGTTGGATAACTCTAGCTTGTGATACGACTCTGACCGTGTGTTAGGGACTCGATGATGACTCCGTTAAACCAGGAGTCAGACACCTGTGCAGCGAGTACTTCGATGGGAGCAAAGTCTGGTAGTAATTGCGACATAGCTTGTAGGCTATCTGTAGCTTGCAAAATTCAGGAAAAGAACAGTGGTTTGATAGTTCAAAAGAGAACCCGGACCTTATGAATAGGTGTCGAAGCGCTAGAACCTTTGTGAGACGACCATCATTTCTATACAATGATCTGACTTTTTGAGGTATAGGGATACTTTAATCGCCGAGGAGAACGGTCCGAGTCCTGTAGGATGAGTATCCATAAAGAGAGGGCTCATTGTTTCTATCCTGACTTGATCACTTGTCGTAGCAACAGCTAAAAACGGGGTGATATGATAGAAAGGAACCTGTCCTAACCCACCCGTGTCCCAGGCATCGCGCTTCGATCGAGTCTCTGTGTCCAGAAAGATTGGCGATACGGGCCTATTGAAGGATGGACGATGTGTATGCCTGTGCCTGTTTCGCTGTATATCTCTGACCCACAAGATCAGCAACAGATAAGTAAGAGGACAGACATAAATTTGGATGATGATCCATTGTAAGTTGCTAAGATTCGTCATACTCTTAGGGTAATTCCGCAAATATGCCAAGGTCGGAAAGATAACTAGCACCTATCCAACTCAGTTCACCCTATCTTATTCATGCTCAAACAAATAAGAGTGAAGGCCGTCAATGGATACCAAGACATGCCATCCGAGGAGTATAAAGAAGGTCTCAAGTGGACCAAAAATCACAACAATTCGCACCCGGAAACAGAAGTATTCCTGAAAGATGAACTTCTTCACCGTTTTTATGATTATCGCTTGCTCAACCGTGGGTATCTAGTCAATGTATTTGACTTGACAAGACACTGACTATTGACAGACATATTGTGCCGGGGTACCGGTTCCTGAACCGTGCAGTACCAAAGTATGCATGAGTTGGATCCCCGCAGAACCAATCCCGTTGAACCCAGCCCCAGAGAAACATACAAGTAGTCACAATAATAGCGGTGCCAGAGAGCGCGTATAGGTCAAAGTCACAGAAATGGCACTGATTGGAATGGGAGTTTTGATTGGGCACCCATAATAATATTTTGATCTTTCGTTGATGTTATCGCGTCGCCTGCTAGGAAGTATGGATTTTATACGGCCGCGAAAAACTGATGCACGATAAGCATGGTACTGGTAGGTATGCATAAGCAGTGTGGTTATTTCACCACTTCCTGCATTTCACCCAACACCGTATCATCTCACTCCTGCATTCCTGGAGAATGCATTTTCACTGCTTTCAAGTTGTCTCCCAATGCGCAATTATCCTCATATACCGATATTATAAGCACCCTTATTATCGTTAATAACACGAGGAATTGATGTGAAATGGGCCATCGGCACCCAGAGCGGCGCGGAGGGACATGATGCTTCCTTGTTCGCGAGTTTTGAGCATTAATTGAAGATGGTATGGATTCCATTAAGAGCAATCACGATGCCACCGTTCGTCATATCCGCCTACAGGGACTACTATAGTAGTAGCTTGCTGCACACGAGATGATCAATTCCACCACGTAGGACGGCCAACGTTTGTCTTTGTATGCCAAGTGCAGGATTCGTCATATGAAGGAACGCAATCAGTGTGTGAAGGAGCTGATATTCTCGTAGATGTCCTCTTTCGGCTGACTACCTCAAGAACTAATGGATTCTTGACAAGCCGGGCCGGAGAATTGAGTACGAGTCTGTATACATTACAGAGAGACAAACACCATGAGGTATAAATTTTATATAAAGGAGAGCAACAGCGTATACGACCAAAAGAAAATCAAGAGACGAGTCCATGGATGGAAAGGCGCTGCTCTACTGTAGAAGATCTAGAGAAAGGACAACGGGAATGTATGTACGGAGTAAAAGTTCGAAACTGAAACTAGAGATGGAGAACAGAAGAATCGTGAATATCCACAGGCCGAAACTTTCTGTGAAGCTGGGCGCCTCACGTTGAACGGCGACTACGGCAATAGGTATAGGTGCCTCGGGCGAATACGAGGGAGTCAAGTCAACCAACGGCGCTGGAGACTCTTGATTCGACTCGGGTATCGTTGGACCCAGCACTGACTCCGGCAGCACAAGCGACGACACCTCAGATCCAGATCCAGACCCCCCACTCGACTCACGCTTGAACAAAACCGACTCTGCCCCCCTATAAGATGCTCCACTCGACTCTGGCAACACACTCGATTCGGACTCCTCCTCCCCATACACACTCCCGCTTCTGCTCGGGAACGACTCGGACGGGTACCGCGAGTAATCCGTACGCGGGTGGAAGGACATGACATCCCCGAGCTGCTCGATGGTCATTACTTCTTCTTCCTCTTCTTCGTCGGTGTGGGATCCGGCACGGCGGAGTCTGGACTGGTAGCGCCTCTTGACTCTGGCTATCGATTGTGCGGAGCGTTTGACGAGGCGGATCATGGCGGGACGGGAAAAGCGAGGAGAGCTGTCTGTGGTGCTGGTGCTGGTTGACAGGGTGCTCTGGCGCTTTGAGCCTGCCGGACGCATCTTGAGCGTGGGGTATGGCAGAGAGAAGTTGATAGCGGTGAGGCGGATGGTGGGGACGGGGAGGGAGATCATCTTGGCTGTAGTGAGTGGGGTGATGAGTAGGATGATGAGATGGGTTGTGAGGGGATTTGCTTCCGGCTATATAGACCTGTCACAGGGGCGTCGATCACGATCCGATCTCGAGTTCGTGGATCTCTTAGACTCGCGTGGAGAACGGTAAAACGGGTCTGAGATTTATTTCGTGTCGTGGAAGATGGAAATTTATGAATGCGATCTGGAATAGAAGCTTGTGTTGGAACTGTGATATTTCATGCGCCATGCTCCCTCTTCAACGTCTCACATATTTACAAACGTGTATCCGCAGCTTCCAATGAATTATCGAAATGTTTTTATCACAAGGAAGCTGGGAAAGAACGATGCACTCCGAATGTTTTTCTTGCAACGTCAATGTTAGTTATTTATAACGCTTGGCACCTAAAGATAGAATGTCGACGCCCTTCCGAGATAAGTATCATCGTCCGCGCAAAACTGTCTGTCCGATCAAGTTTTCCTCTCGCTACAATAAATTAACCATGAATTTCGTACAAGAACTCTTTCTCAGGATTGACAACGGAGCTGAAGCAATTTCACGGATACCCGAGTCGTGCACAGGTCCGCAGGCAGCGAAGTCACCACCCATGGAGTATGTCTGACAGTGAGAATTCGCGTCTTGGGGACCCCTAAACCAAGAACCTCCGTGGAATCAGATTTTATTCCATGGAACTTTCTCGTTGGCTGTGGGAGCCTTCCTGAAAGACCTGGCATGGGCGATTCTCGGTAGCCTAACGCAGACAAAGAACATTATAGTAATACCGTAGCGCCCTTTCAGCATGTCCGGATATTCCTCCTCGACCCCGGATCAAGCGGAACCAACTGTCCTACTCTTTGTCCCCCTCCCCACGCCGAGATCTCCAATACCTGCGCCATCTTGTTCGAGACCTTGACATGCACGGAAGATATCACACGCGACGAAGAGAGATATCCCCCCTTTTAGAGACGTCTGTATGCGGGTAGAGGGCGGTTAATTATGAGGAGAATTGCGGCTTGAAGGTCATTACCGTTATACATAGAGTGAAAGGAGAGCGATATAATAACGTCGAGTCGTCAGGAAACGGACCGTCTTCTCACGCTGACACCCAACCCGACCCAGCCAACGCCCGCCTCGTTCGTATGTGCAACGGGAATGTCGAATGATAGAAGGACCACCCTTCGCACATCGCGGTGCGTATCTCCAGGAAGAGTACGAGATTCAGGATCCGAGTCTGCGGGTCAATGCCGCCCCAGCTCGCATTTTCTCTCTGAGTCAGAATCCATGGCAAGATCGGCCGAACAACGCCGCAGAAAGCGTGATAGTAACAGAGGGTCACATGTAAACAGTGACAAGCGGCGACTGTGCCACCCCGAAATTCTGACTTAAACGGAAATTTCGAAGCGCTGGGCCGTGAGTTTCTTCCAAAATAGAAATTTTTATGACATCGGACTTCGGGTTAAACTCAAAACTCGGCTACCACGATTCCTCCATAAGACCTACTAACGTAGCAGGAATTCTACTTTTTCTTTCAACATGACTCCACCACGAATGGCACCTGGTCAGTGAGGAGGATCTCCGTATCCTGCTGGGGGAGGTACTCCTCAGCAGCATGGAGGTCCCCCTCGGGGGCGAGGTGGCGAGCGAGGCGGAGGCAGAGGAGTTGCTGGGCCACAAGGCGGTCCCAGTGTCTCCATTCCCTGTAAGTTTGGTGATGCTTATATAGAAAATGTGATGCTTGTGGTTCATTTTCTAATCGTTTGATTCTTTAAGCTGCTGTACAAGCTGTTGGTGTACGTCGTCCTGGATTTGGGACTGCAGGCAGGCAGATTACTGTTGCCGTGAATGCTTGTGAAATGAATATACCCGACATTATGGTTTATCACTATGACGGTAAGATACCTTTCTTCTGGTCGTCTCGATGGCTTACGCGTTTTTAGTCGGTTGGTGTCTTAAAGATCTGATGTCAAATGCGTGGAATGACCCTTGATTTCTCTAGCAATGGAAAAGTCGCTTCGGGCAGCGTTCAACATGCAGCTGATTGTGGCGTTGCAGAACCAGTACCCCGACGTCTTTATCAAGAAAGTCGTTTATGATGGCAAGAAGAATCTGTATACGAGCTATAGGCTGGATTTTGGTGCTGAGCATCACCGCCAGGTGCGTTCCTTCATCCGAAGTATCTTTTGATTCATCTCAATGCACGCAGTTCAATGTGACTTGGACCGAAGGAACTCGAATATCGAATTTTAAGATTACTATCACCGAAGCGAGGGAAATAAACATGGAGTAATTCTCATTCATCCTCATAGCACAAGATAAGAACTGACTGCCTACAGAGTGCTTCGCAGGTACACGGACGCCCAGCAGTCCTGGGACGAGAATGTTTCTACTGCTCTCACAGTACGTGTCATCATTTCGTAGACTGCCTGACGTGACCTGAGAACTTTCCAGGCCCTGAACATCGTGCTACGCATGGAACCGTCGCTCAACCATCCTTTCCGAGACCGGTGGTTCTACAGCGACAAAGTCAAGGCACCTCTAGTCAATATGCCACTGGAAGTTTGGCAAGGTTTTTTCCAGTCTGTTCGGCCTGCTTTGGGCCGTCTGCTTGTCACCGTCGATATCTCTGCCGGCGTCATGTTCAAACCGGGTTCCCTGGTTGAGACGTGCGTCGAATTCTTCGCCGGAAATCGCAGAGACAATCCGGACAGGTATCTACGAGCATCCGGGCCGCAGGCAATGCTCCCATTGCAACGACGCCGCCTCCAAAACTTTCTCTTTGGTGTCAAGGTTGAGGCTGAGTCTGCGGCTGGGGGAAAGAAGCTTATCACCATTCACAAGCTCACGGAACGAGATGCCACGTCCATAATTTTCACTCCGACCGGCGGTAAGCAGACGACCATAGCGCAATACTTCGCCCAAGCCAACCAGAGGCAGTCTTCCCAATATTATCTGCATGCAGGTATGATCTTTGTTCTTGTAGTCGGAAAAAGTGTCGATTGCTTGTTAGACTGCAAAGGGTGCTGTGATTCCCCTCGAGCGATGTTACATCGTACTCGGTCAACTCTCTCGGGCTGCACTCTCCCCGGATGCTACGCGGGAAATGGTGGAATTTGCGACAAAGAAACCTGATCAGCAATTAAATGTAATCAAGGCTGGCATCCAGGTACGATTTTCGTTCTATTAGATGCTCTTTGCTCATTATCTCTCCTTTAGGTTCTTGCTTATGACCAATCCCAATATGTCAGAGACTTTGGACTAAACATCAAGACCAATTCTCTACCCATGGAGGCCCCTGCTCGGGTACTCAACCCGCCAAACCTGAAATACGGAACGGGATCAAAGCAACCGACTATTGTAAGTACCCTATTCGTTAGGGTGCACAGTTTTTGTTAAATCGCTACCTATTAGCGACCAAGGGAGGGAGCGTGGAACCTGTAAGTGCTAATCTCGGAACCGAAATTCCACGACCTGACTCCGCCCTAGGATTGATAAGAAAATTTTCAAGCCTATGTCCCTTGGCCACTGGATGGTCGTGATATTCATGCAGCCGAACCGTTTCAGTCCAGATGACGCGAACACGACAATAAAAGGTCTGGTTCAAGGGTGCGAAGCTGTTGGTGAGCCATTCCCTCCACCGTTGAATGTCTTCAGGTTCTGATTAGTCCTTCCAGGTATGCCGGTGCCAGACAAGCAGCCGTTGTTTGTCTATAGGAATCCCCAGAGCAATATGACCAGGTTTGTGAATATCTATTGGACTTTTGACGCAACGCTAAATTACAATGGCTTTTGATAAGGCTATTGTTGGTGCAGTAAAGCAAAACCGAGATGAGCGCAAGGCGATTCCCACATTCATTGTGTGTATTCTCCCTGACGGGAGTAACACGGGTTTGTATAATGCAATTAAACAGTATGTGCAGTTATTGCTTCTAGGCCCCGAAGTATTATTAACGAGCCATACTATCTTTAGCTGCGGTGATATAAAGGTTGGCAAACCATAATATTTCTTCGCCTGTTACTCTTCCTCATCATCTTTCTTTGTCTACAGCGAGGCGTTGCCAATCAGTGTCTGTGTGTCGGCAGATGTAGAAATGCCAGACCACCATACTGGGCAAACGTAGCCCTGAAGTAAGTTGTACTTGTTTGTCTTCAATCACCGAACGAGGAAACTGAGCGAAATCCATCTAGGATTAACGCCAAGTTAGGCGGCATCAATGTTATCCCAGACCCTAAGTCGGCGCCTATCATTTCTGATCCTAGGCAACCGACGCTTGTTATGGGTAAGCAAGCCAGTTTCAGGATACTTGATAATGTAACTGACAGTTGGTATAGGCGCCAACGTCATGCACCCAACTCCGGGGAGCCAATTGCCAGGCTCGTACGCTGCGGTAGTAGGGAACATCGATTCCGACGGTGCTCGATATATAGCCAAGACCACGCTCCAGCTGGGGAGGAAGAAGACGATCGATGATCTGCGCTCGATGGCGAAGGTTTGCCTGTTTCATATGTGCTTGTTATCGGTGGTTTATTGAATGTGATGTGTAGGATATTCTCACGTCGTATATGAGCTATAGAGCCAATGTCGAGAAGGTTACGACGCCACCCAAAAGGCTGATCTTTTTCAGAGGTAAGTCATCGAGTAACTGTTTTCTTCGATGATACTGCTGACGTGCAACTGTAGATGGCATATCCGAGGGCGAATTTAAGCGTCTTTTGGACTTGGGTGAGTCATAGCATTGTTGGTATATGAATCCTTACTTACGTCTTTCGGCAGAACTTCCCGAGCTTCAAGGTACCCCCGTTCTTGTCTTCACTGCGTTCTTCGTTCTGACATCTGATAATAACTTTAGCTGCATGCGCCGACGCTAAAATCTCTCCGCCTCCCAAAATTACGTTCATTGCTGTTGGGAAATGTCACCATACCAAGTCTGCTCGCTTCTCTTCACTATTTAGCCACAATCACTGATACAGTTTTTCTATCAGGTTGACCCCAAAGGATGGCAAGGAGAGAGATCCGAAAAGCGGTAACCTTCCTGCTGGTACTGTTGTCGATCAAGCAATCACCAATCCTATCGAGTTCGACTTCTTTTTGCTAAGCCATGCAGGCCTTATTGGTACGAGCAAGGGTTCGCATTACTCTGTACGTTAGCTTTTTAATTATGTTCGCCGCTTGGCTGACAGCTTTGTTATGTCTAGATTGTGCATGATGTGAGTCGCTCGCTCGTCCTGATTTGCGCTGATATTGACCGTCTCTTTCACCAATAGGACTTCGGGTTTGAGTGTGTCTTCCGCTTCTTCATTGCACACTCTGTCAAACCCATGTTCCCTACAGTCCGAATACGATCCAAACTCTGGCTTATACCCTCTGTTTTACCTACGCTAGAGCGACACGTTCAGTGTCTATTCCTACACCTGTCTACTGTGCGTCCTTTCTTTTCCCCGTAGTCTCCTTTGCCTAATATATTCGACAGATGCGCACATTGTTTGTAAGCGGGCGAAGACACACTATGACCACCAGGGTGCTTCGTCGTCGGTCATGTCAGGGGGTTCGCAAACCCGAGAAGAGACGCTTGCCCAGCACCAAGGACAATATCAGGGGGTGCATGACGTTCAGGCGAGGCGTATGTATTTCATGGTGAGTAATACTTTGTTATAAATGGATTATCGATGATACTGACTGTATTTTTCGCAGTGATCTTCAACTCCTGTCATTATTCCTGGTGTCTTTGTCGTCATGACTTTTATTGTGCAAATACTTCTCACTGATCATGTCTGTGTATGCTCGTTTTGTCGTTGTTCCGCATGCTGTCCTTATGTTCTGCTATGAAATGAAATGTTGCTGTTTGACTTTGTACACAAAGGTGAAACGAGGTAAGTGAGGCAAGGACACTTTTTCGGTATATTACAACTCGCGATGATGACAACTCGGAAGACGCTGGTTTGCAAGCAAAAATTCTAATCGATACGCAAGTCTCCCGACACAAACGAACAAATGTGCCGCACCATAGACATCTTGAACATGAACGCGAGGAGTTTCGCCGTCAGGCACGATATTGAATGCCCTTTACTCTCCCGCAACACAAACTCTTCCAAGTTAGGCGTATTCTCCAGCAGCGCAATGACTGCAGCATCATCAAACGTCGTGTTATCCACCAACGTCAGCCGATTCAGCCCCCGAATGAATGGCGAGACAACGGACGGCAGGATCTTGGTACAGTGCGTGATGACTTCATTAACAAACGTTTTGGAATTGTCTCGAAGCAGCGAAATGAGAAAGAAAACAGTGCCGTTATGTGGTGACAATGCGAACTCGAATATCTAACAGAGCAGAGGTAAGTTCACGTGTTATCACTGCCCCTCCGTTTGCGGTGCATGCTGTGGTTACTTTGTATACTTGTCACTCATGATGTCGAATAGATCTTCTAAACAAAACCACTCCGTGTATGTATGAATTGTTCATGCATATGTGCTTTAAGAGTCTTCACCAAGCCCAGCAGGACTTGGACATGCCACGCCCTGCGATGGCCCACCGCTTCATAGACATCCGTTGCTTTCGAGACCTCGACTACGATGTACAGTCCAATAGGTGTGTCCATGTCGAGTCTGAAGACCCAAGAAAAGTGCCATAGAGAGAATGGTGCAGAAAGGTGGAGAGCAAAGGTATTTATCCTTTCTCCGGAGAGGGCGGTTTCCGTTAGCATAGCTGCTGACGTCGAGACAGATTTTGGAAGCCGCGCTGATCGACCGGTCATTTACGTAAAAATTCAAAACGGTATGAGAAAAAATACGGTGCAACTGCTGCGATAGGGAGCAAGGAAAGAGGAAGAGGCGCCAGAAAAAAAGCATCGAGATGGAGTATGCGAGCATTTGTGATGTCAATAGCCATCAACAACCTATCATAAATTCCCATGGTCTTTAGGTAACCATCGATTTGGTATAAAGTAGGGTTCGGCTAATCCCGGCACTTCTGTTCATCGTTCATTGTATCACTGTCGTTCTCAACGCGGAAGCGGCACCTTGAAGTCGAAAAAGCAGCACGACGTACATCTTCTTGAACAAGGCGAGGATGGAACGGGGCGTTGTAACGGATGAGGAGAGCATAACCTAGGACTCAAAAACCGTCAAGCTCAAGATTCATCCACCTCTCCCACGGTCTGCTCCCTCTGCACATCTTCCAGCCACCTGAATTCCCTCCCTCTCTTCCTCGCACACTCCTCACACGTAGCGAAATACCACCCACTCGAATCCGCCAAACGACCCTCCGCCCCACACGTCTCGCACACCTTCCCCGACTTCTCCTCCATCTCCCATAAATACCTCCTCATCTCCTCATCTCCACTATCCACATATATCCTCAACTTTCCGAACTTCTCCTTGATTTGTGTGAACACGACACCAGAGCCCCTTCTTTTCAGCTCCTCGCAGACCTGGCGAACGAGTCCTTCCCATCCTCTACCGCACGTCAATGCCCATCTCTGCATCTCAGAGTCGGTGAAGAGGCTCGGGTACTCTGCCATAAGAGCGGGTTTGCCACTCGGGGATTTTAGATTTATGCATGAAGGGGTCCCTGGGTGATTTTATAGAGTGGGTGGGAGGTGTGGGGCGTGGAACTCACTCGGGAACGTCAACCTGGGACAAGTCCTGCGGGGTGCTTGGGTTAGGCTCCATCGAAGAAGAGAACAACGAGTAATATCGGAAAGGAGATGATAGGTATCGTGGCTGTACGCGGCGATGCGCCTATTTTGCTCTTCTTGCTCGCCGCACGACCTCCCCCGAGTGCTGACAGTCCACCGTCTTGTATCCAGCCTCTGCGTTCACCATAAATTGTACGTGAATGAGAAGCGCTGAGAGGGATGTGGCACCTTGGGTGGAATGTGCGCGTTCCATCGATGTGACTTGAAGCGCGTCGAGGTTGGGATCAAATGTCATTCCACTATACACGTCCATCTCCCCTCTGATGGACGTTTCTTCTCTTTATTCAACAACATCACTCAGTTCAATGACTCCACCAAGGTGTGCCTTTTTATCCAGTATGTGTTACTCGCATCGGTGGTCCGTCCAATCTAGTTCTAGGTTATGGAAGTAAAGGAAGACGGCAGGAGGTGGAGGGTGACCCGCTCAATCACTGAGCATTGCCTAATCCACCAGTCGAGGTGGTGTTGGTCAATGGACTGCACTATATACTCCGAAACACATCGCGGGAAATCAGTGCGGTATAACAACGTCCTTACGTTACATACTCTGGGAACGTAACTATGTCAAATAAAAAAAAGCCTTTGACGAGGGAGCACGGCTGGTTATCTGAAGACTTGCCTGGCTCCGGGGTTTCGAACTTGCCAAAGAACCAAAGCGTCTCTTATCTCTGTTTCAAGGGCATCACTTCTTGCACATACAGCGCTGAGCCTCTTAGCAGGTATCAACAACGTCACTTCTATGTATGAGGACAAATTGAAATAGAAAACAGACCGAAGTAAGTGACTGGCGAAGAAAAAAGGGCGCAAGTGAGCACCACCACGTGAACTATCCACAGTGACATACCTGCAGCTTGAATTATTAACATCCGACTGTGGAACTTGAAGAATGTGCGGAGGGAGGAGACCACCTAACGGCCCGGACTATTAGTACCCAGTTTAGCAGTTGCATAAACATTTCAAACTGAGTCTGAAATTTGATCAGTCCCCACAGACTGGAGTTATCGATCGATTGTAACGATCCAAAAGCACGAGTGGCCAGCAGACAATAATCTAACTACAGTCTCTACTAAAAAAACCTACTTTGACTACCATTCGCCCATCTAGCAAGCCTGATACCCTACGCACCCCGTCATACCACATAAGTTCTCCCTATGCCACCAGATATTATCACCTACCGTTTTCGTGGAAATTTGGTCTACGTGAAACCTGAGCTAGATTACAAGGTACATTTGACTTGTCACTTACCACTTTGAGCTAACTTTATCGAATTAGGTCGCTCTAAACCTTGCTCGAAGCGAATTCGTTGAGCTTCATGGGGTTTCTCAGCACCAAATAGTGTTCATTACATACGCCAGCGTTGCTGGTCAGCGTACATCTGTACGAATTTCCGCCAGCGCATGGGCCTCTACGGTATCAGCGATGCTTCGTGGAGAAATCGTAGATATTGAGATTATGGGGAACCCTGATATCTTCCTTATCGCGCGCCGATTTCACCAGTATTTGAAGGCCATCGCATGCATGTAGCACTGGGTCTGGGTCCTATTTCTGTAGTCTGTTGGGTATGTTGCGGACTGAGATCGCTGGCGATCGTACGAATTCTTTACAGAGGGTGGCGCAGTTAGAATTCGGCAAAGGGATATCCGCTATCTTATATAATAGCATAAAATCAGCGGACTCTGAAATCTACGGCTTCTCCCATGCCGCCTTTGTCACAAGGAGTAGACGACGACGAATATGTTCTATGTCTCCTCAAGGCTGTTTTCAATCTCAAATACGAGATGACAATGGTGTATGTTTGGGTGAATATTTTGGAATTGAATCCTCAGCTAAATCCAGCTCTAAATACATGTAAAAAAAACCGCTGCCGGATTTACCGCACCAGATTTGTAAGCCAAACAGGATCCCGATCAAAACATGCCAAAGTACTTAAAATGCCGATCCAAGCAAGAAATGCCTGTACGAGACAGACATAAGTGACCGGTGAAGCAAAAAGGGAGAAAATACGTGCCTTAGGTTGCTCCAAGCACATGTTCGCAAGAATGGCATACATGACAACACGAGCTATCCTAGGATCCCATGCTACATGCTCTAGCAAATATGTCGGTAAAGGCTGTATCGATTGGGACCTCTTCAGCGATGTAGTATTGCCATGGGCGTGTCACGTTTGAGAGCATACGCCATCCAAAAGGACGGGAAGCGAACGGAGGAGCAGAAATCCAAGACTCGGAAAAGTATTTAGTAGAGTGATAGCATGCAAAATTGATGCAAAAAACATTTGGTCATACAAAACTACATGAATGATGAAACGGATAATTACCGGCATCTACACTGCCACAAAGATCCTCAGGTTCAGCTGGCAAGATATAGCTCAATTTTTAGTAGGATCCTGTGTGCACAGGACGCAGGATTTTATGGCTGGGTGGATGGAAGATTATTTTGGGTTTTTTTTTTTTTTCGTGATTTTGAATTTTCGACATGGGGATTCAAGCGCTGGGTGCGGCCCGGAAGTAAGACTCGACGGCGGTACTATGTGAACTTGATCTTCATTGGTCCATCACCTTTTTCTCTAGCTTTTTTCACCTCTGATCCATATGTTACGCTTCAAGGAGCCTTGGGAACCGCCAATAAATCTCGATCAACTATTGACAGTGACAAATTGTGCAATGTGCTTCGTTTAATTTTTGCGGAATTGACACATGGGTTATTGGGTAGACATTTCTAAGATATAGCAGGAAGAAATGTGTCTATCCAAGGTTCCATCGCGTCTGGGCGGTCTCATGATCGTTATGGTTGTATAGTTTGTTCCCTCAGAAATAGACTCGTAGCTGTACCACCATTTTGGTCTGGCACGGATGTAAGGTTCCTTGGCGATAACAGCATAAGGATGTCCGAATAGCTAAACGCATCTGCGGAGGCAAATAAATCAGCCAGAAAGGGAACAATCACGTCGCCATCAGGACCTGCCAGTCTTACAGCTCGCATCCAACTGCCTTCCCGTGAAGAATAAAGAGAGGATGCCGACTGAGACTCGCCTTCGAGGTGACAGCAACATGGACGAAAACACGAATAAAAAAATAGAGGCTGTGAAAGAAATGCCAGGCCTGTGACAGATGAGCTTGACTCCCTGTAACTGCACAGCCGCAGCTGTATATAAGGTCTACCCTTACGTCAAATTCCGGTGCTGCCATAATATTATGGCCAGCAATGAGAGGAAGGAAGGAAGGAAAGAAGGGAAGCATTATTACCCAAAGTAGGAGGCATGCCATGAGAAAAAAATGAACTGAGTGTAAAAAACTGCATGGCTTGGCGGAGGTTACAACTTGCAAATGAAGTTCTGGCTGTGTGGTTGCTTGGCTGCTCTGAGTACGAACTTGTGAGCTGGGGTTGGATGGCATGCTGGAGATAAATAATGTCAGTGGCCAGTCGTGTCCCCATCTCAAGGTAAATGCAGACTCGTGGAGGTGAATATTCCGGCTGTGTCTGATGAGTGAGTGAAAGCCAGACACTTGGAGGAGGCTATACTTCTGCACCTTAACTAATCAGTGTCCTTGAGAAAGCTTTCATGTAGACCAACAACTTGACTTGCGCCAAGCCCGTTGCATCTGCATGTCTTCCTTGAGGCCGTGCCCTCTGGAAAATCGTATAAAGCCATCGACGTGAAGCTCTGAGGGAACCAAGTATACATTCATCGGAAATGCCTCATTGGTCGCAGCATGCTGAGATACGTATAGGTTGGTTCGCTTACTCATGGCGTTGCTGAAGTTTTTCCCCTTTTTGTCAGGATTCTTTCCGCCTTCCGGAAGGCTTTCGAAGAATTGGGTACGACGCAGACACGATGCGGTATACATTTACGGACAAACATGAGAAGTTGTATCGGAGTGCGCCTGGCGAGGAATACGGTATGCTGATGCCGGTTGGATTTTCTGCTTCGGCGGATAGGCCTGGAGCTTTTTCAGGTGTGCTGGCTTTGTTCTTTTTTTCTCTTCCATATTGAATGTACGTCCTCACAGACAGAGAACCTCCCAAAGTCGACTCATCTAGGCCCACTCCGAGTCAGAAGTTAACATTCAGTGACTTCCTCCCTCCATCCGCTATGACATCCCTGGACCAGAACCTGCCAGCACCCCCACCAAAGGCACACTTCAACGGTGCGATGCGAACTGCTCTTTCAAAAATGCAGGGTGTCATACAGAACCTCCGTCGTTCCCTCACTTCCGCAGACCATGCTTCCCCTCCTGGTGGCAAGACTTCGACCTCGAATACGGCCAGCCATGTTGCCAAATTGAAGGGTTCTAAATGCAAGGCTTAGAGGCTCGCTAGTCGAGCAGTTTATTTCCTTCTCAGATGTACAGGTATTTGGTTCTTGGGAAGTATGGTGAAGAGGGATAGGGTCTTGTATTTCAAGTATTGCTGGTTCGATTGAAGTATTTCCAACGATCCTCACATTCGTCCTACCACGTCTGGAAACGAGTTCACTGGTCATTGTCCTATCAGGTAGCAGTTATATGGTGAATGAATTCATCGAATAACTAAAACCACAATACATTACACTTTGAACCCCCCAGTCAACCGCATAACACCCTTAGGATTGACCCTTTTCCTCGTAGCCTCCATCCTCCTTAATCCTCCCTCACCATACATATCCACCAACGGCGTATCCTCCATAGTGTAATTCAGATACCTTGGCAGGCCCAGTATCCCGAGCTTCTGCATTGTATTCCTCGCGACATCACAAAACATGCCGTCTTTGCTCTCCAATGCCCAATGTAACATGATGTTGGTAGGAAGGACTAGGTGCTTCTGTGAGCCCAGGTAGGCAGAGGAATCATCAGGAGCATGACTGAAGAGATCAGGAAGGAAAGGTTCGAGAGCATATGAGATGGAGCTGGAAGGGTCATGTGCAAATAGGGTGGGACCCCAGAACTATTAAAAAGAAACGAAGAAGGTTGAGTATAGGATGAATAAATCAAGATGTAATATTACCCCAAGGTTGTCAATGACACATTCAATTGTAGATTCAGAATAGTTGGACATGGGAATGTGGTTATAGATGGCCCTATTTGGTGTATCAGCACCGTTAGGCAGAAAGTTAAAGGCTTCCACGGACCGTGATCCCAAACTCGACATTACTGACTGTTGTGTGGACTTGATTAGGTCGACAAAAGATCGTTCCTTGACGTCCAGGCGGAGGTTTGCCATGTTCAAGAAGTCATCAAAGATGTCACGAGGAGGGGCGGGTCCATCATACATCATGATCGTTGCAAGAACTATCTACTGATAACACCGTTCAGCGCCGTTCAGTGACCCAAACATCATGACCCTACCTGTTGTGCAGTGTACCCAAAAAGAATGAGCATCGCAGCTTTGGGTGTAACCCGGATGCCGGTTACATCGGCTATTCCCGATGTGACATAGATACGAGGGATTGCCATGTCACGTCTCTTTAGTTTTACCACCACCATCTGTACCGTCGTCTCACGAATACCGAGCTGGTTCCTTGCACATCTGTGTGAACGAGTTCTTCAGTGTAGCTCCATGGCTACGAGCTTCCATTGGGATCAGTAACATCGGAAGAGAATCTGGCTGCCGCTGCAATGAAAGTGGATATCACGGTGGGGGGGTACACGGTGGTTCCACCCTGCAGAAATAGTTTAATCATACACAACGATATCAAAACTTGGGGAGCGCACGGACCCAAATGTTACCCTGCGGGAACGTCTTCAAGGTGAATCTTGTAATGATGCCAAAGTTGCTGTATCCTCCCTGTCCGAGTGAAACTGTTAGGGATAGAATAACACTGGACAGAGGCACACGCACCTTGAGCGAAAAGAACAGATCCAGATCGGTGGATGCAGTCACAGTTGTGACTATACCATTAGGCATAACAAGCTCATATGCAACCACGTTGTCGATGGCGAGGCCATGCTGATTGCTGTGCCACGAATACCCTTCAGAGGAGTAATCAGAATACGAAAGGCAAAACCACATCAGCATATACATACCACCACCAAGAGTGAAGCCAGCCACGCCAATCCCTGACACTCTCCCTCTGAGGATGTTGACACCTCGGGCATTTAAGGCTTCGTAGACGTCATCCCATATATTACTGGCACCAATGACTGCTGTCCAGGTCTCCATGTCATATGTGACATCCTTGAAGTGTGTCATAGCAATCTGGACACCAGTCATAGATGAGAACCCTGGGTTGGTGGCATGCCCGCCACCTTTAACCTACAACAAGAGTAATGATCAGCGTTGTCAGATGAAACCGGCTTCCATGAACATACCCCAAAGGGCGTTTGCATCTTGCCCAGTATACGTAGCTAGGAAATGTGTGTCAGGTCAAGAGACGAATAAGCGAGTTTGATACAAACAATAATGCCAACATCCTCGACAGATCCGGGTTCTACACTGCAACTTGATCTTTGAGAGCTGGAGCTGGCATAGTGCTTGTTGTCTGCATCGTATGAGAAGGACCCTGTGTTCATTCAGCAAGGCGACACCAAGCAAAGAGGCAACTTTCATGAACCAGGGTAGTAGACATCTGTTGCATTCGAGACCTTGGCTGCGATGCACTCACATGCACGAAGTCCAATAGGTGTATCAAGTCCAGTAGGCATGTCGAGTGCAAAAGCAATCCATGCAAGACCTAAGAAGAGTGCAACAGAAACCATGGGGAGGATGCTGGATGCTGATGAAGAGCAGTTTGGATGGTTTTTGGATTATGCATCAACACCTCGGATTGGAGTCCGGTGAGCCTCACACTGACAGTGCAGAAATGTGGATATTATGTAAAAGGCAGTAGAATCACGTAGCACAGCCTGAAGAGACGCGAATCAGCGTCTAATCATGTCTGACAATAAAGATATGCACCAGAAGAGGTCCATGGTATTTTGGCCAAGTCTCACAATACCAGTAATCCAGAGCCAATCGTTAGAGTCCACTGAGAGACGTCTGACCACAGAATCCCTCCCCAGAGTCTGCATTTCGCAAAGGGTCTTAGTTGCGAGGACGAACGACTTTCTCAGACAAGGGGACTATGAAAGCTTTCTAGCTTCTGAGAATGACAACATTAATGAGTCAATACTTAATCACTTCTCTTGGGAAGAGCTCACCAATGGACAACTTCGAACCATAAGCCCATTCTGGCTCAGTAGTGTTATTTTACCACCAAATTCCATCACTATATGCACCCAATAGTGGGCATCCAAATACAAGGAGAGGTATTCCTAGGCATAGAGAGGCATTCCGGTGCGGTAGAAGACGTGTCAGGGAAAAAAGCACGAGGTGGACATGGGGAAGAGGAAAGAAGGGTGGTAGCCTTTGTGACATAACAGTCATCAATAACGCGTCATAAATTCCCATGGTATTTGAATCACCGATTTGTCACCGCATCCTTATTATCGATCAGGTCTATGTCTGCAAAAAATCCCTCATATTCACCGCTGGGGTGATTCCTTTTAGGATGGAAAAAGGTATTCTAAAAATCCTGTGACTTTTCTTTCTCTTTGTGTCTTACAAAAATGGGATACAGAAAACACAATGAAAAACATGTTCTTTCTAGCGCTCCTTTGGAGTCCTTTCACGTGCCAAAAAGTAGCTGCTTTTCTGCAAATGAAAAGTGGTTTCCTTTGTTCGGACCATGAGAAACATCTTTTCCATTCCATTTTTGGGTTGTTTTCCTTACCTTAAAAGAGTATGGAAATGATCTTATCTTTCAGCTTCTTTTTCTGAACTCGTTTTTACCATTAGAAGATCAAAGGAAATGTCACAAATTCTGAGGTCTCTTTTTTCCGATGGGAAAATGTACTAGCTCCCACGGTGCTTTCTTTATGGTATGAACAGCGCTCGGACCGCTGAAAATATTGTTGACAGCCTGGTACATTGTCGGCCTGTTCACAGTCCTTCCATCCTCGGCCCGTTCTAGCACAGGCAACACTGCTTTTTACCAAAAGTCACCTTCAATGAAATCGGATCAGCAACATTCGATATACAGAGCCACATATCTAAATATTTCCAACACTAAACTATCTCCCAACAACCAAATATCCGTATAGCTAAGAGTCGGAATCGACCTAGCAAGCCCTCTAAACCTTGGGTTCATTGGCAGAACTCGTCGGCTTGTCAACCCTAGCGATACTTATGCTCGCTGGACTGGCGCCAACTGCGTTGGACATATTCGGGGTCAAGATTTTGTCGTCCTCACGAGGAGAACCATGAGCTGCAGTCCTGGTGGAAGTGGATCCCTTGCCAGTATTGGTATACACAGAAGTGATGGTTCAACGGAGGCTCTGCATGATGCCCCCCATTTTGGGAAGAGCAGTCCACATCCCACCGTTAAAGTGTGCCTTTGGCGGGGTTGCAGGTAAATTTTGGTCGGGGGGCGACAAGGCAGACGTCATAGCAGATGGAGGGAGGAAGTCGCTGAATGTCAACTTTGGAGCAGGCCCACAGGCACTAGTTGCAGACGAGTCGGTCACCTTCGGATTCTCGCCCTCTGGGAATACGCATAATTATTAACACGAAAGACGAAACAAAAAAGTCAGCGCACCTGAAAAGGCTCCAGGCCTATCCGTCGACGCAGAGAAACTGACTGGCGTCAATGTTCCATACTCCTCCCCAGGCGCACCCCGGTACAACTTCCCGTGCTTGTCCGTAAATGTATACTGCATCGTATCTGCATCGTACCCTATCCTTCGAAAGCCTTCCGGAAGGCGAAATGAATCCTGCCCAAAGAAAAACAAAGGCATCAGCGATGTCACGAGTAACCAAAACCCATACACACCTCAGCATGCTGCGACCAACGAGGCATTTTCGATGAACGTATGTCAAACTAATAACAGTGGCTCCTTGAAAGCTTTATAAGTTTTTCCAGAGGGCATGGCCTCGTGGAAGACATGCAGATACAGTGGTCCTGTAGCGACGCCCGGAATCCAGATGGACTTGGCAAAACGTCGACTTGTGTTTCTTGGTCCTACATGAACACATTCTCAGGGCCACCGATCAGTTCAATAATCAAAAGTATAGTTGTACAGCCCAGCCCAGAATTGATCTACAAGTGTCTGCCACACTGCCGGCTTCCAGGACCTCGCTCGACAAGTTTTTCTTTGTTAACCAGACACAGCCACTATATTCACCTCTGCATCTACCTGTAGCGGGATAGGCTGTCCAACACTATTTATTTCCAGCATGCCATACCATCCTCAAATTCTTGCGAGGCACCAGCAACACAAATTCTGACTCAGTGCGGCAAGCAACCACACAGCCAGAAACTTCATTTGCAACCTCCGCCAAGCCAAGCCCTTCGTCGTCAATTTTTACACTCAGCTCATCTTTCCCACGGCACGTCTCGTTCATGATTGAGACCTCCAGGTCATTGGGTGATAAAACTTCCTTTTCTTCGTCTCTTTGCCGGTCATCAAGATTATGGCAACAATTTCGATGTTTGACTCATAGCAGGCCATCTGTCATTATGTACAAATGCGGCTGTGCAGTTGTCCAGGGTGTTGGGCAATGTCGAGCTCTTCTGTACACTTCATTATTACTGGCCCAGCGCATTCTTTACACAGCCTCTATTATTTTCTTCATGTTTTCTTACCCATAAGCCATGCTACTGTCGCCTTTCCGTCATTATGCAGATAAGCCCTGAGCTGGTGTCTCCCTCTTTCATCTTAATTCGATGCTAGCTGTAAGACAGGTCTGGAATTGGATGACTTCATTCCCTTTCTGGCTGGTATTTGCTTACATGCCTTTCTCGCCTTTAGTTATCATTGTCCATCCATATTCTGTTATTGCCAGACAAATCTACTTATCTCGATACATCCACACCAGATCACCAAGGCAATGAAACCACCAGTCTATTTCTGAGGAAATAAATTACACAACCAGAACGATCATATTGCTGTTGAGGTCGATGTGATGGCCTGGGTACGATCGAACCTTGGATCGTTGGCAACACAGACGCTTCCAGGATATAGCAGGTTAAAACATGTCTATTAGGATATCAATCTCCATGTATCAATTCCGCACAAAACTACTGAGGTACCTGGCAAAAATCTGTCGCTGTTCAAGGGGTCTGCATGATCGACAAATTGATCGAGAGGGACTCGCAATGACCAAGACTTCAATTTTTGCTTGGGAGCGGAACATAGCTAATAGAACTAAAGAAAAGGGTGATGAGCGAATGAAGAACAAGTTCACGCACTGCCATCGACTCTTGAGTCCTACTATTCATGTCAATTCTTTCAAGTTACCGAGTTCGGGCCGCATGCACTGATAGCGCTTGACTCTCTACGTCGAAGCCACAAAATCAAGAAAAAAATGAACCCGAATACTTCATTCATCCTACCACAAAATTCTCCGTCCTGTGCACACAGGATCCTAAAAAGTTGAACCTGAGGATCCCTGTGGCAGTGCAGATGCCGGTAATTGTCCAGGCCAGGTAATCATGATTGGAGATGTCATCTGTTGTAGGAACTCCGAGTGTCACATGACATCGGACCGCCAATAAGTGACTACTGACGTCACCATGACAATGTTTATTAAGTCCATTAAATAAAAAAAGTGTTTCCATTTTGCTTAAATATTAAAATATTCCTTTTATTTTAGCAAATAATGTAAACAATATTTTACTCCTCAAAAGAATAAATATGATAAATAATGTGCCTTAAGACAGCCCTAGTAGGTAGTCTTAAGACACGTTCACATGCGTCGCATATTTATCACATGGTGAGAATCAACCATATTTCGATCTCCGATTCAATACTTATATAATGCTCGCTCGCGTTTCTTTTTTTGCCTTGCAGCTACACCAGCGGTTCCCACTGCTACTCAGCTGTACGACAACGCCTTTCCTGCCACTGTTCCAACTGTTCTCACTATTGGATAGCGGTACAGTCGCCATCAATTTGCTTCCTCCAGCTCTGAGTCTGACATCGCGGCGTACCGCCGCTGCTCCAACGGCTTTCGCTGCTGGATGGCTGCGCGTTTCACCCCCACCACCAAGGGTCACGGCCTTCATCATGCGCTACCTGTGCCGCCTACTGCGTTGCTTCTTGATTCTTGGTGAGTGCCTTTCGTACTCATGCTTACCGTTGTCAGACGCACCAAGAAAGTGGCTGGGCCCCTTGTGCACGGAATCACCCCTGGGTCCAATGCAAGGTGCTGAGGTGCTTTCTAGGCACATCTGACGCGTCAAGCACGTCTATACCATGTACAGGCCTTGCTAACCCTCTCGTTCCTGCATCCAGGGTGCATCATAAATACCCCTTGTCTGTGAGGCAGGTAAGCCGCTTCCCCACCCTTCCCTGAATGTGCTTTTTCTTACCCTCTTTTACATGGGCTTTAGGGAGAGAGACCACCAAGATAGGCTGGGAATTTCACGGCGAATGCCATGCTGTGGGTTTTGCGCTCCACACGCTCTGGGCGTGTATTCAACCCCACCCCTGCCCCAAGCCTTGGCCCTGCTACAATAACTGAGCTTCTCATCTCCCCCGTCCACGTGGATATTGATGCCAGCAGCCTTTTTCGAGATGCCATGGACCTAGAAAACACCCATTCGTCAGAGGATGACCTCGATGAGCTCGACGACATCCATATGATGCCTGATTGCGATCCCACCCCTCTGCTGCCTTTGCCTTCGAGCTCAAATGCGAAGCGCACGTGCGAGTCTGAGTCTGAGGGCAGTGGGGAAGCGTCTGATGCTGAGAGCAGCTCTGCATCGCAGTGGCATAGAAAAAGGCGCAGAGCGAGAGCCAAAAAATACGAGCTGGAGGGCCATCGCCCATCCAGTTGCACCCTCTCTCTCATTTGCACAACCGTGGAACCCATTTATACTGAACTTGCCACCGAAGCACTCCCGTCGGCCAAAGGCGCCTATTCCACGCTAAATTTCAAGGCCCCCGATGCTGAAAGGCAGTATTCGGTGAATGATCTGCTGGCACTTGGCTTTTCGGAGATCCCATGGGAGGGCTTGTAAGTGCGGCATTCTCAATCTGTTCTCCATTTCCTCACTTCAAACCACAGCAATCCTAGGCCTATTGTCGATAGGAGGGGGCGCATTGTGGCTGTCATGGCGGGTCAGCCGTGCGATCCAAGCTATTCTGCAGCCTGCATGGATGCTCATGATGAGATCCTATGGGAGGGAGCAGCTGCGAATTTCCATAGGTTCTCCCATCATCGCCAAGGGGCCTTTCCTGCAGTCAACGTTGGTATTTCTTATGGCAAGGGGCAAAAGGTACCCTCCCGCCTCCACAATGGTGTTTTAGCTGCCATCGTCAATCGCCTTGTAGGGAGTGAAGCGGTTGTGCGAATGGCAACGTATGCAAGTGGTATGTTTTTAAAAACATTCTCCAATCTGCATTTCTAATCTTCAGATGGCAGCGTCCTACAACCTCTGGGCCCCGTGGCTTCATCGCCATTATGAAGAGCATCTCGCTGCAATGTATGATAGACTACCACACCTTCGCCCCAACTTCCCATGCTCTATCTTTCCCTGCGCTGCTTTTAATTTTGGTGGCAATGTTTGGACCTTCAAACACCGGGACATTCTCAATTGCCCATATGGATGGTGTGCCATCACAGCCTTAGGTCACTTTGACCACCGTTGGGGAGCACACCTCATTCTTTGAGAGCTCAAACTGTTTATTCAATTTCCGCATGGGGCTACAATATTTATCCCTTCAGCCACATTCACTCACTCCAACACGGCTCCTGCAGATGGTGACAGCCATACCTCCTTTACGCAATTTCTTGCTGGTGGAATTCTATGCTGGGTAGATAATGGCTTTCGCACCGAAAAAGAGATGGCTGTGCAGGATCCTGCTGCGCATGCAGATATGCAGAAGCGCAGGGCAACACGGTGGGAGATGGGCCTCAGCCTTCTATCAACCTTGAATGAAATTTTGGAACCGGTACCATAGTATTGTTGTATTATGCAGGATGTAATCCAATAGCTTTTGTTCACCAGCTTGATTGTCTTCAGATCTGTTGCATATGGGTATGCACCTGACGTCTTAAGATATGATGCTCTGGCTGGCCTTGGGGTATCCATCCCATATGCATTGACTTTTTACCTTACAGCTTTTTGTTTGAGTATTAGCCTGATGTCTCAAGTTTGTTTACCAGCTTGATTGCTGGTCTTCAGATCGGTTGTATCTAGGTATGTACCTCACGTCTTAAGATCTGATGTTCTGGTGGGCCTTGGGTATTCATCTGTATGCATTGACTTTTACTAGAGTCTTGGCCTGATGCCTTGAATTTTGATTGTTGGTCTTCAGATCTGTGTGCCTGATGCCTCAAGGTGTGATGTTCTGGCAGATCTTAAGGCATTCATGTGTGCTGAATTTTTACCTTCAGGTAATTGAATTCTTATCTTACGCTCATGGAATAAATCTATATGTGTGTAAGTCATGTATACTCAAAGTGTATTTGGGAGGTAGATAATTGCTCAAGCTTTTCAATCAGCAAGCCAGTCTTCAAACCCTTTCTGTGCATACACTGCTCACCTTGTAATGGCACATTGTATTGAACTTGATGCTAAGATTTCACGAGGCCTTAAGGCCACTTTGTCATTGTCCAAAATTTATTATTGTATTATAATACGTCTTAAGAACGACATGTTTTCAATATACAATCTGAAGATCGGCCACCTTTCTTTGAGACAAATGGGGCACATTTACTGCACTGACTATTACTCATCTTAAGCTCTCCATGAATCTCACATCCTTAAGACTAACATGTTGTAAATATGTTCCATCTGAAGACTAGTCCCCTTTCTTTGCGACAAATGGCGCCCATTTACCATCCTGGTCGCTTCTCCCTGCATCTATCGCCTTCAAAAACTGACGGCAAAGTTGAGGATTGTTTTTAATGTGCCTCCATGCGCTATAATGCCGGTTCCACGTCGCTTCTACCCATCGAGTCACTTGCTGTTCATACACCCATATTAGACTGGTCTCAGATGAAGAAGGCACATGCTTACAGGTACAACCTCTAGAAACGCCTCTCTCACTTTAATATCCTTTTTTCCAACTAGAGCCTCCACTTGAGCAAAGCACTCATGCTGATCAATCGCCCACATGAACGGCCAACCATTTTCTCTGCTACGACTGGATGCAGCATTTGCAAGGGAGCGATTTGTCGCAGCAGGAAGTGAGCATGCTGCTTCTGCTAAACCAGATGGCCTGTAAACCTATTCAAGACAGATGTCTCATGAAGAGATCAGCAAAGACCTACCTTGGTATCAAGATGACCTCATCATCATTGTCTTTGTTGGAATCAATATCGATAACTTGCACCCCAGCCGTAAGAGCTTTAACTGGGCTCGGTGGCCTAGATAGCGCATACCTCATCAGCCCCACTGTTGAAGATAGTAACATCATCACCTACAGACTGGAAGAGGGTATTGCAAGTCCCTTCAATGAGCGCAGAGTCTTCATTGGGCTAGGCTGATCTGTAGCCGCACTCTCTCCAGATATGGATGGCGTACGTGAACGTTTTTTCCCCTCAAAACCGGTGCACTGTCTGACACCTGGCAATCGCAATATCAGGTGTTCATCGTGATGAATGCAGATCTTTTGGTCATAGTTGATCCAATGCCCATCCTCATATCGCTGGAAAAGGGCCAAATCCTTTTCAGAAACGCTGCAGATCTTACTGATCATGGAGAAGTGTGATGGAAAACAAAACGGCCAGTCTTTCAAATCCACAAACAGTTGGAAGACCTCTGGATCAATGCCATCCTAACAGATCACATCAGGTCAGGGAGAGCATAGCTACATGGGTTATAGCAGTACACACCTTGTAAAACAGCGTTAGCTGGATGGCTCGTTCCTTCTCACTCAGTATCTGGTCTCTTCGCTTGGCGTGCTCAGTCACTCCTGCCTCCCATCCTCGGTCCCCAGTCCCAGGAGCCTTACCTCCTGCCAGCGTTTCAACCACAAACTTGCGATCGCTCACCAGCTGCTCTCCCCACGCTGAATTGATCTGACGTGAGAACTGAGTGCAATTCTCAATGCCGACAGGTGCATCCTGAGCAAAGTCAGGTGCTGCCAAAGATGGGATGCACTCCAAACTGTTGAGATTCATGGCGGCCGAACCGACTGTCTTGCACGGTTGCATGGCGAGATTGGGATATCCATGGCCTCCACAGATAAATGAAAGATCACTGACGCAGTGAGCTTTACAGAGCCCGCAGTATGTGTCCACAATCTCTTTGCACCCAGCTCCTTTACAGGGCCTTGCAGGTGGTCCATGCGCCGGGCAAACGAACGAAAGATCTTGGAGGCAGTGCGTTTTGCAGAGTTGGCATGCCTTATGTGCGATCGCATTGCATGACTCGAGTTTGCAGTGTTGCCTCTTGTTAGGTGCTCTGCTCAATGAATCCATTCCTTCAACTGTCTTGAAAGTAAAGCTGGACTCTGACAGGTCAGGAAGGAAGCTAGGCCAACCGTCGTCGGAGTCGATTCTGCTGTTGGAATGCTTCTGGCGTCGGATGAAATCGTGGACCTCCCACTCAGGATACTGAAAAATTGCATGCTCTGCTTTCTCCTTAGATACCCAGCAAAAAAATTTGCACGTTTGAGGGCAACCCGCCGCTCTCTCTTTCGGTGTGGTAAAACCAGGACACTGAGCAAATTATTATTGAGTATGGCCATCCAACGATGATTAGAAACCTTACCTTGACGTAGTATCTTCCTTTGTTGTCCCGGTCAAAGGTGCCGTTGCTCACCGTAGGCAGATTCAGATTATGAACACCGCAATGAGGGCACAAAGGAACACCTGGCATCCAGCAAGTTACAAGAGCAAAAAGATATGATTGTTTGGATAGCACAAACAATCACTTTTATCATTGTATGTTCATCTGAAGTCCACAAAGCGCTATAGCTGAAGACAACTGGGTGACCATGCACAATACATCTGAAGTCACACATTTTGTTGCAAGCTATCATCTGATTGGTAACCCTCTCTTGCATCAGTTCTGATTCGCAAGCATCCCGAAGTTAGTCTGAAGTCTGCCTGTTTGACATAGTTAACACTTGGCACCATCTGAAGATGAGAATAAGCAGTTTTCCTAGTTCATATGTTGCTGACCAATAATCTGTCAATATAATTCTGCTGCAGTCGCACCAAACCTTTTTTTATTCTGAAAAACAACCCACACATTCATACCTACTGCTTTCTACGAACCAATGATCTCTGACCAAGATTTCCTGAGGTCAATTCCACCTCCGAAGTTGAGGGTATGTGTACATCTGTTCGACGTTGCTTGTACTCAATCCATGCCAGTTTCTCGTCGCAGCCATGCTGCACAAAAGGTCTCGAAGTGCTCTAAAATTCCCCTGCAAAGATTCGGAACTGCTTATTGAAAAAGTGTGGCATCTGTGCATCGACTGGAGAGCTCTTGCTCATCCAGCTCGCTACAAAATGGATCAAGTCATGCTCGCTCTGGCTGACTTCTTACAGAAGTATCCAAGCTATCGGCCATGGGGGGTGAGTGGTTGATGGTGCTTATTGGATGCATTAGTACTGATGTTCATCAAGCAGCTGTCCATAAGTCCTGAATCCTCTCTCTCCTCACTGGCCACCACCCCGCCACAATCTGAGCAAGAACTATCTCAGCCCTTAAACCCCTCCCCAACCTCGCAACCTGTTCTCACACCCCCACAACCCGTGATCATCACTCCTCCTAAAAAGTTGTTTGCTATAAAAAAATCGTATGCAATCATCGGATTGGTTCCGACTCCTCAGGCAAGCTCCGGCCCAATCAGGGTATGCTTCTACAAACCCAAATGTTTTGGACGCCGACCTCCAATTAGACGACCCGATACCATGGATGGTGCTGGCCCATCAGCCAGCCAACATGACCATATTCCCAAGGTCCTTTCACTGCCAGACATGGCCTGCCTCTCTAGAAGGAACTCCCTTCTGCCCAGTCTTGGTCGATATAATAACTCCACCAGCAGGTGTCGAAGGCAGTCCCTTGATGATCTCTCTGCCATCAAAACACCATGCTCGCATGATTATCCTGACATACTTGAGGTCGCTGGGCCCATCGAACCATTGTCACCAGTTCAAGAACTAGCCTCATTGGCGGTCGAGCCAATTATTCCAATGCCTATGTTGATGGAGACAGACATCCCTATGGTAGTGACTGAGGAGCCATTCAATCACCCAGATGACATGCTTGCAACTTACCAAATTGATGCTCTCCCTGGAAGTTCGCCATGTTCCCAAGGTATTATGCCTCCACCAAGTGAAGAAGGCCCGTTTCTGCCCCAGGACCTGCTTGCCGAACCTCACACCCAGCCAGATTCGATCATGGACTTTGATGCCATCCTGCAAGAATGGGAGAGCAAACCATTTGCCCTTGACTCCCCATTCCTGTTGCCAGACTTCAATTTGGCAGGCGGAGACTTCATACATGATGCACCTGGGCATAGACCACCCGAATCAGGCCAAGTTCAAATGGTTGAGCCTTCATCCACGTCTACAAGCTGCCAACCTTCTGCCGATGTCGAGGCTCACACAGCACAGAGCAAACCTGCCGCAATCACCCATGATAAAACTTCTCCGGACACAGCACCGCCACTGTTCATTGACCTGCACCAATATCTGTACAAATTGCATCGCCAACTGGTCAGCACCTCTTCCAAAGCCAGAGAACCCATCCAAAAGCCCATGGTGCCTACCCCTTCCATCCAATCAGTCACCACCATGCCTTTAGACTTCACTCCTCCTGTTCTGACTCCAACCACACCTCTCATAGACGAAATCCCATTGGAAGATCCAGATGGTGGCAGTGATGAGACATCAGCCACCCAGACCAGTGGCTTGGAAGAGGGGTTCAGCGATGATCAAATGTCAGAAAGCAGCGAGGAGGACTCCAGTTGTACGGAGACTTCATTGAGTGACCAACAGGAAGAAACGGACTCTGACGAAAGTGACAGTAGCGAGTCTGACGATGAACTTCAGCGGTATCAGTCTAATGCCGAGCCGGCATCAGATTCAGTCATTTCAGGTAATGTGTGGTACTTACGGTAAGCCATGAAAAGACCCTTACATACTAGCTACAGTTGTTGTGTCTCGCAGTACTCAGGAGGGTATCCAAGCCTTGGCCATGCCAATATTCCCTCGGGGCATCAAGATCCTCCATGGGCAAACTTATATCAGACTCCAGCAAGTGTTGGATTTCGTGGCATTGGCCAAGTGGTCAATTCCGGCACCCCTCTCTGGTACAAGCTTTTACTGCTCAAACTGCTGCTTCCTGACATTTCGCTGTAGATGAAGAATTCGTCGCCATCCATCTGACCACAGCATCGCTTTCCCACCCTCACAATCGATTGATTGCCTGGGGTTGGGCCAACCTGGATGATGCAACCTTCAACCTAGAAGCATGCAGTCACCCAGATGGCTCACTGCCTGTGTGGGTGCCTGTTCAAAGGATCTACGAAACTGCAGGCTATCAGCTAAGCCTTTGCTTCAAAATCTTCAGTCGAAGATGGCTTGAAAAACAGCGGGTCAGACGTGACCATGCCAAGGTATGGCATCACACTTGCTGACATTGCGCTGTTAACCGACCTGCAGATCGCATTCATCGGGCCAGAGATGTATGATAGCGGATGGTTCATCCTTCCATTGCAACAGACTGATGCAGAGCTGCGAGTAGTTCCTCCCCACAGCATAACAAAAAGCAAATTTCATGGTTGGTGCTTTAATGTTTGCATACAGGATGCCACTGAAGATGATCTAGTGACATTGAGCATATGAGATATCCAATCTGACGAGATAACCCACCACAAGCTCAACCTTTCCCCAGACTGGTGCATAGAGAATGGCATATGTTATCTCTCGGGACTTTGGGTCTTAAGAGGATTGAGCAGTGTTGTTCCCCCTTCAGATGGTCAGCTTTGCCACCAGTATATTGTCTCTGCCTGACAAATCATCGTATAGATACTCACCAACTTGGTGTCTTCCTGCCTGGGGTGAACGGCCGAAAACTCTATCTGGGTTGCATTGACAGCAAGGGGTGTCGGCTGCCCCAGTATGCTTGGAAGAATGTTGATGTGCCAGTCAATGAGACTGATGAAGGTCCCTGTGTTGCTTGCTTCATTGTAAAGGGGAGACCCACAGCTTTGCTCAAGTATGACATCGGGCTGACCCAGACCATCTCATCGCATTTTCAAAAGATAACTGAAGACCTGCCAGCATGGGTAATCTCTCCTCATCTGGTCGCCTCCCTCAACAGTCAGCCCCTCCGTACAAGTTGCATTCACCTCTGCCAGCTCTTGGACCAGGTTTATAACAAGAACCACATCTTTGAAGGTGCTGCAGATCCAATTCCTAATCTACCGCACATCTCCCATACTAACGCTCCCCACAGCTTGGCTTTGTTGGATACAGGACAACAAAATCGTTTCATATTGCATACCGGTGCTACCAAGTCATTGGACTTTCCTTGGCGGGCATTTCTATGTCTCGATGCACCACATCATAAGTTGGACTTCCCATTCCTCAGCTCTTAAGTTACCCACACCCTTGAGTACGTTCCTTGCTTTTGCCAGTGTTCTTTGGTGCGATCACAAACCACCCTATAGCTGACCATCCGGTCATGATGACTGCCTTGAAGGTTGATAAGAACCGGCAAGAGTTCGTGTTCATAGGAATGGGCACGTTCGATGATGACCAAATTCTCCGATTTGAGCCTCCGCCAAGGTTTCGGAAGAACTCCACTGTATGGCTTCCTCTTGATGATGATGAACAACATTCGCTGCTGTACATGCAATTTCAATGCAAACCCTTGTCGGAATTTGAGAACCTGAGGCCAAGGGAGTACTTTCCGGTGGGCTCTTTCTCTTGCCTGTGTCCCTTATCAATCTCACCACATCATCCAGTGGGATGCCATATCTCAATCTGAAACGACGCAATATTATATGTCACCTGCAGTGAGGAATCCACAGATCAACTGGGAGAATGACAATCCCATGCGAGCTCATATTAGCAGTATTTGTTTCTGCACCTACCCAATGTCTCGCTCACATCGCTGCAGTCACTATCCATGTCCAAAAGCAATCACAAACTGCTGTCTTTCGAGCATGGACCGCCCACGCTGGACTGGTCTATATCAGCACCGTCACGGTCTTAAGACGATTGCTGGAAATGCTGGCTGTAGCTAGTCAGTTGTTGCCTTCCACTCTATATCCATGGTTTCTCACCTGTGTAGGGCTGGGGTCTGCCGTTCGAGTTGACCTGCAGACGCCAGATTTGCAACTGTACATTGGGCACCTTTATCCAGAACAGAACGAACTGGTCACCCCGAAGGGAGTTCACAAAATCCCATCTGATCAAAAGCCCTTTGCCAGTGTTCCAATCACTATGACCGAGGTGGGTATAGGCAACTTACGCTGTGAAGTTGTTTGCTGCTGTGACAAAGAAATCAAAGGCAAAGAGTTAATAGGTGTAGATCAGTCACATTTCAAAGTGAGGATTACATACCTGTTCACTTGTGGAGTTGGTCTAATCATGGGTTGCAGCTGATGCATGCCGAGGAGAGCTCGATTTGGTATATCCCCAAGTCATGCTTATCATCAGTTCCACTGACTCGGGGACAGAAGAGGGTGAATGGTGCAGCACCTTTGCCAGATACCCAAGTGCAACCCAACTCAGCATTGGAGCAGGGCAATGACAGGCGCCCAGGCAAGGTGGGAGAACGACCGCAACCCAGCAGTGTCGATCAAAATTCCCACATGAACTCTTTGGAGAAAAAGAAGGGTGTCGCACCTGCCAAAAAACTGCCCAAACTATCCAAGGATGCTATGTGTGCTGTGGAACCATCCATCGCATGCTCTTCAGCAGACAGGTCAGGTGGGAAGCCTGTGACTAATCCATCAAAGGGACAGAAGCGATGCCAACATTTGACGGCTGATGGGGACCGGCCCAGGAAGAAGGTAGCAGTTTCATTCACCTTGCGCACTCCCACCACTAAAGATTTTCGACAGGTCAAACCGGAGGATTCAGTGCGGGCAGCAAAAGTCGCAGAGGCTCTACACGATTCCTGTTACAAGGAGCGGCATGAGCTGCAGGCAATATGGGACCGCCCAGATAAACAGGCATTACCTCTGCAGGACACACTGATGCTGGGAAAGGATATGTGGGACCTTTTAAAGCATACCTACGTCGGGCAGGTGTCTGGAGCAGACCTCATGCCAAAGGGTGCATTGCATTTGCTCAGATGTTCTGGGCTGCCTCAATTTTTTCAATAGAGGACCACGACATCCAAATCATAGTCGACGATTGGATGAGCTTCTTTAATGCCGGCCGGAGCTGGTTGACAGCAATGAAGTACATCGGGCAGCACATGCACGGGCGCAGTGTCGACAATGTGCTAGTGCGTCTAAAGGTCGAGTGTAGCTTTCCTAAGAGGACGAAGCCAGGAAAACGCGGCAAGAAGCCCAAGGCGCATAGCACCAATGAGGTCAAGAGGCAATTGGATCGTCTCTTTGGAGAGCTGACGGTCCGACACGGGCTGAAGCTTGGCGACACCGACTTTCCACTGTGCTATAGCAAGCAGCCAGAAGGTCTAGAATAAATTAAAGATGTGAACAGTCGTGTAGACCTACTATCACTCACCCGCACTAAATGTGATCCATAAGTTAGACCCCTAGAGAGCTTATGTAAGACAGCGAAAACTTCACTGAGTTGACAGGACGTTACCTTCATGGCTGTGCCACAGCCAGTGCTGGCAGCATACATCTTTGCCCGCCTGACGGAGATACTTCCAGAGGACTCTGAACTGGGTCGCCAATTGAGCTGGAACCAACTGTTCCAATTTTTGCGCCTCATTCGTCGAATCGCACCCACAACTTTCGACCAGTCTGAGGAGCACCTTCAGAACAACGAGCTCAAGTTCCTTGCAACAGCACTTAATCTCTCAAAATCAGTAGTTGCTGATTGCTGGTTGAAGTTTCGTCCGCTTGTGTACCTCATACCAGCCCGGAATACACCTGCAGATGACGATCACTTTTGGCGGCATGGAGTGGATCATAAAGTTGGTATGAACTTTTTCATCGGAGGTGAAGCTCGATGGTTTACACTATGATCAGGGGCTATGCGCATTCCCAACCAGCCGCTGACTTGTTGCGACAACAGACCGCTGAAGGGCGATGGTGTCACAGAAGCATGAATGTATACCTTGACGCGCGGGGTTTTGCCTATATTCGTGAAGAGCTACTATTGTCGCAGTCAGTCACACCGGTGTATCTGATGTCGCTGAGAGACTTACAGGCCCATCCCTAGAATGTAAGACTCGTTTCAACGCAAATTATCAGGTTCAAGATGCCCAGTGTCCTGAAGCTAGGCGATTATATTATGACGAGATATCCAAGATACTCAAGGTGGAAGAGACTGTGTTCATGGAGGTCAGACTGGTTGAGACCTTCCGTGAGCTCATGGCCACTCTCCAGTATGTCCCTATTTTCCGCAGCACTTATACCCTCCAACTTAAGATCAAAGCGCCTCGGTGAGTGGCATAGCACAGTGGTACAATCAAGGCATCGCAGCAGCCACAATGAATGTTCCCAACAACCTTAAGTACCATGCCATCATGACGGGAGAGATGGTATATGATGTGTTCTTCCTGCATGGTCTGCTGTTGGATCACTTCAATCAACATTCCAGATTGTCTGTACCCCATGGAGGACAGCAATGGGATCGTCTGACTGAAGCGTTAGAGAAGCACAACATTCACATGGTTGGCACCGGACAGGAACACTGGGCACATCGCTGCAAGATATGCATGCACCTAATTTGTGGGCCAGATGGAAAGTTATGTAGGTCTCACAATGCTCTGCAGCACTGAATTAGCGACTGACTGGCCAGCGCAGATAGTCTGGATGCTGGGACCATGGACGGCGTCACCATGGGCCATACGTGCTGCTCCATTGAGGGCATATGCAAGGAGTTATTGGCTACTCCAAAGGATCGGTTTTGTCCCTCACATAGCGACCGAAACAACAAGTGCTTTGTCGCAGGCTGCAAAGAACCTCCCGAGAAGCACAACAAGTCTCTTGCCTGCACAACACCTGCTCACTGCGAACGAGAGGCTGAACTGCACCGGCATATGCAGAAGGGCATGAAGGAGCTGATCGCACGATATCTGCGGCGTCCGCGCAGTGAGGCAGAAGGGGGTGAGTCCACAATGCCCATGATCACCCCTACAGAGGCAGCAACAACGCCTTCCCGAACTGCGCAGGTGGAGGCTCTGTTCGGTGCTCTGTTGCATGCACCCAAGGCCTTGAACGCTGTAGTTGGAAGGTTGAACTGTAAATGGATGCACAATGAGCAACTGTTCGTGCACCCTTGCGGCGTCATCATATCCCGCTGCACTTTCTATAATGCCGAATCCTTAACAGCGTGCAATGTAAGCTCCATCCCAGTTGCTCAGACCAACAAGACTGAAAACTCAACAGGATTTCCTCAAGGTTATGTTCCCGACATCTAGGTACCCCAACTGTCTCCCCAGCTACATCTTCTACGATAACAATTGTCAGCTACTGTGCCATGCCTGGAAGCAAGGAGATACTTACTATAACAAGACAGGGATGGTCGTAGAGACCTGGCATGCTAAATCCCACAAGGAAACCAACAAGTTTTGTCGCAAGTGGTGCCTCCCTTCACGCTTTTCAGAGTTGATGACAGTCAGGCGCGATGGGAAGCTAAGGTGGAGGTTCAACATGTCATCTGCTGAACAGGCAAACGCATGGTTTGGGGGATATCACCCTATCATCAGGGAAATGCCTCACTGTCGGTATGAAGTCTTTTGATGGAGAGTTTTGATGCCACTGATCTCGACAGTGGCAGCTATAACTTTTATCTTGATGAGATGATTATGATGTGAAATTGAGCGGTGATAGCCAAGTTAGAGGCTCGAGGAGAATCACCAGTGTTGGTGCCGGAGCACATCCTCAAAGAACAGGCCGTTTTATTATCAGATTCGACATAGTACTGGACTCTGTCTGTGGTAGGACTGCCATCGTGAAATAACAGCTGTGTCCTAGGCGCCCAAGAATCGAGATGGCACTCGGCTCTGTCTGTGGTAGGATTGTCGTCATGAAATAACAGCTGAATCCTAGCCCACCATAAGATGATGGACATCCCCCACCATGAAATGAACAGGTAATGTCTGACCATCTGAGCTCAAAACCCTGCTGCCATGAAATAACAGCTGGGTGTCAGTGTGTGAGAACGACAGGAGAGCAGAAGCTAGTTGTGGATGTTGCACTTGTTTGGATCGCAAGGCTTCGGGGTTTTAATATTCAATGGGACTTGGAGATGACTTCGCCATCTCTTTCAGCACGGGACAAGAGCACTTGAACGAACCAGGGTCCCACTTTGGTACCATTCAAGTGTCTTGTGAATACTTCTGTTAGGGTTTTGCTTTAACAGGGTTTCTGCCCACTCTGGTGGCATTGAAGTGTCTGGCAAAAATTTCTGTTAGGGTTTCACTTTGACAGGGTTTGCATCATTGTCTGGGATATCTCTAAGCCCTGTCCAAGAGGTGTGCATGTGTACAAGCCAGGTTGAGAAAGCAGAAGGCTGACGGCCCCTCCAGATTCTCGTACTATGTCTTCCCATGCTGGTGTTAGCATGTCCGAGCCGGATGCTCACGCCCAAAGGTGAGTATGTCACACAGTACATTTACTGGGCATCAAGTTGACATATAGACACGGTGAACCCATCCATAAGGTAGTGAGGACTAAGGATGATGGAGACTTCCTTCTCTTAGGGACCAAGACTCTCCCTCCCATCCCAGAGCAAGTGCCAGATCCTGCAGAAGGCTTCCCCCACGACCCAAAAATCTATCTCGCGCGATCCTGGGTGCACAACTCAATCCCCTATCAAGCATTCCTGCCTTCTGACACCTACGCAGCCTGCTGATGTCGGCTCTTACAGTGCTTGAATTACACATGGGGGAGTGTGCCACTAGAATGTAAGGGACCAAAATGGTACCTCCGCGACGACATTTTCCATGAGTGGTGGGAACTGGAGTTGGTACTGTTGCGATTAAGGCAGTTTTCATGTTCTGCTATGTCTGACTTGGACTCCAGAAGGCCACTTTTCGCCTGGCCGGACCCCATGCATTACGGTTACGCAGGCGGTGAACGCAAAGACAAGACGTTGGGGGGGAAGATCATGAATTCCAGAGCTGCCTTCATGTTGGTCATGGCAGAAGTCGCATACAACGCAGCATGCCACTGCAACTTCTGGGATGAGGTCATTCTCCCGCACTTTGGTCGGCATATGACAGATCTGCTAAAGGAGACATGGGTAGCCCGCGACGGGGAGGGCTATGGGGTTCTCGAGCCCAACGGTGGTGAGGGTCAGAGTATGGAGTGTGTCGGCCTGTTCGTGGATGCCAATAGGTGCAAGTTTGCTCCAGCAGTTGCGCCTATGATTCGGGGACATATACTGCTGTGGATTAGCTGGGGGATGAGTCCAGGGTTGGCGTATACAGGCCTTGATGGATATAGGCCAACGGACCAGGAAATCCAGGAAGCTGAACAAGCGGAAGTTGCGCCAACCGCGCCCCAGCCAGCATCGAGGATTACAATAGGCCTACGAGACCTGCCAGAGGATTCTTGGCTTCATCAGGGTGAACGCTCTCACCATGAAACTCAAGCAATGCCTGGTCCATCACCATTTCAGGAGGGAAGAACATGGGGCAACAGCCACAGGGCACCAGCCTGGGGTGCCGACCATGATCTGCTGCCAGAACCTATGCAGATTGAATGGATGGCACCTCCCCCACCCTTACCACCTCAGAAAGGTCCCAAAATCGTCTACGAACCTGTCGACAAGACAGAGAAGCACCATGGACAGTGCCTGCGTGAGACTTGGCAGGACTTTTTCTTACATCGTGAAACAAAGAACACGCAGATGATGGAGAAGGAGTCGGAGGAGAGCTGACAAGCTTGCCTCCAAAGAGAGGAACATGCTCTCAAGCAGATGGTACCGGGCTCGAAGGGCGCTGCTGTCTTTAGGTGGGAGTTTGACGAGGACAAAGGGTATCTGCGTCGGAGGCACGTTTTCTGTGGGTGGGTCGAGGACGTCTGGATAGAGTATCGCGACACTCAGCAGCGATACGACAGCTTCTGCAACGAGTGGGACTTGAACAAGGAATTCGACCCGACAGTGAGAGATGACAGCGATGATGAGGATGAGGATGATGACATGGCGCTTGGTGAGAACAATGAATCACCAACTGTATCTTTCGAATGCGGCAATGAGGTTGAAGGACGGGGTGGAGCCCAGAGCAGGGAAGAACCAGACTGGGAGGAGGTAGGGCGCTGACTTGCTTCTTGTGGTGGAGCAGATTTGGTGCCAGATCCGATTAGAATGCACACTGTGGAATTTGTACTATCCTGGTATCATGGAATCCACTTCCCTCCGTCGCCTGACTCAACGCTGACTACGGTTGAAACCCAGAAGGTAGCAAAGTGTTTGAGGGCCATATCTTGTCGAAATGCAGCAAGGATGGGTAGCGAACGGGTGAGCGACAAGGTACTTGCTGGATGTCTGGAGGGACTTTTGAGTCGAGGGACTTCGACACGCCTGCCAGTGGAGTGGACAGATTTCCACCCTTCCAACCCGGATTTCCTCGTGAAGGCGCTCATTCCCGGCTTCAAAGTGACAAAAATCACCCTCAGTCGTTCGGATGAAATCCTGTATAGCATGTCTCATGACAAGGAGCCCGATTATGAATTGGTTTTCGAGCGAGCAGCTACCGTCATGTTGGGTCTTCGTCAAAAAAGTGCGTACACTTTAGATGAAATGACCATGTCCCTGTGCAACTGGGGCATAAGACTGTCCACTTGCAAACGAATTCGAGGTCATTCCAAACCAGCGAGGACTTTTGTCAGAGCAGCGGAGTGCATCCCCTATCGAACAAAGGGTTTTCAGCCTGACTTGGGGGATTTCCAGAGCTATGTTCGAAGGCGACGTGAGCTGTTTGGGAGCAATGAAATCCTGTGGGCAGCTTTGAAACATGGCAGGCTGATCTGGCGGTTAGCTCTGGAGGTGGAGCCCGAAGGATATGAGGAATTCCTTCTTAGTGGTCCCTCCAGGAGAGTAACGCAGATTGGGGGTGTTCATCACATGGCAGACAGCGATGAGCTGTGGGATGAGATACTGACCGATGATCAAATCGATATCATCTGTGGCGTCTACAAGGTGGAATGGGAGGACAAGGGCCAAAGCCAAACTGATCATCGAGTGCAGTTGACGGAGGATGTATCTTGGTTTCCCAAACCCATGGCGTGGAAAGGTTGTGGCCTGGATGTCGGCTTTTGGAGTGTGGATGCAGAATCTTGGTACCAACATCGGGTCACCAGATATCTTGGTGGAGATTTCAAGTGTGAGAACCAGACGCAGTGGAGAAAATCCCTCAAACTGTGCCATGAGGCTCCCAAGGTCACTGAAGCTCTCGAAACGGTGTCTTGTGCTTTCCTTGAACGACATGTCTTACATCAGTGTGAGTTTCTTTTATCTGTCTGATTACGTCTCTGGGAGCTAACGAAATGTTAGAATTCTTGCATGCTGCTCTGAATTCAGGTCTTTCATCAAATGTAGGAGGATTTTACATACAAAGTGATTGCTTGCTGACACCCATCACGTCATAGTTGAAAGGTACTCTTGAGATGGCATCTCGTACCTTGCTTGAAAGGCATATATTGCGTCGATGTGAGTACCTGGTTTGTGTCAGATGGTGTCTGTTGGAACTAACGAGCCATTAAAGTTCTTGCACGTGCATTACAACTGTATCATCAATTGTAAGATTATTTTCATGGAAATGTATAGCCTTGCTGATGTCAGTCCTAGTAAAATGTACCATACGCGTGCAAATAATATATCATACTCTTGGCTATTCCCCCTAGTTGTCTGAAGACAGATTGTTGATGCTTGAGACCTGTCTGAAGACGCAAGAGGCAAATAAACAGGCAGCATCTTGAGATTGTGCACCTGATTAAGGATCTGTCTGAAGTTACATACCAAACTGGTTCTGGTCTTAAGATATGAAGCTGGAGTCGGTACACTAAACGTCATCGGCTTGGTCACTGCAACGCGCAGCTTCATAGGTGATAACGGTGAAGAGGTAGGTAGATGTGATGATGTTCATGGGCTGACCTCATAATCTTAAGACCGATACTGACGCCGTCAAGGCTTGGTCTGAAGGCTTTGGCAGAATAAAAGCCCCACTTCTCAACCGTCTGAAGTCACACCAGCGAGTTCTGGGTCTGAAGATGCGCCATCAACTTATTTACTGCCAGTTATCTAACCCCAAGGTGTGTTGCTGATGTCCAGTTTGTTCCATCTCTCAAGTGCGAAATCGAGGTATTGCCCAACTGTCGCAATATGGTGACTTGGACGCTAAAATAATAAGGTGTGCTGTTCAGACCAATTTGTGGGCCTACGACTGATGCTCTTCGTATATAGGCTAGGCTGGAAAGTGGCATTAGTGGGCTCAGTCTTGGTCTGAAACGAGAGAATATCGCCACACGAGGGTTAGCAGTGCGTAGGCCTTTGAGATCGACTGGTGCTGAATATTATTGCAGGTTCAAAAGATTTAATGAAGCGGATAAAGCAGGTACATACTGCAGACCTTCCAGCGGCCGGATTGTGATTACGCAAACAGAAAGGGTGGCAGAAATACATAGCTGATAGTCAGGGTCTCCAGGGCACTGCCTTAAGACAAGAATGAGCTTGCGCAGGATCTTGATTCTTGACGCAGATGGATGAGGGGTCTTGACTGAAGACACTCGAGTTTGGCAATGGATAAGACAAGCATATGGCAGTAAGTACGTTTCTTCCACACTCAATTTGTATACTATCTGACTCTGAGCACAAGATGAGAAGATGAGCATAGAAACCACTACTGCCCTTGGATGCACCATATTATCATTGCATGCAAATGGAAACACCATTCCAGAGTGCTCATGCAATCTGAAGATCATGATGGCATGCTGGTCTGGTGCGGGTCTTAAGCCTACCCGGCCGTTAGTTCCATGCGACATCCTAGATGCATAGATCCAGCTGCTGTATAATGTAGAGGAAGCTGGGGTGGTCCATACATAGCATGAACCTTGGGAATGGGTCTTAAGCCATGCCAGATCACTCGATCTCATTCTGCCTCGGGGGGTGTCTCCAGACCAATGCAAGACACTGTCGAGACGTTCGCAGGCTTCTGCGCTGCCCCAAAGATGTCTTATAGCTGCATCTTATGATGGTTCCCTTTGTTACCCAGATAACAATCGCCATGGCCATCTTAGCCCAAGAGCAATCTCAAGACGTATTTGTATCCCGATCTCAAGCTTCGGATGTGTGGGTTTGGTGTCTGGCGTTGGCTGTACTGAAGTCAGCAGACCATGTGTAGATCTTAAGACTCGAGATGCACGATGTTATGGTTGGATTCACAAAGGTGCCTGTCTTCAGATACTCCAGGAACTTTAGTATGGTTACGGTGGCGCTATCTCGGTATTTTAACAGCAGATGGCACTGAGTCTGACATCAGGCAGTGCTTGGCAATTCCATACTACAAGAGATGCACAAATATATGCTCGTATTTTACCGCATCAAGATCCTGCCATCATCCAACAAATCTTCTGGTGAGGATTACCATCAAAGTTGAAAGAAGAGGTTCCGAAAACAGCAATGGAGTTAATACTCGACATTCGCATCAGACTCACAGTCATAGCTTCAGAGTAGAGGGATTCACCATCAGTGTTCCCCAGTCGTTGTTGCTTCCACGGCTCTTGATAACAAACATCTGAACCTCATGACCTTCTGCAGCCAGCCCAAGAAGAATGAACACCTGGCAACGAATTGGCAGGCTTGGTCTGAAGATGACTTCATAACTTGGTTCGGAAAGCAGAGTGACGACCATACCTAGGTATCATCTTAAGACGAAGCATACCGTGCATTCTTCAGAGGAACAGGGTCAATGCAACATTGTCCAGGATGGGGTATAGTTATACCTGTAGACTCAAGGCCCAAAAATCCTCATCCAGATATGTTTCTGCGGTGACTTGCTGGCAGCCTTCATAACGAGCGAAGTTCTCGAGGTAAGGCATCGAATGAGACCATCTCGTGCATGAGTCAGTGACTGACCGATGTCTTTAGACAGGGAATATATGGAACCGCATCTTCAGATGAACATGAGGTACGGTCAAATGCATCTTGCTATGATGCACATATCAAGACACCCGAGGATTGGGGTTCGAACAGCGTGCATTACACTGTAGGTGGATGTATGGCTTAAGAGACTTAGCCTGAGGATCAGGTGTCAGTGACCTTACCCTACATTCTACCATATTTTCTGATGCCGTATTTTCAAGGTTGATTCAGAACCGCCTTCAGATAGAATCAAGTTTCGAATTGGCAACAAATAATATGCGCTGGCTTAAGATTGGACACAGCGCAATATGTCAATTAATATATTGATTGAGATGGACAAAGAGGCCGTTTTGGATGTCTGGAGGTTTCGTAGGCTCGTTGTCTCAAGACGACGTGCGTGAAGGGATCATGACAGACAGCAATGGCCAGAACGGATGCTCTCGGTATGGTGCCGAAGGAGGATGGCTTGCACAGCTCTGAGTGGGCTGACGGCTTTGTGCCATCTTGGGAAAACGGCAGATCTAGCCGTCTTGCACTGTGCCGCTCAAGCCGTGTGAAGCCGTCACCAGCGACGGCTCAATCATTGATCACCGAAGGCTTTTATTTGGGAGCAACAAAGCTCTGGTGAAGAGAGTAAGTCGGTAAGTCTGGCATGTGTTGGTAGTTCAATCATTGGCTCACAGCATGGTAGATATCACTTGTTGCGGCAATATGCGTTTGGCTAGTGACACGTAACAGCTTATTTCAAGGTGAAAACAAGTCAAGTATTGTCCAATTATATTTCCATCTCACCGGTGTATTCATCACCTCGATAATCGAAGCGACATATCAAGATCTTGATGCAAGTCTTTGTGCCCCACATATGTGACAGCTATTCTCCATGTCCTGAGCTCCTTACAAGACGGGTTTAGTTCTGTTGGCGTTCTCTGTTCTGTATCTTCTTAGTGCGACCACAAGTCACATTTCCTTACTTTTTTTCATGCAAGAAGTCAATGTCACGTTAGGATCCTTCAAGATATGGCCTACATTTATTTGAAGCAAGTCCCCCAGGAGCTAATCAATGTAGTCGTGTTTTCTTGACTATCAAGTACATGCCACGGAGTGTATTCAACCACGTTACCTCGCGACGTCCCCTAGTATTGGGAAGAAAGCCAATTCGTGGCTACTTATGCCGGGTTCGGATGACGAATGACTTTGCAATGAAGACAGGGTGCCGATACCTGGTCCCTGTGCTTCGTACTCATCACCGACGCTTCATACAGTCCCGATGATGGATGATACACCTTGGTATATACTTCCAACATCCCCTCCGTCCTTCAAGGTACTACCATCTCGCCTCTTCCATCAGTCTACTCATAATTTTCAGCAGGTGTCATTCAAGTCTTTTGGCACAATGTTCCTTTCTTGGTACCAGAAGAGGACCTATGCGTCCATCTAGCGTGGAAAGTCCACTACTACTGCATCAAAATCCTCATTCTCTGCTGCTGTATTTCAACTTGTGAATGTGTCTTTCACAGGGTGGGATCAGCTGCTCATCATGGCATGGATCTGGTAACTTTTCCTGACGTACACTCAGCTTTCGACATGCCAACTTACATGTCTGACTTTCTCTCTCATCGCAAAGGCATGCATTTGCCTTCGTCTGTCCTGTCTCTCAAATCAATCGAGGACAAGAATAAAGTAAGCGTGGCTCGAGGCTGAGGGGAAGAATGTATCATTGAATATCGGTGCATGGTCAACATGCTCTTCCACTTCGTGCATCAATTCGGCGACATCTTCAGATTGCGGATGCATGTATTCATCGTCTTAAGACCCACACCCTAAGCATATTCGCCATAGAAGCCCTGGACTTGGTCTGAAGGCAGGGAGCGAAGGATTGGACAGTCTAGTGGCCTCACTCATGCATTCAGGTGCCGCAGATTCAGGTCAGAAGTATGCTCACCTGTGTGGTCTCAAGCTGAAACAGGGTGCATCTAGTAGACATCATTCCCATGTCGGTTGTCTGTGTTCGTTCTCCTGGCAGGGTTTTCATCTGCTCCGCCTTCCTCGTAGTGATGCTATAGGCCTGGACGCTGTGACTGGATGCTCCTACCTCAGAACATATGATCCACGGCTCCCAAGTTGAGGGAGATATCATCAACAACCATTGAGTATCTGCCTCGGCAGTCGCCCTCCCTACTCCAGTCATCGCAGGTTACTTGCTGTTCCGGATTGTCGGCACGATAGATCTGATTTGTCTGCTGGGAGAGCATTGAGATTCGATGCGTCTCAAGATCAGAGTGGCCACCATAAGTTGGTCTTAAGGCTTGAAGGCAGCAAGTGAATCCTCTGATACACTTTTGAATATCTGACCTGTTGGGATTTTAGACCTCAGGACTTCGTTGATACCTTGTTGACATGTATTACTCGATGGTGTATTATCTGCAGATGTTGCAGTGTAGGATTATTGTGTTGATCTTGAGACTCGTTGCACCTCGAAAGGCAAGGGAGAAAATCTGGCTTCAGAGACAGTAAGGACGATATTAATTTGTTTAACCTTCAGTGAACTCTAACTATTCATGCAGTCTTCAGGGTGGATCGACCATGACGAAGGGGGTAAGCAGAGTAAGATACGGGATCTTTTGACCTTTGCACTAAGGTCATGTAGAGGTCCTATGTGGAGCAGGCATGTTTAATGATGATGGTGACATTGTAGTTTGCGTTGTCATGCAAGGGCTGCAAAAGGTAGCAACCCATAGTGATTTTGTGTTTGCAGTTATGACTCACCCTTTGTCTTCAGACCTTTACACTTGTCTTGGACTCTGTCATGCAAGACGAGACTAATGCTGTTCAGCTCGCGAAACAGCTAACATCTTGTTTTTTGTTCGAGGAGTCCAGCTTTCAATCGTCCATCGACTTGACAATGAATACATCGCCCAGATTCACACAAATCTGATTTTATGATTTGGATAGGAAAGCGGCCGTACAGAGACTAGTCATCGAGAGCCACTTTGTTAGGAGTCTTGAACTGGGTTCCATCATTCCACTGAGGGTTAAATAACACAGATGTGCCATCAGTAGTTCAGTCATGTTGGTATGCATGCGCCATTGAATGCCAGCAGTCGAAGTGATTTCGTCCTGGATGAGGACTTGTTTTCTTTGGTTCAGCATGCGTACACCCCGCTTGACGGAAGAACTGCATAAAGGATTAGCGAAGATGGACCGGAACAACAGTACCACTTACACATCATTGTATGCACTGCTGATGTTGCCTACCCAGAAGGCTGTTAAACTATGCTCCAGCAAAATGACCGTACTTGAATCTGGCTTGGTACCAGTCGTTCCATTCCTAGTTATGGTTGGTTTGGCGGTGATGGGCTGATTAGCTTGGTTGATCAGAATAGTGTTCTGTCCCTCGGTATTCTGCCTGTAATACTTCCATCATTTGATGTTTTGAGCGTCGCTGCTGAAGTAGTTGCGAGCAAGATAATTGCCAGAACCCAATTCTCCAGCCCACCCTGTGCCGAGGGCATCAATAACAATATCACCAACGCCAAGATCATTGTGTGTCTGGTGACCTTGTTTTAAGCCTGCCTTCATGGCTACGTATAATGCATTGATATCCGTCCAGCTGCTCCTCATAGCGACCCATTGATTGTTACGGTTTATTCGTTTCTTTTTCTTTTTTTCTTTTCCTTCGTATTACTCATCCTGATTACTCGCATGCGATCATGACGGACGCATTCCCACAGTACTATTTTTAGTTTACCAACGTGTATTTAAGTAGAGCCTCAGCTGGTCTAAACCCCAGCTTCGGCTAAGGTTTAATCTACCTAATATCGAACTCCGTTCTTCGTGACTACTTGTCCCATCGACTTTCATCACCTTTGACTTGCTAGAGCGTCGTCTACCGAAGTGCGAGTAGCGATCCTAGTACGATCTAAGTTGATAGAGTTAGTGGCTAACATTTAGCCGAAGCTCGTCCTTTGTTGCCCAACAACTCACCATTGCCCAACATATTTCCAATCGTTCTTTTAATTGTCATCGCACTCTCCGTGCTACGATTCCTCCTTAACGACCCGCTTGGATTGGTCATAGTAACCATCCTTCGAGTCTTCCTCGCTTGCGCATACGTCCCATCTCCAGTGTTTGCAGGACTACTCCTGTTGCTCTGGGTCGGATTCCTGCGCCATTATTAAAAACATGAAACCCTTTATCCTCGCCCTCCAGCTCGCATTGATATTAACAGTTCTGCTGCTAATATTAATGAGCACTTCCGAAAACTGCGAAATCCTACTGATGAACGGCTCCAACTACGAGACCGACCTCAGCCTGATCATCGCGCTCCTCATCGTCCTCACCATACTCGCTGTCTATCAGCTTGCATGGTCAATCATCGACTTACGCCAAGGATAGATCCACTTACGGATGCCCTGGTCCGAGTCCATTCTCACCGTCTTCACGACTTTTATACTCTTTTTCTTATCCATTATTTTGTACCGGCTATGCCACTGTTTTCAACAACAGAGGGAAGCCCGGGCACAACTTCCGTTCCATTACGTTCCCAGCACTCCCGCATACCCGCCTCCAATAATTCATATTCCCGTGGCATCTCAGCAGACGATAGGAGATGTCGAATCCAACGTCTCCAGAGGACCTGGAGGGTCCCTCTACGCATCGTCGCAACCCAGCTCACAATCCTCAGGGTCGAGCACTGACTCCTACAGAAGCGCTACCAACAAGTCAGCCGACTCAATCGACATCACCGATACCCGGGGGGTACTCCTCGACAGAGGAGACTCGCCCCTACCAGGCCTCTTCGACCAGTCTCCAGTCGAAGACGAGTCAAGCCCCGATGGAGGCCGAGGACAAGGCACCAGGGCTCTGGTCGAGGGCGAAGAAAGCCCTGATACCGAGTTCGAAGGGGACGAGCTCTCCGACTGGGAGAGGACCCGACTCAACGACCTCCTCGACGACCTCTACCCGGATGAGGAGGAAGATGCGACCTATACCGGAGACAACTACAGTGGAAGGTCAGGAAATAGGTGGACAGACGCAGTATGGCAGAGCGAGAGCAGGAGATATAGAGTCGCCACCGAGGACGACTACGACAGCGATTCCGGAGAGCTTGGCCTCGGAGCCTCTGCAGCTACCACCAGTGCAGCTGACTCACAGTCTCTTCCAAGGTCCTGGCCGACCGATAGGGGAGAGCCAGTCGCCTGGCACCCCGCAACCAGCTGGGTCTACGCCGACCGGGAAGAAGCTGCTGTGGCCAGAGTCGCGCCCGAGGGAGAGCCCGACTCGATCCCTGAAGGGCCCAAGGCCCCCGTTGTCGCTTCCACCGTCGCCTCGCACGAGCCGACGAGTGGGGAGCTTTGGAGCGAGTTCCCAGATTACGACTCCGAGGAACTTGGAACAGTTACCGCTTCCGAGCGACTCGCCGGAGTCTCCAACTGGGAACCATCGGTCCCGTCGAGAGCTTTCGCCTCCCCCGTCCCGGCCTCCCAGCATCCGTGGCCCCTCCTCTACCACACGTACGTCGAGTCCCTCGGACTCACTCGAGATGCCTGGCTCGCCCCAGAAGTCGAGGCCCGAATGGAGCGAGGAAGAGCGCATGACGCACGCATTCGACGTGTGGAAGAGGACGCTCTCCAAGGACCCAGAGGTTGGTGGGACCTCCCCCTCGAGCCCGACGCCACCGACGCCGAAGTCGAGAATCAAATCCGTGCCGCCGCCGTTCGATATTCGGGTGCCGCTCGAAGAGCAGGCACTGATCTCGAGGCTAGAAGAAGAGCCTGGAATGCCTACCAGGCCGAGATCAGCGACGAGGACTCCGACATCGGGAGATGGAGGCAAAATAAGGAGATCGACCGAATCGCCCGAGAGAGGCAGGAGGCCAAGGATGCCGAGCTGACCCCCGAACAGTTCCCTCGAGACCGAGGTGATGAGGGCGGTCCGCACGATCCTGGTCGACCCCGGGGCCCCAATACCCACGATCTTTAATATCCTGCCCTGGCACGGGCTGTATGAGATTATGATGGAAGATATGGAGAAGGACTCCCAGTGGCTCCTCACGGAGGCGGGAGAAGATTATTTGTACGCAAGGTCCCTAGGGGTCGTGTATTTGATGAAGAACATCCTGGAAGTGGAGACGTGGCACAAGGCCGCCATAGTATGGAACATTGCGTTCCTGAACAACCAGCAGCGAGGCTGCGAACCCTATCGTCGACCTCAACCGATGCCCAACCCGTTGGAGACCGAAGCCTTCTGGGCGGGAGCGGGACCCGGCGACGACGACGACATGGATGATCCTGGCGCAGGACCCTCAGACAAAGGGAAGCAGTCCACCGTCCCGCCGCAACCGCCGTTGCAGCCCCCGCGCCGACCCGCGTATCCAGGGGATTATCCCCCGCCAGGCGAGAACTATCGACTACAGTCGTTGCTGTGACCACCGAACCCCCCGGTACCACCAAGGGCGCCGTCACCCCCAGACCCTATACTGCTGTGGACATTAGCCACGGGAAAGGATAACAACCCGTGGAACGACGTCAAACCAAAGTTGATCATGCAGCCCGAGTACTTTACCGGGGAAGTGACGGATATCAATCGGTTCCTGCATCACTGCGAGATGTACTTCCAGGTGTTCCCACTGCATTTTACCATGAACGACCAGGGCCAGAATCCCTATCATATCACATTCGCGCAAGGGTACCTACGGGAGAAGGCGAAGGACTGGTGGGGTGACCAATACTACCGGTATCGAGACGACCAGGGGCACTGGAGATTCCCCACTTGGGCGGAATTCTCCCATGACCTCACGGTAGAATTCCGGGAAGTGGCGGAGCTCGCGATTTGGAAGGCGGAATGGAAGAAGGTCCGACAGTCGGAGTTCAAGACCGCAGTCGAGTTCTTCACCAAATTCGAACGGTTGGCCCACAAGTGCGGGGAATTTCACGACGAGAAACAAATGTTTGAGGCGGTAGAAGCAGCGATCAGACAGACGGTGCGCAAAACGGTTATGCATGGGGACAACGAGCGCCCCACAACCTACGCACAGTGGAAGGCGCGAGTCCTAAGGATCGACGCCAATTATCGATATGACGTAGCCCAGGGGCTCACCAGTAAGTCCTCCCCGAACCAAGGCAGTTCGGGTCGAGGCAGTCAAAATCAATCGAAAGGAAGTGGGCCTAGTGGCAATAGGAAGGACGCCACAGGTACCACTTATGGAGGAGCGGGGCAGCCGATGGAGATCGACAAGTTATGATCCGATAAGCGATGCTTCAAGTGTGGGAACACCGGGTGGTCCCCGAAGCATAAATGCCCCGACAACAAGTTGAAGTGGCTCCCGGTCAAACTCCCCCCTCGCAAGAAGAAACCCAACATCGCTCGACTTTGCCAATTGCTTGAAGAAGCCGAAAGGGAAGAGAACAGCAAGGATACGAAGATCGAGGAGGTTAAGGAGGAGAAGTCGTCAAAAGACGAGCCGGCGTCGAAGTAAGCGATTCGACGGCGTCGGCTAAGGACTCAATTTCTTCAGGTGCACGCTCATGTACTACTAGTCAGACTTATACCACGTATGTAGGGACTCCGTACGAACAATATACCAACTTTTTTGCCGTGTTACCAGTCGAAGAAATTAAGGACGAAGAATCGCAAAACGCCAATGGCGTAGGAGGGGATTTCCGCCGTCCTACGCAGTCAGCGATGGACACTGAACCCCTAGGGGCTGGTCCACCTCTGACACCCCCGCCTGACCGAACGAGAAAAGTTCTGGAGCACCCAGCGAGCGCCTCAGGTCAGGACAAGATGGACGCCAGACGTGGTGGTCATCGCCCCGGCAGGGAGAATCGGCCGACGACTCCGGCGGCAGGGCCTTCCTGTTCATATGTAGGGCAGGTTGTTCCTACCGCCAGTGGTGGAAAAGCAGCTGAGGCCGGGACTCGAGGGGACCACCTACATTTAGTAGTGGACTCATCCGCAAACGATGCCGACCCCCTCGACGAGCTGATATGTGTGCGTCTACCTCGAGTTTCCGAGAGTACCGCCGGCGTTAGGAATGAGGTTAAGTACGGAATCACTGTGGAGGTTACAACGCCGCGCACAAGCGCCCTTGGCCAGGGCCGAACACAGGGCAGAGAGCCCTCCTCCACTAACTCGACGGAAGGTGACCAAGTGCCGCCGAGGGGCCCTACCGACCGGCCCGGTGACCAACTGCCACCTCGAGGCAAGAAACCTCCAGTCTCGCTGGAGGAAGTAGAGGACGAAGAGGCCCATTTACGGTCCGACACCCTGGTCAACACGCCCAAAGGGAAGTCTTCCGTGACCCCTAACCCGGAACCACGACCCGAGGTGCGAGTTCCCATTCAAGATACGTACTACGAGCCTTTCGGCGCGCACTGGACCCGAAGGGCGCTGCGACTCGCTACTAACGAGTCGGCCGCCTTCACTACTCTCAACTGATGGGTACACCCCAGACGCACCGGGGAGGTAACGGTCGAGTTATGGGATGCCCTCAAGGAGCAGCCCGAGACCGCCGCTGAGGCTAGGGACAAGTGGGAGTGGATGGAGGATCTTAGGAAACCACCCATGTACATACGAGGGAGAAAAGGACGTAATGTATCGATAACTGTGCAGTTGGAGACCCTAGACACTCGTGA